TTCCTGGACTTTTGCGAGGGATAGTAAACGTATTTTCATTTCCGTTACCGACAAGTGTAGCTCATGTAACGCTTTCTTTTATCATGTTGAACTCTTTTTTTAATCCTATTGTTTATTGCTGGAGAAGTAAAATCATTCGTCAAGCGTTAATGGAACTTCTACGAAAGAACTGAACAATTGATAATTGATCGAAAGAATTGACTATTACAAAGTGACATTTTTTAGTTGATTTTTTTAATATTCTGATTGTTATTTTGATGATGATGATAATGATAATAATGTTAAAGAAAATGATGATGATAATAATAAGTTTCCTTTACTTCTGGCCACTTCGTATGAGTTGTGCCTAGCTCAGAAAATTTTCCTTTGCGAATGCGTCGCTTCAGGCGACGTTCCAGGGGCACCCAACGGCAATTTTCGGGAAAATATCTGTTCGGAAGACGATTTGAGAACTAGAATTTTCGGAACATTTGTTGTAAAATTTCTTGCTTGCCTGCCTCTCCTAGGATTTTCGAACATCTACAAAGTGGTATGATTACCCATTTTAAACGGATATTTACCCTAAAAAAGGCCACCTAGAATTTTCGGGAGCCTTTTCCTGGCTGAAATTTTCGATAAGGTAAATTTTGATCCCTATAATTTTCGGATCACTAGACTTTCAACTAGGAAATCCGAACAGATGAAAAGTTTTTAGGGGATAAAAATATGCCTATATCTACCGTTTAAATACTCAAATACGTTCAACAATGCTATGTTAAGTGGTTTTGAACTATATCCTCGTTGGGTGTCCCTGACGTTCGTTCTCACCGTGCATTGGATAATACAGTATTACTAGATTTGTAATACGATCCCGTGACAAGTTACAGTAATATTCGATTCTACAGTATTATTAAATGGCAGAGTAAACGGTGAAGGCGGCGATCCGCACTCCAACGACTGTAGCCAAGTATACACGTAACATTTAGTGGACTCAAGGTTCGCACAAATAACTCGCCCTGTTTAAACAGGTAAGGATCAGAGTAGCTTTTCTAACGTTTCTTGAGTGCTTCTTTTTCCCAATGAAGGTCTCAGGGGATCTGACCCTTTGTCTTTTCATAAATTACCCTACGTATGCACGAAACAGTGCATGTAAGGAGGGAGAAGAAGGGGCCTACAAAGGAAGCGTTGGGAGAACAATATCTCTGAGTGGACAGGGTTGAAGTTTTGTGGCGCCCCAAGAGAAGCTGAAAACAAAATCAAATGGAGGGAAAGGGTTGCTAGGTCCGTGGCGCCCCAAAGATCACCTGTCCAGAGGGTTGTGCAGCGCTTATTCAGTAGACAAGTGGACAACCCGGGAAAAAACGCTTGATATCGTCAACATACCGCAAAATCCCGAAAATAAGCCCCGGGGATTACATTTTCCGAAGGCCCTATTTGAGGGGCTTGTATTCGGAGGGGCTTATCTATGGAGGGAAATTTGCGTTTCAAAATCGATTGGGCTAGCCTTACGGTTGAAAGGAAATTTACCGTTTTTGTTTTGTTTTACTTTCTATTTTGAGGGCAATTTCCAAGTACAAACTCCTGGGGGGCTTATTTTTGGAGGGGCGATTTAACAAAGGGTTTTTGCGTTACGAGTTTGGGGGGCTTATATTTGGAGGGGCTTATACATGGAGGGGCTTATTTTCGGAATTTTACGGTATAGGACATGTAGCCTCTGTCTTCGTGTTGCTCTGCCTCGCAGAAGGCGGTCATTTTGCTGCAGACGATTGCTTCACACAAAAATCTCGCAGCCCGTCTACCAGAAGTGCAGCCCATCTCCACATTTCACTCCACATTTCACATGAAACAGCTTGAATATCTCGAGAATGTCCAGAGGATTTTTTTTAAGACCTGCAACAATTTTTCACGAGAGTTATTCCAAGGTGAAGATGATAATAACACGCAAAATTGCCCGAAAATTGACACGTACATCAAAAGAAAAATCTCGGTTTCTCTGACATTTTAAATCCATTGTTCATCGCCCTAAGCACAAGCCTTCTACCATTTCTTCTTCGTCGTTGTGTTACAAAAAGGCGAGCAAAGAGTGCTGGGAAAACGAGAAACACTACAGATTTCAACCCCGCTTGAGAATATTTCTAACCCGCCAAGCTGTAACGTCACGTTATGGTTTTGCACCTTTCCAAAAGTGAAAAAGATCCGCGCTTGACTCCGGATAGGTGCAGTTGCAGGTGAATGCATGGGAAGAAACAGTTATCTGGAGTATTACGAGGGCGGATCAAAAAGTTCTGTCACTTACATTGTGTAACCTATACCTCTCACGCTTCACCTTCAATTTCAAGAATTACAGCCACATTACCTCAAAAGTAGCTTCCCTCGACTTCTATACATTGTTGCATCCTCATTATCCACTTGTGAAGGCATTCTCGGTTCTGTGTTCTCTGTGTACAGAGCCCCCTCCATTTTTACTGAGGGGAGGGGGAGTCTGTACACAGGCTACTCTGAAGCACGTATGGCAAGGAATAGACAAACAGGACTTGGCAGTTGAACTTGGTTTAATCTTCTTCTGTGCAACAAATGACAAGCTTGACCAGTGCTAAAACTGAATATATCCTAGCTTACAAAGTGCTTCTATTTATATTGAAAAGATCAATTTAATTAAGTTTAAGTAAGATCAATAGCATTCATATGCAGACAGTAGGTTTTTGGAAGTGTTTATAAGTATAGGATCAAAAGAAACCGTAATTGAATTGTTTTCAGCTCACGGCTACAGTAAAAATTTTGCAGAACTAGTAATATCTTCATGACCGAATTCCTTTACAAGAATTAAAATCGCTTGCCAGAAAGGTATGTATCAAGTTTTTCCGAGATTCTATCGAAACAGATTTTAGTTTTAAGTTAGTAAAGCGAGTGAAATTTGCTTAAAACTGGTTCATCTTGGAACAGAGAAATTAAAAGGTGTCAAGGCGCCGGTGGCCCTACCCAAGTTTAAATGAATTAGAAAAAACTGATTACTATTCGAATTTAGGGGTAGAAGTGCGAAAAGTTTTCGGCTTTAAATAACAAGATTCGTTGGAGAAATTGGTTCGTTCATATCCTCTCCACAGCTGAAAACTTCTATTACGGAAAACAGTTTCCTTTGCGGTAATAAAGAGGCTTTTCGGCACAAGGACCGATTCATTCCTAGGTGTTATTCTAAGACATAGCTCCTGTCATAGTAGGTTTCAATTACAAACAGTGGAAAACTAACATTTAAAGTTTCCAAGACTAAATCGTGCATTCAACTATTTTTGTATATTTTTAACCCCAATGTTGAAAAGACGACCATCTCCAAAACCCTTCATCAAGAGAGAACCTAACAACGCTGGTTTGGTATCAGGGTCGCAAATCAAAGGTGTGGCTAGCTGCCTTGTTTCGAATATAACTCGTGTTTTCCAATATATAATTCTACTGCGTACGTTCTCTTAAAAGTGGCTTTGGAAACGGCCTAGTAGAATATATATATACGTCACATTACAGGAATATAGATATTTCCCATCACCTAGTTTAATTATTGCCTTTACATAAGGTACCGAGTTGAGGACCGTAAAGGAGGTAGTTTCGTTAAACTAAACAACCAAATTGTGTTAATTCAGAGTTCAAACAACTTTATAATATACCAAATTCAATATTGGGATTTGGGAGTTTCAAACTATAGATAACAGCTCCCTTGTCAGTCCTTCCTCGGTAGAAATACAATGATAGGTTAAATACGGTAAGCGATTATACTCAAGCAAGAAAGCGTGGCTAATTCACATGTGGCGGCGGTAGTCAAAGGTATGGAGCGTTTTTCACATGACGTAACGGCGGCCATGTTGATGTCCCAAACGGGTGCTATGGGAGTTGAACTCTTTTCTTATGCAAACGCTTTCTTTTGTTGCAATAAATTTGCATAGATGCTGGCCACGTGAGTGAAAACACTCTATACATCAGAGTTCGTTTGATGATTTTCCCTATTATCGATACGATCTCATTTGTTCTTATTTTGGGCTATAATTTTGAGGTGGGAAAAACCGGTACCTTTGACTAACGCCTTGCCAAGTCAATGGTTAACCCGATAACTATTCCTAATTCTAATACACTTTTTTTGTTTTGTTTTTTTAAATTTAAATTTTTTTTGTTCCTTAATTCTAAAGGAAAGCTAATACATACGGCTAAGCAACAGCAATAAGATAAGAGAGATTAAATATTTTATTTACAACTTAAAAGAAGGGAAAACCAATATGCAGACAACTTAACTTCAATTTCTTCGAGGTTTTCAATATGACTTGAGGTTGCACCGGCCCTTCCGTCGTACCTCGTTCTGAAATTTGTCATCCTTCTTTCAAAGTGGTTCTCAGTACGACCATAGGTCTACCCAGCAACCCGAAGTTATATTGGTAGTCTCTTTGGGAGAGCGCGTAAATCTACAAAATAATGTGACTTTTTCCCCCTTTTTTGTTCTCTCTTTTTGGATTACATGAGCTTAATTAGGCGTTCGAGTTGGCCTCTGCCATGCCACGAGCGAGATCCTGGCGTAGAAAGTATCCATAACAGCGTTCATGCTGACAGCAATCAACATCATTCAGGATAATTTTACATGCATCACCAACTGTTCAAAGTTGACTCTTCAAAAGTAACTGCACGTTTACTATTTTTTTTTTGTTACATTTGTATGGCCTTAGAAATTAACGGCAGTTCAAGCCTGCTAAAACTAACAAGAATAAAGAGAAGAAGTAACTTCTTGACCAATGAAAATAGCCGTAAAGTCTTTTGACTTTGTGTTTTACAGCGGTAGGGCAAGAGAACTCTCAAAAACGCTTGTTTTGTCTTGAATATCAACTAGTACTTGGCTTATCATCGCCTTCACCACTACTACTTATCATTTTGAAGCAGTTAAAGATTCCCTTCTCAATTTTTTGTTTGAAATTGTCATAATCTAAACTTTCTGGGGGTTTGTTTTCCGAGACGACCGTTTTGGCTTCGTTTTCGAGCTTGTTGTTTTCCCGCTTTGTTCCCAAGACGACCGTTTTGATGCCTTGCATCTCAAGAAGCGGTGTACATTCGTGACAGGGGGTCTTCGTCACAAACAGAATTCCACCTGTTATGGACTTGGTGTTCCGCATTAGTAGTGCGTTCTGCTCTGCATGTATGATGTATGGATATTTTTTACCCGGCACTGACTTATTTTTATCTGAGGCTCTGGGGAACTGACCATAGACCGCTTTGGTGGGAAATCCATTCCATCCGAGGCCTACAACTTTCCTGTTTTTGTCAACGATAACTGCGCCCACGCCTGTTTTCGGGTCATCGGTCCGCTCGGCTAGAAATCTTGCTAATGTTGCAAATACGGCGGCTTGCTTCCTGTCGGTTTCATATTTTTGAGGATCAAATGGTTCAGTTTCGTCTCCTTTGTCTCGTCCCACGGCTTGCTTACTTTCTTGTTCCTGATTCCGATCAAATGTTTTACTTTCGTCTCCGTTCAGGGTTTGCTTGCTGTCGGTTGTCTTCTCTTTCTGTTTAGGATCATACCTCTCAAATTTGCATGCTCAGTATTTTCGTCGATCCGGCGATCAATGCAATCTTAGCCGCCCAAGCCATTATGCCGTCGAAGTCGTCTTTGGTCTGCTTTTTCATTTCTGTGTCAAAGCTTGGCCACGGAAGTTTGTCTTTGACGTCATTAAACCAGTCTTCTTTCCAGTATTTCGTCAGTAGTGTATCCTTGTCTTGCTGCTGTTCAGTCGGGATGTCGTATTCTTGTTTGATCTTGACCACTTCTTTTAATCCTGCTCCTGGTACAAACACCTTCTGACTGATTGCGCTCACTCTAAATAGTTCGTCAACCATCAATTGCTCATCTCCAAGGTACTCGGGTTCCATCGGCAAGTAGAAAATCTCCTTCACTTTAGACTGGACCAAAAGCTTGGTGCACAAAGAACACGGCTTTCTTGATACAAAGATTTTACAGTCCTCTACCACGTCTTGATGTTCCATCAACAACCGAGCCACCCCATGCACACCGTTATGAGTATAGTCAATAGCAAAAATTTTGTCATTCGGCAATACAAGTGCGGCTCCGACCTTCCTGTATTTTTTGTCTTGCCCTTGCTCGTCTTCCGTTTTGAGTGGAAAGTCTTCCATAAAAAGTGCAAGGAGTACATACAAATCCTCTTTGCTTATTCGATGACTACGGGATGCGTGTTCAGATGTGCCATCATCTTGCTTCTGCTGGGCAGCCATCTTTTCTTCTTTTGTTATGCTATATACACTGAATGTGTTTCTTCGGTAATAGCGCTAATTGCAAAACCAAATTAAATAGAAGGTATATATACAGCAATAAATATACCCTGGCCAGTTCAAGGTCGCCAAAAATATTTCGATTTCTTTCTGAGTTAACTGCAGATCTCAAATAAAGAAAACTCGCCTATAGCAAAGTTTTCAAATAATTAGCCAAAAAAACTTGAATCGAAACTAATTTGAATATTCCAATCCCAGACACCTGCTGCAACAGAACTGACACATGGAAAGGAAAGTATGCGGAACCAATCAGAGATTTAGACGTGTGTAATATAACTCAGTTGTCAAACTTCTTCTTGGTTCTTTCAGTTTTATTTGGGTGAAGAGAACTGGTACCTTCAGAAACCAGATTTTCTTTTTAGTAATGTGAATGTTACATTCAACATTCATTGGTTAAATAAATATAGTGACCAATATAGAGTACGAAAACTCGTCCATAATCAGCGGAGAAGTAGTTCTACATATACAAGGAAGAACTCACAAAATCGCCGGCCGCCGCTGATCGTGGTGCCCTGGGTTCAAGAGGATATTTTTTTCTTATCGATACTGACGGTTTATTTCATATTAAGTATTTTGAGAACGGACCTTTGGAGCCAGGGTAATCGAGGTGGTACATACGAGAGTACCTCACCGCTGATTGTTGTCGACTCTCCGGATAATCCGGGAGACTCCCGATTTTGAACCGTTTTTCTCGGTCTCCAGATTAGAGTCTGAAATCTCCCGCCTAATTGCCGAAGTTTGCAATTTCTAACTTTCTGTCAATGAAATTTAAGAAAGTCGAATCTACAAGAAATTAAAATATCGAACGTTTCCTCAGAAACGCCGGTATGCCATTGTAATATAAGAAATAATGTGATTGGTGCGAAGTAAACCAATCAGATGCAAAATGTTACAATATTATTAGACGTTCAAAAAAGTCCTTCGTCGCTCGCGGTCGACCGCCGCTCCGCTCGCCAAGAGGTCGACTTGTAGCAAGTCTACAATTTTAGCAACATCTTTTTCGCAGGTATTTTTTTTTTTTGCACAAATGACGTCATGTTTCGTGCATTATGATGCCATCTATTATCTCCTCCCCGTCAATTCTCTATTTGAAGATGTGGGGGGTTGACAGCCCTATATTAGGTCAATTTATACATACTGAAAAGCTTGCGTATTTTGTAACAGTGTTTTGAGTCGTTCTGCCGATCATGAAACAGTCATATATTAAGTATGACCAGAAACTCACAAGGGGTTGAACAACCCCTTATGAGTTTCTGGTATGACCTACTGACATATGTGTAAATCTCTGATCAATGAACAGAATGAATTCTGAACGCAAGGCTCAGGGCTGAAGGTGGAATTCAGCCGGACTTATTAGAATGATGTATTTTTATCTTCCTTAGTGTTTTGAAAGCGATGGATATTGAAGAGAGATTATGCGATTTATTGAATGGTTAGAAAAAAAGTGTTAAAACTATTAAGATATTGTATGTCCCGCGCTTAAGTCCAGCGCGTTTCTCCTTCTCTTCCGAGAGGGACTGGAGATACTTCAATAAGTTCATCATGGCGGCCAGTGTAAGTTTGAGAGATGCTAAGGAGGCCCTCAAGAAATACCTCCCTTACAGTGGTTTAGCAGGTTACTCTGTGTTAGCTCTTCATTCAGTGAAAGTCTACCCTGAAGAACTTATTATCAGCAAAGATTCGAGGGCAGTTATTTTTCATGGAGCCTTAGTTTTGTCCGGAGTGGGCTTGAGCACCTATATGTATACCAGACCTGTGTTTGATGTGATGCAGCCGCCCCAGAAAAAACGTGTTTTATGGAGCTTGTTTGGTTCATGGATGTTCAATTTTGGTTCGTTGTTGCTATGGGCGATATGTAAAGAGATCTTCCCGAAGAATAAGGTGTTACGGGCTTTTGTAGCCTTGTCTTCAAGTGCTGGGCTTGTTTACATTGCCAAAGATTATCTACACGCGGTAGACGCGCTTCGATGGGGGGTCATCGCCGAACGTACTGAAGGTGGACAAGAGCTTTGAGAAGTCAAATTTTACCTGGGAGAGCCACATCCATCAGATAATGGCGACCTTAACTAATATATTTTTACAAATTAAAAGTGTTAGCGTACAGTCGACGTGTCTCAACGGACACCTCTAGAAGTCTGCCTAAAACTGACACTTACAGGTTCGTCCCTTCCATTCTTCAGTTTGTCTACTGTACGTTTTGTTAGAGAAATACTTAGCGCAGGTTCCAACAGGTCCTATTAGAGTTAACTGTACATACTTTTGAAGCCTTAACTGTCACCTTTGCGAATTAACCCTGACTGAGTTGTTTGAGGCTTGGTTAATTTCAGTGTTCGGTAAAAGTGAAGAAGAACGTCCCCAAGAATTTGACAGTTGGTCAATAGTCAGCCTTCTCTCAGTCCATCGTCAGCTGATAAATGGCCATCAGTGGACCAACTTTTGGTTGACAAGTTGTGTGGGAGCTTTTCTTCACTTTCTTCCAATCTTGGGTTAACTGAAAACAAAGCTTCACAGTTTTTATAGAAGCCAATTGTGTAGACTTGGCCTTGAGCATCCCAACCAATTCGCAATTAATCTCGTTCTCACGGTGGCCAAATTTGTGATACTGAAAAGGGAACCAAGAGAGAATAGATGGGGACAGAGAGGGAGTCTTCAGGCACTGGCCAGGATACTTGAATTTCACTAAAATTAATATTAGTATGGGTAATAGCATGATTTGTAGACTCCTGTTTAATATTACAACCTCTTATACTACCACATGAGGAATTTCTGCAATTTGATTGGCTTAGAGCAGTGGTATTTCAGCTTAGTTTGAAATACCTACATGTGAAAATTGCAAATCTCTTGCAGGTAGTAGTTTAAACAAATAATAGCATGAATTGTACGTGATATTTGGCGTAAATATCACTTGTGATATTTCAAAATTTGTCTCAAATTTCACTCGCCTAACAGCTCCTGAAATTACGTATAACAATTTGAAATATCACTCGTGGTATTTATGCCAAATATCACTACAAATCATGCTATTACCTATACTAATATTAAACAGAAGTCTAATTTCTGAGACTTCTGTACATTTTTTATGCATTGTTTGAAACATCAAGTCTACATGCGACTGCCTCAAAGCAAATAATGCAGAATATTGTAATAGTGTCTGTTGAATTCTCTCTTGACAACTGAATAACAGTTTGTGGGCCTCTCCGGAAACCAACTTGCAATTATTAATAATTATTTCAAGCGTTTAAAATTTTTTATTGGTCTAAAAATAACTGTGGTGAAATTCATGTATTCCAAGGACTAGACTGGCTCTTTGCCTCTGACTGCCCAATAAAATTATTTATTCTCTCTCAGGGGAAGCTAATCAGGACAATATGTTCTTGGGCAAAACTATTGCAGTCAAAGTCTTCGAGAAGAATGAAAGTACATGGTTCATACAATCTTAAAAAGGTGTTGAATTTTAGTGGTCGTCTTAATAAGTCCTGGAATTCGGTTAAGGTCCTTGAAAAGTACTTGTTTTCTTTATTAGGTCTTAAAAAGTCCTTGAAATCCACTACTTTGTTTATACCACACCATTTTCTGTGAAATTAGATTATTTCGCCAAGGATATCTTGGCTCATCCCCTGTGCAAAAACCTGTAAAACTCACGGGTACTGTCAAAACATTTTTGGGCTTGAACAAAATTCTATTTCTGTTTCTTTACATACCCAGTGACTGTTGACATTTATTTTTGTAAAGTGTTGTTGTGGAAAGTAGTGTAAAATAATGTGATCAACCATGGCTGAAGAAGTAAAAATCGTGAATGGCTCCATTGAGTGTTTTAGCCAATAAGGTGTTCAAAGGGGGGGTTAAAGAATGCCAATTTATTGAATAAATTTTAGTCGGCTCCTTGAAAACTATAGTTTGTCCTTGAAATTTGTTTGTCTGAAGTTGTAAAAACCTTGAAGTAAACTTTGCCTCCAGCTCACACTGGAGCAGTTCCAGATATTAATTCCTCACTTTACTTCCTCTCACCTCACCCAACCCCAATTCTCTCTGTTCATGCAGACTATTTTTAATTGCAAGGAAAAGAGTTCAGTAACAGTGCCCAGGGGCTCTTCACTTTTTCTCATAAACTTTGCAATGATTGTGCCCTTAAAAATTCCATCTCCATTAGCTGTCCCAAGTCTACAAGGATGGTGATGGTGTTTGTGGTCAACACAACTAAAATTGCAACAAGGGGTACAAAGTTTCATCAGCTTAAACGAATATTGTCTGACACACCCTGTCCCAAAAGATTGGATTCTCTTTGATTACTTCAAATAGTGTTGTAATAGAATCCTAAAGTGTGATGTCATTAAAAATTACATTTGTGAAATTATGAGATTTTTTGGGGCATTATGAAAGAACATAATCCAAAAGGCCTACTTGCCAAAAATTAGCATTCCAGGGGAAATTGTCTTTGTGATATTAGCCCAGTTATGCTCTGAGGACTCCTTACAAATCCTTTTAAATTTGACTCAGGTCATAATAATTATTAGGAACCATGTCAAATTTAGAAGGACTTTTATAGAGTCATCAGATCAAAACAGGCCTAGTATGTGCGAGACAATTTACCCTGCTAGTTTTTGGCAAGTGGGCCTTTCAGAACTTGTTCTTTCAAAATATTCCAACAAATCCCATAATTTCAAAAATTTAATTTTTATGACATCATCACTTTAGAACTCTATGTAAGGCTGTTGTTTTCAAATTATCAGACCATCACTTACAAAAATAGCTACATATATATCAAATGACCTGCTTTGGTGCAACTATTTTATGAACCAATGATTTTTTTTAGCATTGACACCGAAACGTCGTGTTACTGTTTTATCGGTGATTTTTCTTTTAAAATGGAAGCATGATCCTCACATTAAATTTGGACACGGTCTTTTTATTTCTTTACAATCTTTACTAGGACTCAGACTATCAAATTAGCAATTCCTTTGAGTGCTGAGTAACTTATTTAAAAGTTTAATAAATTGCATGTAAGCTATCTACTAGCTAGGGGTAGCAAGGGTGATACGGGGGTGAGAGCACTCGTCTCCCACCATTGTGGCCCTGGTTAGAGTTCTGGCGTCGCCGCCGTATGTGGGTTGAGTTTGTTGTTGGTTCTCTTCTGTGCTCTGAGGTTTTTCTTTGGGTACTCCAGTTTTCCCCGCTCCTCAAAAACCAACATTTACAAATTCTAATCGAGTTCTGCAATGAGCCCACTGGGTAAACAGATTACTTAATGTTACTGTATTTCTTTATAAAACCCTCCAAAACGTCTGCTGTAAAAAACGAGAACTCTTTAACTACCCAAAGTAAAGCATGTGATATGATGATCAAGGAAACTTGCCTTTTGTTTTGTCATAAATCATGAAAACACATGCATGTGAGTAAGAGAAAATTGGAAAGAAACAGTTCTCTAGAGCCATATCATGAGACTAACAGCAGGAAAAACATACTTAAGCTAAAAAAGTAAGCTGTTTTGGTGAATATTTAAGGAATGGAGTACGAGCCAAATAGGGGAAATAATGAAGACATTTCAAAATAATAATACTAGCCGTGTGGTGAGATGGGGCTACCTGGGTCAGTTTTTGCTGGGTATGTGTCGCTGGCCTCTCAGAACCCCTACCCCGTTAATCTATTGTGAGGCCAATTATAGACCCCATCTTAGTCACTTTTGGGCAAATGTAACTTACTTTGCCACTTCCTGTTTATGCATCTACCTAAAAGCCTAGTAGTTAAGTCATCCTAAAATAAATTCACACATCATTATTTTTTAAATTCCTAACAACAAAAATTTTCTTAACCTCAAAATCTCGAAAGTGTGCGACCCCATTCTAGTAACTCTTATGAAAATGTAACCCGATAAATTATTATAGTCAATCCATAAAAAATGCAACCCCATCCAGCGGCTCATCTCTATTAGCCTATTAAAACAGGAAGTACCGTGATTATAAGTCTGTGTAAAATCTCTAAACACAGCATATTATTAATTCTACTCTACAAATCAAATATGACACAAAAATACAAAATGTTTTGCTCTTGAAGAGCAGAGCTTTATTTCCACAAAGAAGAATATTCTTTTTCTTGTTTGTTTGAACACGTAACACTTGATCTAAGACCCTTGCATCCACATGACAAAAATATCTAGACTTTTACAATAAGTTCCCCACCCCAATTCCCACAATTTTCATGTAACCACCTCAACACTCTAAAAATCAGTGGCATGATAGTTTTCTTCATATATCGATCTTTATCTTCAGTCTTTTGAGTTTTGATAACTTTACTCGAGGTTCCAAAGACTTCTCAGGATTGTCGCATGGGCAAACATAACAAGCTTGCCTGTGCTACAATCTTAAGGGTGTGCTAGCAGTCTAGAGGTTTCAGGTCAAAAAAGATTGTAGATAGGAATCTCTTTACAAACCGAGGCATTAAACACGTATGAATCAGAATAAAATTAATATCATTTCAGGGAAAAAAGAAATAAAAATCGATATTAAATAAATCAATAAAAAATCAAACGGAATAAATAACTACTACCCTAGTAAATACACATTAATTTTCCATAATAATTTTTCATGGTGTTCAAATTGTTTAAAAAGTGTAGACTGATGAGATTATAATTTGCATGGTACTTTCATATATTATAATATTATCAAAAAATACTGAATTAATATGATTAAAATCTCAGAAGGGGATCTGTTATCCCCTATTCCCTACTTTAATGGGCAACTATTTTAGTGTCAGTTTAACAAATATATAACAGTACAACTTGAAACAGACCAAAATACTACAGTAGCTGTAAAATAAAAACATTTTTCGAATGATGTGAAAGGTATGAAAATTAACATTATGCAGGTTAAGCTTGTTTAACAATCTACTTACTTTATTGTAAAGTAAAATATTTTACTTCAATTTAAAAATATTCTACATCCGTGGTATTTTGATACATGGAGGTTTAAACATGTTACTGTCCCTCATCTCTGTAACTAACTTGCCACAAGTGAAGAGACGTTTACGGTGCAAATAAATTAAACTACTAAAACATTTCGCCGGGGGGTAATTGTAAATTAGCTGGCAGTCAGTGACATAAGAACTTCCAGGCAGGCCTTGTAACAGAACATGTACTGGTCCTATAACAAAATTGTAAAGAACAAAGAATAAACAACTGTTTGGTACTAAATTAGTGCTAAAAAACAAAACAGAATACATTGCCTTCTAGTTCTTCAACCTTGGTATGTTATCATTAATTTTTGTAAAACAAAGGGTAGCTGGCTGTTGTCAACATGATCTTAATTCACTTACCTTTGTTTGAATCATGCCTTGCCTCTGTTCACGAAGTTTTCTCACAATCTTGTTGACATCAAACTGTCAAAAGTGAAAAAGAAAAACCGCGTGCATTGATGGTTGTCACCCAACTCAATTATTACAATGTACTGAACTGCTGACCGTTGATTAAACATAAATGAGCCACTCCCTAGCGTTAGGTGCAGCTTTTTACATTTTCTATTTGTGTGTTACACAAAAAGATGTGATGTTTCAACAATGGCCTGCTGTGTGAAGTAACAGGGTTTGCACAGTCTTGCTAGTCCTTGAATTTTAGGGGAAGTCCTTGAATTTTCTTCAACTTCAAATGTAGTAGCCTGTAAGATGCTTTTTAATGCTTCTTGGTTGTCCAACACAGAACATATAGGTGATTTACATAAAGCGATTTTTGTTTTATGCAATAATTAACTACAGTCGAATCTCCGCTAACCGGCACCTCTCTACATGTACAATGGCCACTTTTTTTCGTCCCGGTGGACAAAAAATCCATGCATTGACTCTTGTTTTAAACCTCTCTACAGCGACCACTTTCTTCTGTCCCCAAGGTGGCTGTTGTAGAGAGGTTCAATTGTATCAATTAAGACAAGAGTACTGAAAAATAGAGAAAATTTGGTGCAGCAAACAGTTCAAGCCTTTAAGTCCTGGTAGAATGGACTGGGAATGTGCATTTTTGTACAATCTGTGAAATTACATTCCTGGAAGGTGGTCCTTGAAAATCAAATGTGGTCCTTGAAAAGTCCTTAAAAAATGGTTACGATTTTTTGTATGTACAGCATAACGCCAGCTGCAGTCATCAATTGAAAATGCCATGTGTTTTTACTGCTTATTTTTGTTGCAAAATAAGTTGTAATGCATACCGGTAAATCTCTTTCCATGAGACCTATTGCCACATCTATGGTGATAAGAGCACCTGTTCTACCAATTCCAGCACTGAAAGATCAACAAAACATTTGAACAGTTACTAAAATCAATACAAATTACACCAGGTACAATCAAAAGTTACTTCCAGGCGTATGAAGATTTCAGTTACCTGCAGTGAACAACAACTGGGCCAGGACCATCAGCAAGAAGGCGCAAGAATCGAACAAATTCTACTAACTCCACAGCGGACTATAAACAAACAAAATTTGGAATGATATCAGACAAATTCACTCTAATGTTAACAAAGTGTGGTACTAGTGAGGCAATATCTACATTAAGGATCAGTACTGTATCAATTGGAGTATCCACACTCCTAAAATGCATAGTAGTGGAGCACCGTGGGTAAAATAATTTGATTATCTATGCATCCAAGAAACTTTGGTTCTGAAAAATTGTCTGTGTGCCATCCAGAAAAGGCCTGCGTAACAGGTTTTGATAGGATGGATAGATAGATTTTTAATGAGAATTTTAACTTGAAATCCACAGATAACATACGCTTGGCCCTCAACCAAAAACTAAGCATAAAAAAATGAAACAAAAATTAAGTAATGAATAAATACACAAAATCAAGAAAGTCCTACTTACAAATTATAGTTACAAATATTATGGTCATGAAAGGTACGTTTTAAGTTTCGGTGAAAATGTACTGATCGGGAGAGGGATTGGGGAGAGAGGGTAAGTTCCCTTCCTTTTTCTTTTCACGCTTTTCTCCCTTTTCCTCTCCCCTTCACCTTTTTGCACAGTCTGCCATGCAGGCTACCCAGAAAATGCCTACAGTGCACTGTCAATTAGGATCCATGGATAAGTGGAGTCTCAAACATACTTATCTTAGTATCGCTGAAAACCTGAGAGTACAAGCATGAAGTATTAGCTAGCATACCTTTGGAACTCCATGATCTGGCCATGTAATAAAGTTTATGTGAGAAACAGTCCTGGTTTTACCAGTCTACAAATTAAAAGAGAGAAAATGAAATTAGACCATTTCTGCTTAACATTCATCTCTCTCAAACACCACACAGGCACCCCACTAGCTCATTTCCTCAACACAAAACCTTCAAAAATCTGGAAGTCTAAGCAAAGCACTCCTCTGAAAGAATTACACAAATATTTGAAATAGCACTACCTTAATAAATTTAAAGTGCTTGAGGGGCACTCAATCAGACAAACATAAAATTCACAAACTAAATGAGAAGTACCAGGAAATATTTTTAAAAGCTTCAAAAGTATGAATATATAAAAATAAAAAAAAAACAGGACCTAAGTTATATACATGCACAAATTTTGCACACCTGAAAGTCATGGAGCTCTAATTCTCTCTCTATAAATGAACCAAAATCTTCCTGTCTTAGAAGGCTTACTGCTATTCTGCAGAAACAAAGACAACAGAAATTCAACGTGCTGACTAAAAATTTGTGATACTAGAGTGACAGTAAGAAACAGTGAACATCAACTGAAACTGCTAGTTTATTTAGCTTGAACAGCTCAACATTAATTACTAGTGACAGCATCTTATTCACCGAATACCAATCTTTATCAAGCATTATGCTCTCAAGAATATTACTCTGCTAGAATAACAATACTACTCTGTCATGTAAAAAGGTGAAAAAAAAAAAGATATCAGACAAATAAAACCCTGTATACCCTAACAGTAAGAGTGACCAAAATCTGACTAGTCCTTAAATAACCCTTCTTGAGGGTTTAAGGTCTTGAGAGTAAAGGAAAGGATCTCTAACAAAAAAGGGTCTGATTGTTTAACAATTCAAATTCTCCACATAGGTACACAACAGCAAAAAAGATGGAAAATAGTGCAGAGAATAAATTATAAATGTTGACCTTAGGGTTTAAGGAGTTAATGATCTGATTTCCAAGAACCTTATATGCTGCTGGTGACAGCATAATTGATATGTTAATTAGCAGCAGTTGCAGAAACAGCATACACTAACCTTTCTGTATATACTACAGGTTCATCCTCAGTGTTTGGCCAGTACCTATGGCATTTCACCTGTGGGAAAATGACAACATTGCAGCAATCGCTAAAACTAGCAAATAAAGTACATAAAACTAGTACTGATATTTAAATAACTACCGAAATTTTCATATCAGTGGATTTCAGTTTTGGTGTAAATACACATCATGGTATCATCTTGAAATATTTATATTTTACTAAAACACGAGTCTATTTATGATTTTTTTTAAAGTAAAATTTTGGCATGAAATTCAGTTTCACTTTTTAAAAAGACCTCCTTTATGTGATTAGAAAACAAAATCAGGTGTCGAGACTCCCATGGAAAAGGGTCTGTAAATGGGTAGGGCCACTAACGGAATGTCCATAAAAGCAGCCACTGGCAACGTGATTTTATCAAGGAGAATTCAAGTAGAGTTGTCTACTTAAAAGAATGTTGAAAGAGGTTCCACTGTTACTAACTTCAACTGTTAGACTTCGCTAGTTCATTCACATAATAATTTTTATTACACATAACCACGTCTCGCTAGTGAGTACAGGCTTCTCAAACAAATGTACAACCAATAAACAGGGTGCAAAGAAAGTTAGCCCGTGTAGCTGGCAGTTTTTTGCTGTTTTTTTTTTTATGGTTCGCAAAGTAAGAGTTACAGCTGCACAAAATCTGAACAGAGGTCCAAACAGAAAATGATGGGGCAGGGGCCATGGCAATGGGAGAAGGCAGTGAGAAAAACTGCCTGCAATCAACCCCTTGAGATTTTTGAAACTGCGTCCAAAAAGTGGACTAAGCAAACGGCATTCCTGATAGGCTGACAGAATGTCAACCTGTCAGCGGATGCCATATTCCCAGTGTATACAAAATACAAAGGAGTACTGTTGTAATGTGGCTTCGATCAAAAATATTCATCGCCAGTATTTGACACGTCAAGTTGAAGTTCTGCAGTTCTAGCACTCTATTCTTAATAGCAAGCATGCTGTTCTGAACGAGAAATGTTTCTGGAAAAGGAGAAAAAAATAGCTCTCAATGCCAACAGTTGCTTTGTGTGTGAACTTTTGCTTTTGCTTTTGTCCTACAATGTGTCATTATTTTTTACTCCAAATGAGACTTTTGTTAAAAAAAAAATCAGTATTTTTGTCTGATAGTGAAACAATCCAATTCCAATAAACAAAATTATTCCTGGTAAATAATGAGCGGAAAGCCCCGATAGACCAAAAAAAAATTAAATGGTCATAAACAACTGGCTTGCATAACAAAAAAAAACAACGAACCTTTGGAGCAACAGTTTGCTGGCTGGCATCAGACTTCAAAACATGTCACATCACGTGTACGCCAAACTCCTTTGCTCACAAGATTGGAAGGGCGTTTTAAAAATCTCATGGGGTTGATTGCAGGCAGTTTTTCTCACCGCCTTCTCCCCTCGCCCCCTCCCACACTGCTTTCCTTTTCTTTCTCAGTTTAGCTTTTGCGCAGCTGAATCTATTACTTTACGAGCCACAAATGTAACAACCCACCAAAAAACGGCTAGCTCTACAGGCTAAAAGAAAGTCAGTTTTACATCTTGTCCCTACGGGCAAGCCTGGCTTGTACTAGCCCAAGAATCATTGCACTTTTAGTTTTTTTAGATTACTTGTTTTATATATTCATTGCAGTAATACTTGAAATAATTTCACTTTGTCAGAATGATCAGCTTGAAAAACAGCTTTCAATCCACGTGAAATTGGAAGGAATTTAAGCAATTTGTCTTTCAGTACTTCTATAATTTGAATTCCCCTAAAAATGCCACTTAGCCTTGCTTGTTGGGCAAGTTAAGACCAGAATTCACTGGCCCGATGAATTCACAAAAACCCCTAACCCCAGGATATAGGACAGGACTTTCTTTGCCCGTTGAATAGTATAATTAATGTTATTGCCTGATGGTGGAGCTAGAGTGAAGAGCTAGAGTGAAGTTGGTGGTGACACTAACATGGACTCTGCTCTATGGTCACCCACTTACTATGGACACCCTTATGATATTATAAGGACAGTTTTGTTTGTCCCGAAGAAAAGCTCATATACATTCTCTAAAATTAACCAACTCAATACGGACACAGGCAATTTCAAACACTCATATCATCGTCAACCCTGCTTTATACACACTGGTTCCCTGCACACAGTCTATTTTCATTGTCACAATCATGAGCTGATTGTAGCATATCCCCTTGGTGTCTGTATTGACAGAGTTCCACTATGCTCCAAAAGAGGCTTTTCCTCCAAAGAATCTTAATAATTTTCACAAAACACTCTACTGAATAAATATCTTCAAATTAAAGTATTTTCTGCGATATCCTCCATCTGACCATGAAAACATGCTAATATATACCTTTCCTCCTTCTTGCTCTAGTGTTACCATGGCAATAACGACAACTTCTTGTTCCCAGACCATCTGCCAAAAATCTTGTACGGTGTTTGGAAGAGGGCCCTGGAACACCAATATAAGAACAACAAATTTTAAGCACAAACCACCCATTATGGCAAATCCGTGCTGTAAAAATTTGTAAAAGGTATGGGTGATGTAAAGCAAAGAACACAAAGAAGTTACACTAAAGAACTTAAGAAACCAAAAGGTGTAAGACAAGGAAAAAGTACATGGGTTCTTACACTGAGATAAACCCTCCTTTAACCATTTCCCATATACGGTGTATCTTAAATAATTTTCCAGATTGGGGGCTATCTATTTTTTAAAAATTTACTAGGTCACAACCAGATGAAAAAAGGAATTTCTTTACAGTTTTGAGTGATTCTTTAAAGAATTAGAATCGATCAATTTACTTCACACAAGAAAAGTCGAAAAAAAAGTCACCATTTACAGTCATTGACCCTATAGCCATAAAAGGAAATATTTCATTCAACAAAATATACCTGAGTTGCAATGTAGTGATAAACATCATCTCCAACAGGAATCTGGAATAAGCAACAAAAGAAGTAAAATTAATATAAAAGTTTACAAGGTAAAAAAATTTCCTTTTTGACTGTTTTTTAGCACTTTTCTGAAAGTCAAACTTGAATCTATCAGTACTGGTTGAGTATTTTGCTGAGTGATGCTGAATCTCATGGCTTATGTATCATGTAAGTTTTGGATACTGCCTACTCAATACCTCAGCTATTTGTTTTGGTGATTGCAACATTTGTTACTAAAAGGAATTAAGTATACCACTGGTACCTTCACATGACTGGCATTTATGTAATCACCATCACCATCTCTAGATAATTGGACCCTGGTCTTCTCAACTGAAATGTAAATTTAATTTCCTTTAGAATCAGGCATGTCACCAAAACGAAATTAATACAAGTTTGAAATATTTTGATAATAGAAAATTGATCTTTTGAGGGTCATACTATATCTTTTACTAGATAAGATATATATTTATACTCATCACTGTACAGATGTGAAGAGTTGATGGATTATCCATTTAATAGTAGCTAGCCCAAATGGGCTGCTGATTAATTTTAAAGTAGAGAGATTGAGCTAATGGAGTAACGTTAATACAATATTGCTATTAGCAAAGCCTTTTCGGTCAGGTTACTTGGTCATCGATAGTGGGTAGCAAAGGGAAACTAAAAGTGCCCCAATCCACAACCCCCACATTCAATCCACATGCACTGCATTTGCATGGCTGCTTGTAGCATCAACATAACACCTGCTTCATGAACTCAAATGAGCTATTACTGTTTATAAGCAGTTAAGTACAACATACATGGCAGCACATTTCTGTATCTGTTTTTATCCTTGTTTGCTGGTTTTTTCCCTGAGTCACATCCATCTGTTTGTTTTATTTCCCTCAAGGCCTACAAGAAAAAAGTTAACACAAAGTTGGGAAAGAAGTCAGAGTTTTTTGTCAACTTCAACAAAACAAATGTCATTGTCACTTGGAAAATTTCTATGACACTTCCCCTCAGTTTCCACCCTCATATAGCTGAAAAACATGAACAAAGAATTTTTTTGTCTCTTGTTTTAGTTTAAAACATGAAAATATAATACAGTGGAATCTTCATTTCATGAAGGGCCAAGGGACTGGCAAAATTTGTTCGCTACAAGGTTTAGTAACATCGAGGTTTTTTTTCATATATTTTACCATTACTGGGGCAGAGAAAATCATTTGTTACACCAAGGTTCATTATATCAAGGTTTCACCATAATAAGAAGCTGTTGTCTATAATTCTTCTGTGATAGTGTACAGCAAATTGCTGCAACATTACTCAAACTTTAAGAAGGACTTTGTTTAGGTGTATTGAACATGTCCAAGACATCGCTGCTTCTGAGCTACTGATAATTTTACTGATGAAAAAAGCAATTCACGTTCTAACAGAAGGTCTTTAAAAGTAATACAAACCCTAAACTCTTCAGCAGGGATGTTAGATAGTATTTTTTCCTTCACACTTCTGATGAGCTCAGCAAGGTTATCTCCTGAATACTGACCACCTTCAAGTACATCAATCAAAGGTTCTGAGGGAGCTGTCAATTCATCACCACTATAAAAAAGTGGAAAATAAAGATCATAGTGCTGATCAAAGTTCTTTGAAGTCTTTGACATCCACATTTTTTTCATTGGATGCAAATTGTTAACTTAAAGCTGGCAGATGTGAAATATTTTTGTTTCTCTGCCTTAACTTTACTAGCAAAGTCAATTATAGGAAAATCAGAGAAACCTATAACCACAACACTGGGTGTCATATCCTACAGTGCAATTTCATCACATTCACAGACCATCAGGTACATTATAACAAGGTAATCTGTGCATTCAAGAAAGCACATCTGTAAAATCCAGTTGCCTGTAGGACCTGAGCAAACCGCTTGCTATGAATATTAACTTGGGCCCAGCGTGCAAAGAAAGTAGTGTCCGATAGCCTGGGGCTGGTGGATTTTGCTATCGGGCTAGTGAATTTTGTTTTTAACTTGCATGAGAGGCAAGTGATGTGTCTTGAGAATTTGAATAACAAGAACTGTGGAATCAATTCTGCTTGTCAAAAAGCTTTTGGGCTAGTTGGAATGACGTCTGGGCTAGTAAATGCTAGCTTCAGCTTGCCCGAATAGCAAGCTGTAAAAATGATTTTCTTTGCACCCTGCTTTGGCCACCGAACCTTTTTACCCCCAGTAGTGTTGATGAAAGCTGAGAAAAAGGATTACTGTCTACACCACTGTATATCCCGGGGGTACTCCCTTATATGGCCTATATGGGGATATGCTGCTGGAAAGGGTATGGTTTTTGACCTGTCTGCCCTAAACAGGGAATTTTGGGCAAGTCTGTTCTAATTGTAAACAGGGTACTGCCTGCATGATTGAGTTGACTTGTACTTTCAATGAAATTTGTTGTGCTCCACATATACAAAAGCAATGACTAACGTGAATTTTCTCAACTGTGATTGCCAATAAATAACTTTGAAACAAGATGGCATTCATTATGTCATTTGTTCTAGAAGGATAATAACATTGAGGGTGGTGTCCTAAACAGGGCCAGACTTTCAAAAGCTCAGTGACTCACCTCTTCCCAAATATTGATCTAGTACCCCCACCCCTTCACCCGAGGGGTATATATCCAACAGTATCTCGAGAATATTACCTGCTGTGTCCATTAACAGATTCATTAACAACTGGTGAAGAGTAAGATTCTTCGGTGCTAGAATTTCCTGAAAACTTGGGAAGTGATTCCCTTCTTGGTGGAGGTTTTACTGGGGGCTCGTCATCATCTGATGGAAGAGGTGTGGTAGGGATTGGCGGAGGTACATCAGAATGTGCATCTACTTCAAGAGTGTTCGGTGTCGGGGAACTGTCTTTGTGTCCTACATTATTGTTTACTTCCACAGTTGATTCAGGCTTATCATTGTTGAGCATACTTATCACAAGCTGACTGTTGTCCCTCAGCATGTCAAACACATCCTCATTATCCATGTCAATATCATCATCGTCACCATCATTGCTACTGTCATTAACATCATTGTCAGTTGTAATGTCATTATCTGATGCAGAATCCAGCTGCTTTGTAATACTATGTTGAACAGCGAGGGAATTGAAAGTTTGCTGAGAATCGTTCCTCTCCAAACTTTGTCGAGATTTACTTGAAACAAGATCTCGTGGAGCTTCATTGTCACTGTAACCACTCTCCCACTGAGAGTCAAACTCCCTGGGGTCCACAGACCGTAGGGACTCTGGGGGTGAGGGTGGGGGCTGCAGTGATTCAAGTAAAGAGGATAACACTATATCAGTGTCTCTTTTGTTTAGCTTGGGTTTGGATTTGACGTTATCTGTGGGAGGCACAGGGGTATTATTTGCTGCTGAAATGGCATTCAAAAGTTCAGTGACATCATCTTCGTCTTGTATGTCTGTTGATCCAGTAAGTGTCTAAATGAAGTAGAGACACAACAACATTTAAAGGACGCCCAATTAAGTCATCACTAAGGCCTTTTAAGAAGGAATGGGGAATATTAAGAAAGCCCAAAACCTTGCAACGTTTTTAAAGCACTATTCTAGAACAACTTAATGATGAAAACACTTGTAATCCTGGAAATCTGGGTATTTTACTAATCTTACAAGACAAAAGTGAAACAGAAAAGCAAGACGATATCCCGGCCACTCCTTTACCACCACCCATTCTTGGTCTAAAAACATAAAATTTTATGATTTATGTTAAGTTATCCTCTCCTTCCAGGTTCAAGCTCTGTGCCAAAAATATTTGAGTAAAGGTGTTACAAAACAGTATAAAATTTAAAATGAAAATAATATTATTATTATGGAAACCTAAATGTCCTTATGAAAGCTTTAACAATTACCGAGTAATTACTGATGGTAGGCTGTTTACCGACTTAACTAAATAACTTGTGAATTCTAATTATACAGCTTTAGTAAAGGCAGTTATAAAATGATCTTTATTGCTTGCTTGTTATTTTTTTTTTTTAATTTTCACTGATGCAATTATTAAATATTAACAAGAGACAAATAATATTAATATTTATTACTGTATTATTTGATAAATACAATTTTTAATAGTAACTCAAATAAACAGGCTAAGATTTTCCTGTCTATTGACCTTAGGAGTATGTCACAAAATTATCAGTCATAAACTTAAAGCTGCTTCTAATAGTTTTATGATGTTATTGTTTCTGTCTGCTGTGAGTAACTATAGCTGCACCTTTACAAAACAACAATGAAGTTCCCTTGCAAGCTCTGAAATAAATGGCGGCCATTGCAAGTCTATATAGATAAATTCAAGATTTCAATTTCCCACATTTGACACATGGGTGCTATAAAAAAAATTATGTTTGCAGTTATTTAATTACTCTCAAACTTTCCTAATCTGTTTGTTTTGTTTCTTGTTAAATGTACTACAACTGAGTACATAACAGCAACATATAACAGAGAGCAAAGTGTTTGACTGTACAATATAATTATATGGTTGTCAGTAAGTTGAAATAGCGTCTCAATAATTAAGGGTCAAAACATGTCTGGCTTTACATGTTGTTTCACTTCTATATATCATTTAGCACAGAAGAAACTTACTGCAAAAAGAAGAGTAAGCATTTTAAATCCTCAGTTGAAATCTTGGTTTAAGTAAAGCAAGGCTCCACTCTAGCATGCATTAGAGATATGAATAAAAATGAAAGTTAGGCATGAGCTTAAAGCTTTAAGGGAAGTAATTATCTCTTATTACAGGAAGGGGTGCAGCATGTGAGAGGAACTGCTACAGGGTTTCTTTTTTATGATTATTTTAATCTCCGCAATGCAATAAAAGAATTGAAGAAGTTAAGTATTAGCCTTTATTAGTGAGGCAACTTAACGTTTAAAAGTTTACAGACAAGCCAGTACTCTTGATCAATTTTACAAAATATTAATGACAAAAAATTTCATCACTCATTATAAGGATAATCTGTTATTTAACCTAATAGCATGATTAAGTCCACTGACTGAAATGATGATCAACCAGACCTTATTTGGTAAAACTGTTTGATCTTGTCTACAGTATCATAAGCTTTAAAAGAGAAAATTAAGTTATGCCAGATCATCATTGTTAGTTTTCACATTTTAATAATTATTAGCTTCAATCACTGCTTTGTTAGTATTAAGTTTAATGGTTTATACTTCAAATACCACTATTATTTTTGGAAATAAGTGCCTTGCCCAAAATTAATTATTCTATTTTTATCGTTTCTTATACTATTAGAGAACCGCAATTTATTGCAAAATAAAATTAATTAAAGACTGTTTTTACTGGATCAAACAAAGTAGGCAACAAAATATAGTTAAACCTCTGCAGTAAATGGCTACAAGGCTATTATGGCCACACTTTTTATGGTCCTGAAGTGTAAGTTCACTACCATTGCAACCCTTAAATTCTACACCTCTAATCGTACATTTTATTGCTAAAACATGGAGATCACAGTGTTCCACAAATTAACTGCTATCAGTGGAATTCCTGGCTTGGCTGCCACTTATCCAAAGGCACATGACCCACTTATGAACAACTGGGGCTGATTTTAATGGTTTGGAAGTGCTACAAAAAAGTGCTGCTTTTTATACCTTATCCTTGTCCTCAAGTGTGATATCAAGGTCCACAGAGTGAGGTGATCGTTCAAGAGGGGCTCTTGTCACGGGTACATTTGACTGTGTTGCAGATGAACCCAGAGGTGACAGAGGAGGGGTATTTACTGAGTCGGACATGTAGAGCTTAGAGGGCCTGAGAAGGAAATAAATCATAAAATTAAATAACTTTAAAACATAAAATAGATAGTAAGAAATGCCATATATAATAATTATCATTAGTTACTGAGAGCCTCTACTCCACCATTCCAGCAAACACAAGGCATTTATTGCTAGATGGGTTGGGACCTCTACTGCTGGGGTGGGAAAGTGGGGTAGTATGATGCTCCCATGGCAAATAGAGCCTGGATGCTCAACTCTTTACAGCATTACAAAGAGCTGGGCCTTCAGTAAGGAGGGACCTCAACATATCATGTACTAACTTTAATCTATGAAGTAAATAATTAATTGCTATCATGAGGGTATTACTAACCGTAGTTACTATAGAACTGAATGTCTCGCAAACCCTCCTGAAATTCAGTGTGGCACCGATCAAGTTTAATACTGCCAAGCAGGGTTAACATCATAATAAAAACCAATGAGACCTTTCTTTACCAAATGAGGAGTATTTGTCAAAATGAAGCTACGGAAAGATCTAATGACTGACATGAATGATGCCATTCAATTAATATTATTCGTATTTATACTTATTAAGTTTCTTTCTTTTGAAAATAAATAAATAGACATGGCAACAAATTGATATTAATAGTACCTGTTAATTTCCAGCTCTACTGTTCCAGTGATCTTTCTTAACATTCCAATAACTTTTGCATGACTGAGGCCTTGGACATCTTCCTTATTCACCTGAAAATACACATCAATGAATTAAAACAATAATTGGAAGAAAATCATGAGGACAGTGCCGGCTTCTTCTCCTCCGATGTTGCCTCTGTGCTTCTGCATTGTCTTTGCGTTTTTTGAAAGGAACTCTCCAATGGTCTCATTCTCCTGTTTTTAAAATGGCCTTTTTTCTATTAATTTCATTGAATCTAACTCAACAACATTCAGAAAGTATGATGGACGAGGGAAATATGCTCCCACAATCAACTGCCTCCGAAAAGGCCATCTTTAGGACTTGCAAAACTGAAGAATTGAAGGCATGCATCTCTACGCGTCCATGTTAGAGATGTGCTTTTCTTCCAGAGGTTTCTCTTAACATAGCAAAGTTTATATAGCGCTTAGTCATGACAGAAAAATATATATAATAATAATGAAGAGAGTGTTGAATAAAAGCCTACTTTTAGGATCTGGTCTCCAACTTTCAACCTGCCATCACTTTCTGCCACACTTCCAGGGCTAATTGTCTTGATAAAAATCCCATGAGCCTAAAAAAAATGTAAGTCAACTTAACAAAAAAGCAACATCCCTAGAACACAGGAAAGCAATTAACTAAAATTGTGTTCTTACTGCTGGCATTATTTTCAATTTCTCTTTTGACCTCCACAAAATACAAACCCTCAAATAGTACTAAATTCTCAAGCTTAGAATTTAGACTAAAGACTGCTGATACTAAAGAGAATTGGTCATAGCTTTAGGGAAATGGACAAGACAAGTCAACTTGGCAAGGAATCAGCTTAATCAAGTGTGAGAGGGCTATACTAAACACAACCTCCCTGATCATTGTTATATATTTTTGGCCTGAAAAGTAGAGATCAGTCTTCTCTATTTGGGTGCATTACAGTCAAAACAAGTCAAGCGTACCCCCCAAGATTCTATCAGCGAATTGATTATTTGAAAAATGAATCCGTTAGTTGTTCCCGTAACTGGTGTCAAATTCAAAGCGGCATTTCTGTATGCGTAATGAGCAGTGACTATTTTACGAGAACTTCTCCGTATTTGGTCGGATTGGAAATCTTTGAATGGATTAAGCTTCTTAGAAGACATTTACATCAATTTCAGGAAAATGGAGCTGGTAGAAATTTCATAACTGCCTCGCGTGTGAATTCACGGCTCATTACACATACACGAATGCGGAGATCAATCTGAAATCTACAACTAGCAACGGCTTCAACTTTTGAATAATAAATTCATTAATGGATTCTTGGGGGGTATGCTTGACCTGGTTTGACTGTAAGCCAGCTTACACAGTCAGACAAATAGCACAAGGGTATGTAAAACCTAAACTTAGTCTTGGCCAGTAGTGAAAAGGGGTACATAAAGACACCGACTGCCCCTCTGTACAGTCCTGGCTGTGTACAGAACTTTACAGGCATAACCAGCATGTTATAAATAGGTTTCTGTATAAAAAATAAGGCTTTCAGTAGCAGTAGCGCTAGATGTCACTTGACTTACATCTGAGCTGAATGTAGGGGCAGCAACTAAACTGAAACCAAACCCACGTGGTCCTTTACAAAGTGTTACATTGAAGTGTTCACCCTGCACAAAAAGCAAATAACAGATGAAGATAAGTAAGAGAATTAAGAGTGAAAGTTTATTGCATTCAGCATACATGACTAGCAAGCAAGAGATGCACAGATGTCTGTATAGTAAAGGTTCTCTTAGTAGCAATGTGTTTGTATTACAAGGGCATCCAAAAAGAGACCTCTGTAAGGAGACCTTTGTAACTTTGACCCGATGATAGGAAATTACAGTCAAACCAGGTCAAGCGTACCCCCCAAGAATCCATTAATGAATTTAATATTCAAAAGTTGAATCCGTTGCTAGTTGTAGATTTCAGATTGATCTCTGCATTCTTGCATGTGTAATGAGCCGTGAATTCACACACGAGGCAGTTATGAAATTTCTACCAGCTCCATTTTCCTGAAATTGATGTAAATGTCTTCTAAGAAGCTTAATCCATTCAAAGATTTCCAATCCGACCAAATACGGAGAAGTTCTCGTAAAATATTCACTGCTCATTACGCATGCAGAAATACCGCTTTGAATTTGACACCAGTTACGGGAACGACTAACGGATTCATTTTTCAAATAATTAATTCATTAATAGAATCTTGGGGGGTACGCTTGACTTGGTTTGACTGTAAAACTTAATGAAATTAACAAGAATTTAAAAAATTGGTGTTAATTTTTAAATCGCATTAATTTTTGTAAACATTAATTTCAATGACCTTAATTTCCATTATTTTGGCCCCAAATTCTCGATACACTTCTGACTTTCTTGACACTTGAGAAAGACTATTATTTTTATCAGGGTGGAGATCCACCAGTAACAGTGAAACTGTGAAGAACCCTTGAAGTAGCCAGATTTCTCCGCTTTACCCCCTTCATATGTTTAGGGAAATAACATGCCAAGAACAAGGTCTCAATTTTGGATTATACGTTTAACTTTGTTCCCATTGTCTCAACAAATTGTGCATCTTTGTGAATGTCACATAAACCTCCTTCATTTTGAAATGTTACCCTCTCTTTCACGTTAATTTTGTTTATTCAAAAGTCATTTTCTACTAAATTCGGGCTAATCTATATTGAGGTAAACTAACAGAAAGGTACCTGAGAGTCCTCGTCATCATTCTCATTCTCCTTCATTCCATCCTCGTCCTTGTCCTTTAAGAACACACTGTCATTCTCATCACTAGAAGCTGCAGTATTTGTACCTGGCGAATCCACTGACCAGGATTTATTAGGTGCTTTGGAGTCTGTTGAATTCGCTTTGGACATGGCATACTTGGACTCTGCCAGCCTTGGTCTTCTTTCAACAAGCAGTCGCGCAACTGGCCTGGCAGCATCAAGATGCTGCCTCGCGGCAACAAAGCCCAGGCCATCCACTTTGGTACTGTTTATCTACAAGTATGGTAATTAACAGTTAATATTACCAGACCCTGGCCGATGAAAAGACAGATAGCGCTATATACACCAGATAAAATCACAATCCAGTGGATGCCTGAGTATTAGGAAAACCAATTGTGTTATCAGTGGATAATTTGTATCTGGATAACATTATTCACCTTCAAAACAAATGCCATTAGGCATATTCAGAATTTTTAAAATCTTTTTAATGCAAAAATTCTTATACCCTATTGCTATATTGCAGAGTTTTTAACATTTGGAATCACATTTGAAATTTTTTTTGTTTTTAAATTTCATTCTATAGTATTTGGACCACAATGAAAAGTACTTTACTTCTTGAGGGTTACATGGAATATGGCCATACAGTTTAAGGGACACTTGAAATAATGGCACATAAGTACATGTACCCCCCTCCCCAAACCCACACCACTAAAATCTCCCGTTAAAGCAACTTAAAGGAGAATCATGGAAGTCACTCGGAGCTTTTCCCAGGCACTTTATTTATTGTTGGCATTGATAGGTAAAAAAATACATGCCTCCAGTATTCTGTCTCCCTGCCGAAGATCTCCCTGCGTAGCTGCGGGTTCTCCTGGAACAACATCCTCCACATATATCTTGTGATCGTCACCCTCTTTAATTAGCAGCCCTATTCTTCCCTGGGAAGTTCTTGTTAAGTTAACCACCTCCACAGTTCCTGATTGGGTCGACCCCACAAACTACATATACAACAAAACACACGAGTTTTACAGTCAAGCCAACTCGAGCGTACCCCCCAAGATTCTATTAATGAAATTATCATTCAAAAGTTGAATCCATTGTTAGCTGTAGATTGTAGATTCATCTATGAGATACTGGTTACGGCAATGGTGACTGGATGCATTTTTCAAATAATTGATTCATTAATGGCATCTATGGGGGTACACTTGACCTGCTGTGACAATTTCTCGAGATCACTTTTTTACAGGCTCGCAAGGAAGGCCAGAACTGGTATTAATAATCGAAACAGAACATAACCCCTAACAGACAAGGGACAACCAGTTCTCTATTTACAAGCACTGCAGACAAGATAAACTTGCAACCACATAAAAAAAAAACGGTTAAAGTGAGGGCAAGTTTTGAAAAACATAGTAAATTCATTTTGCGTGTAGGGAAACGAAATCTCAGTATTCACATAGAAATCATATGCTGGGTACCCTGGATTTTACAGGTTCAGAGCACTGGGTTCTCTTCAATTTTTTGAAGTACACAGCATGTTGGTTAAAGTTAACCCCTCGTCTGAGACAGCTCATCTAGGTTTATAAAAGCTCTTTGACCTTCATTACAGTATTATCTAACCAACATTAATTCGGAAAATAGTAATTTAATAAGCACTTCTCCTGACTACCACACGTGGAGTGCAGCTTATCTACCAGAGAGTGGACACTTTACTTTATGTGATGTACAAGTATACAGCTATTTCAAGAAAGGTTGTAGGACATGTGAATGTGACAATCCCGAAAGGTATTGCAAGTGGCGTTGAGTTCACTGAACATTCTTCAAAGAAATTGAAAGAATGGCACGAGAGGCTATAGACATATGTTTGCCAGTGCTAAAGGAAAGCAACAAAAGTAGGTTCAACAACTGCAGTCATCAGGAACAGTGTATTGATCATATCCTATATTACCTTTTTGCGATTGTCACATGCACATTTTTTGGACAACCTTTCTCAAAATAGCGGTATGTATCTTAACAAAAAATAAACTCCACTCAGACTACACATTTGAGCATCTGTTCCACACAGCTCACCCCAGCTGGTCGTCTCAAAACTTTAAGTTTAACAGTCTGTTTTGTGGCTCGTAGAACATTTACAGCATCCATATGCTTCATTGATGAGATATCCTCTCCATCAACCTAACAGAAAGAATGCCAGACTTAATGAAAACTGAGTTCAACATAACATACATCTGTAACACTCCTTTGACCTTGGTAAACCTCAGCAGTAGTCTGCCAAAAAGTTCAAAAAACCCAACTAAAGGTTAGATTTTGCCAGAAAAAAAAGATGATAACAGTCAGTAGAGCACTTGACTGCAAAATGGGAGATCGTGGGTTCGATTCCCAGGGCCAGATCAATACTCCAAATCTTAAAAAAAAAAACCAAAGAAATGAAGGTACTTCCTTTGCCCTGCAAACTGCAAGATGTTTGTGTGGGTAAGATGACTATGCAAAATGGCAGTCCTGTCTCCACAGGGAGATGTAAAAATAATGTCCTCAATGAGTACTGCTGTGCTAAATAATATTATTTGACACTCAAACGTACTACACTTTCTTCTTCATTTTGTTCCCTGTTTGGGTAAGAATTCATTGGTGCTGTGTTGACAGGTGCCTCAAGGTAGGCTGTGGCATGGTTGCCATGGCAACCTCTCCTCTGTCACTACCAATGCGGCACCTAACCTCCAACACTACTGACTAATGTTTTTAACACTGAGGGTACACAGCATTTTTGATTCCTTACCGCTAGTATTTGATCGCCTGCTTGCAAACGCCCATCTTCTTTAGCTGGACCACCCACAATGTCACGAACAAAACATCCTCCTACAGTATTGGCACCACCAGCTAATGTGAAGCCAAGACCACCAGAGCCTTTGGTCAACTCTATGTACAATACCTGGTGTGAACCAAACAAGAGCAAGTTAGGCTGTTGTAGTTTGCCATTAAACCTCTTGCAGTCATGTTGCAACTGCTTTTGCTAGTAATCTAAGAATTGTTTTCTTTTCTTTTTTATACTACTACATGAGAAATTTCTGCAATTTTATTGGCTCAGAGCAGTGGTATTTCAGCTTAATTTGAAATACCTGCATGTGAAAATTACAAACCTTTCGCGGGTATTAGTATAAACAAATGATAGCAAGATTTGTACGTGATATTTGGCATAAATAGCACTCGTGATATTTCAAAATTGTCTCAAATTTCAATTGCCTAATGGCTCGTGAAATTACCTATAACAATTTTGAAATATCACTTGTGGTATTTATGCCAAATATCACTACAAATCATGCTATTACCTATACAAATAATCTCATAGTATAGTAATTAATTGCCAGCTAACCTCCTCCTGTGGAGTCAAGCTTCTTGGTTTTACATCCTCTTTAATATCAGTGACCAGGATTGACTTTTGATCTGTGTTGTTCATTATTGGTTCTTTTTCCACATCACTTTCTTCTGATTCTGATGAAGAGGAAGAAACCTCATCCTGTAAAACAGGTAAAATCGGCTTGTTACTAGCCAAAGACATTTTTCCTGTGTCCTTAAGATCAGTTTCATCCTCTGAAGATTCCACTGTGGAAAGCTTTTCCATAAGCTCCCTCACACTCTGTTCATCATATATAGAGCGATCAGGAGGAACAATGTCAATTGAAGAGGATCTCCTTGAGTCTTCAACATCGCTAGATTCATCTTCTGCTAATGGTGCATCACCGAGAGAAGTTGCATCTGCATCTTCCTCTTCTGTGCTGTGTTGAAACGCTTCCTGTCTGTTCACTTTTGGAATATCCTTTGGCCTCACTGATGTAATGTTAGGAAGCGAGTTAGTTGCTGCTAAAGTTTCGTGTTCTTTCCTAGCCTGTATTACAACTGGTTCTGACAACCTGCTAGCCAGGTTGGGGTGATTGGACTGAGCAATCTGCTTAGCTGACTCCTCAGATATCAGACTTGACCTCAAACTAACGGGTGCTTCGTTAATGACAGCTGCTTCTTGGGTTATTGGCACTTCATCTCTAACTTCAAGTGAGCTTGCATTTGATAGTTGCCCTCTTGTTGATGACTCAGATGATCTTTTACTCAGTGACGGCGAGTCAGCCTTCAGCTTATTCTGTATGTCCGCAAGAATCTGGGCAGGGTCCACATCACTAGCATTTGACCCTGACCTTTGCAGAAGTGATTGAGGGATAGAAGATGGTTCTCTTTTGACCAAAAGTTTTACTTCCGTTGGCCCAGTGCGTATTAGATTGATGGCTTCCTGGTGGGTTACACCTTGCATGCTATTTCCATTCACCTCCAGCACAATGTCACCTATCTGAAGTTTACCAGATGAAGCTGCAGGTTGCCCTGGAAACATCTTTTTGATTCTGAGGAAACCTAGAAAGGTATCGTATGGGGTGATAAGTACGGACACTCACACAAACAATTAAAAAAGGTAATAGAAATTAAACTACAATGATAATGATCGGAAAAACAACTACTACAAAGGTAACATTTTATGAACAAGTTCAACATAAGTACTACTTGCAAGCCACAATATTATGCTCATTCCAGTTTCTTGACATGCTTATTATTCATAAGTTGTTCTTTCCCCTACAACATCAGTGAGCTTACGTAACTGGACAGGAGAGGAAAGAAGACAGCAAACCTTGAGTGACAAGGGTGACAATAGTTTCTGCCAAACTTCATCCTCTTTTAAACAGATCTTTTTGTAAAAATCCAGAAAGCATAAATGGGAAGTGAAGATCACAAAACGCACAAGTAATAACCACGTCAAGTTTGTCACACACAAGCGTTTTGCCGCCCTCTTCTTTCGGCCGTCCTGTTGCGTCAACTCACCATTTATATTATGTGGCAAACTTAGTTTATTAACATTCTCAGAAAAACTTGTAATGTTGCTACTGTTAGATTTGCTTCAGTCTAGATCACTAATCACTAACTGTTTACCAATACTGGAGAATTACATTTGTAAAAAATGATTAAGGGGTGTTTTTAATAAAACTAATCATCAGTTAAAGTTCTTTTAGTTTGTGATTCTTCTTCACTTTATTATAATTATTATCGTTTGAAAGAGAGGAAGGAAAAAACTACTCTGTTTGAACTGTTTTCAAAGCAAAGGTCAAACAAATAATAGTGGCATAGTGACCAAATCCAAATCATTTAAACACAAAATTTGAGCCCAAGACTTAGGAAGATGTAATACTTCCGCCTTCAGTTTACCCGTTTCACAACTTCTTATGCTAATGTTTCATAATGGTAAATACCCATGATTACAGTATCACACAGCCCATTAAAAGGACTATAGGTAGATTACACCATCACCTCCATGCTCCTCCCCAGCTCCTTTGCCACCAACCAAACTGAGTCCCAGACCCCCAACACCCTTTAGAAGCTCCACTGTGAAGGGTTTATCTGTAGCCTGTGGCCGAGTCTTTTTTCCAGTTGACTTTGGAACATTAACAGGAACTGACCGATCCAAAACAAGCCTTGTCCGATGAGGAGCCATTTTAATGGTTTCCACTGCCTGCTTGTGCGTGACTCCAATCAGACTGATGCCATTCACAGCCAGGATGCGGTCACCAACACGAACCCTGCCATCCAAGTCTGCGGGTCCATTTGGCTGAAGTGATTTGATGTAGATTCCACCAAGTTTGACACTAGTATTTATTCCACCCTAAAATAAGAGATTAAAAAAATATTATAATAGACGAAAACACAAAGTAAATATACCCTAAGTTAGAGCCATTTGTAACTGGGTAGCAAATCTCATGCCATTTCCAAACCAGTAAGGAAAAAAAAAACAAAAAACAAACAAACTTTGATGCGTTACAGTTAATTAATTGGTCACACCCAGATACTTTTTAAACTGTTGATTTTAACACCATTGATTAATTAATTACTTGGAAAAAGTGCTGTTGGGTTGTCCAGGAAAAGTAAATATTCATACTTGCTTGCCTGATGATCAATGGTCCAGACATTTAATACACTAGGCGACAAGTTGCAGCAACATGTTGCAGTGACAAAATTGCTCCATGTGTACTGGAGAATTCTTGGTAAAATTGTTGTCGATACAATAGAATTTTGTTGCTGCAACAAGTTGCACAAATTCAGTCTGATTTGATTTTTTGCGACTTGTTGCAGCAACAAAATTCCGACAAAGAGTTGCACAGTACACCGTGTGCCCCTAAACTGTGGAATTCGCTACCATTACATTTGTGCAAGTCACCATCTTTAACTGGTTTCAAGAGAGGACTGAAAACATATATTTTTGGGCAATTTTTAGAGAGTGGGTCTTTGTTTTTGTAAAATGATTTTAAGACCTGTAATATATGGATTGTAAATAGATTTTTTAAATATTTTTTAATTCCATGCTTGTGGTATGTAAATTATTTCATTTTTTCCCTTTTTAACATTGTCAAGCGCCATGAGCTCAGGATATGAGCGCTATATAAATAAAGTTATTGTTATTATTATGAAGCAATTTGTCACTGCGACATGTTGCCCCAACATGTTGCTGCAACCAGTTGCCTGACCTGTACTCAAGGAGTGACCTGCCAGTGCAACGTGTTGCTGCAACTTGTCTCATGGTATGTTGGATGTGTTCCGACACACCATGAGTCATTAATACAAGCATAAAAATATATCCCAAGCAAGCAAAATTAATATTACAAAAGCTACTTGAAAGTCCAAAGGACAAGCTAAATTAAAAAAAAAAACGAGGTTTTGTTCTGCAAAGCTCAAAAAACACTTGCTTGCCGAGATCTTGGCAAGTAGGCTAGCCCAGCCACCTCTCATATAAACACAACAATATTTCCAGGAATAAACAACCATAGGTTAGCGAGCCCAGTAAAGTAAGACAGCTTGGCTAATGGGCTAGCTCACCAAATACATTATTAAATTATTATTTTTCATTCCCATTTTCTCCCTGAGTCACAAAGGAGTCCTGAAAAATGCCAAATGGGGTGTTTACCTGATAGTAGCACATGTAGCTCAGCAGCATTTTAAACTCGTCGTTGTGTATTAATCTAGCAATCATACTTACACTGACACTTAACCCCAAACTTCCTTCCTTTTTTTCCAAATCAACAACAAAAGCACCATCCTGCAGAAGTAAACAAAAAGCAAAAATATTCTAAACAAAGTAGAACACTAATATTTCTGACACAACAGTTAATACTATCTTACTTCACCTCAATATCTTTTAATAATTATTTTTTAAACAACTCTTGCTCAATATAATGCTTAAATCTGCGTTTTTATCACTAGAGATCCCTACATGACCAATTTTAATCCAGCTGTCTTATTCCCAAAACCATCCTTATAAAATGAACTTGACAAAGAAAAGTGTAAAATGGGTTTCATAGCATGTGGAAACAAACAAATGCAAGGCTTTTCATGAAATACAACTTAAGTTCATCGAAGAAAAAAGTGAAAATTAGCATAATTAATATTATTATTTAAAAAAAAAGCGACTGCAAATAATTATTTTGCAGATTTTTACTGTCACAGGGTAACATAGGACTTAACTCGACATCCTGAATTTTGCCTCTCTCTCCAGCAAACAAATACTAACTTAAAGACCTTTCATGGCACTAAATGACAGGCCTTGAAGACAACAAGCACTGTAACAAAAACTTCATCCAAGGGTTAGAAATAATATTATAGAAAACAAATATCAGTCAATAAAATAAACAACTCACTGGAAATGTATCTTCACTATATGCACCACTCTCCTCCCCACTCTGGGATTCCTGTGCAGATCGTGGCGACTCCTCCACAGGGGAGGCAACACCGGTGGAGACGAGTGGTGCAGCAGCTGACAGAAGAGAACTTTGTATGTTTGCCTCTAATGGCACACCTTGACTCCTTGACTGAGCCTTTCTCCCTCCAGTATCTCTTGAATCTTGTGATACTTTGATTGGATCATCAGAATCTGACAAATTTAACAACAAAACAACACTGATTACCTCAGAGCAACAATAATGAAAGGCATGAAGGGCCAGTGTTGCGATTTTGATGGAAATGAAAAATTGCTCAAAAATCACTATCTTTTTGCACGTAAATTGTTATATCAGTGAAAGATAGGCAAGGGTAGGTTTGACCTTGTTTTGGTACCTCCATTCCTTCATCCATAATTAAATCCCATTAACAAAACCTCTTAATAAAAGCGGGATGCCTGTTTGTATCAAAACAAAGACACTGTAGATGTACATTATTTTAACAGGGAAGTCACTAAGCGCTCAGAGGCCGATGATTTTCCCCGGCTACTATGAGGATGAGCCCCGGCTACTCTTATAGGACACAAAATGAAAATGGGACAAAAAGAACTTCTTAGCTGTACAATATTCCCCTCCTACTAAATGCATATACCTGGCAACTTTTAGCGACAGCCCTGTTTTAGTACAAGACCAGGGCCGGGTTGTTCAAAGCTGGGTTAAGATAACCTAGGGTAAGTGCGAAATTTGAATTCAGATATGAAAGCTTAAAAAGTAAATTCAGTATAATTCTTTTTGTCAACAAGTTGATGGTTGAATGCTCTTATAAAATAACAGAGAAAACTATCCGAGAAAATGTTTTTGAACAAAGGAAAAAGAAACCTGGGTTAAATTTAACCCTGGCTTAAACGCTAATCGGCCTTTGAACAACTGGGCCCTGGGTACTGAGCTAAGCACATGGCTGTAAAATGGTGGGACAACTGGCCTTTGTCCCAAGAGTGACCAAAATCAACTTTCTCCCAACAACAACCATACATCATCAAGAGAAAAGGTTAGGAGAATTAATGAAATGGTCAACAAAAAATTGCTTTGATCTTTTATCAAATTTTCTCATAATTCTTTAAGGAAATGTATGAACATCAGTCGGGAGAATTTGTATGTGGATCGTCATTGGAGCTTAGAGGGTTAACAAAGCAAATTACATCAGTGTCAGACATACCCCTCTCCAACTGACTCATTCTTGAAGGTCTGTTTGATGCTGACACCACAGAAGGAGGAATTGACTTAGAAATCATTGTCACGGGTTCATCTTCTGAGGGAAATGCAAAAGTTGATGGACGCGGCTCAGAATGGGTGTCTCTTGGCGAATCCTGTGGGCTGTCTGGTTCTGCTGCTGAAGATGGTTCACGTGGTGTCAGAGGCTTGATTTCAAGAGTTTCTGGCTCCTCATTGGCTGAACTTGCATTTGGAATACTAGAAAGATCTGTTGAATGAACAAGACGTTAAAACAAAAATGTCTGCACTTTGCCATAGGTAAAAAATAGCTCTATAGAGAGCATGTGTTTACAATTCTTTTTATGTATGTTGTGTATTTGCATTTTTATTGGCTTGCTGTCATATGAGCATGAAATGTAACCTGTTTGGTAAAGAAAATAAAAAAAGCAGGATTTTTTGCATGGAAGAAAAAATTTGGGGCGCACAAAAGTAAGCTTTAAGTTATGCTTCACCATGTCATATAGCATGCCGAAAACTAGCATTGAAGGGAAAATGAAGCATGACTTCTTGCATCAAGAAAAATAGAGCCTGAAAGAGGCTACATTATTCTACTCTTTTACAAACAAAACAGATTAGAATAGAATTGAGGAGAACCTTTCAAAGAAAATAATGACAGAGGCTCATTCTTACTACATTCAAAAAATTAATAACAAGCCTGTGGCCTGGCACAACTCACCAAATGAAGATAAGTTATAGGCACTTTGTGAAACTCTTAGCTCCACAGGGCTGGTTACATTCTTAAGAATGTTTACTGCGTGCTCATGAGTGACCCTCTCTAAGCTTTGCCCATTGACAGCTAAAATACGGTCACCTATACAGAAAAATCAAACCAACTTTTCATCACAAACTGGCAAATGAGAAGAAGGTAATTGCATAATGATTCAAGCCAAAAATTCCTGGCTGAATACAAATTCAAAGTCTAGAGGAGAAATAATATTTAATTACAGTAGACCCATAAAATACTAGCTGTTTATATGAACACCAATGAAATACTAGGTGAGCTTTCCTGCGAAAACGGTGATATTTCCACATGTGACAATAACATGTCATCTTCACACATGAAAAGGTCCCCGCTGCTGTGGTTAAATTTATTAAACATCACGCCTTCTGCAGCAAAAACAATTATTACGATCATTTGAAATGGTTGGGTACTTCATTGGTGTTATAAGAAAACAATAGAACATGAAATGGCCACTTGGATATGATCAGTAGCACAATAAGCATGTACAAATGTGTAACATGCATCAAAAATGCAAAATTTCTACAAATTTCTCAAAACTCACGTTAACACTTTAATTTGCACAGTACAACACACTAAGGCCCCAAATAATTATGTTTCACTTGGTTTTAGCTGCCTAGTCAGCATTCTTAATTTTACCCATGATGCTTTGCAGCCTCTTAATTTGTTAAAATAACTAGTAATCTGTCCAAATTCATATTAACATTTTATAATTACCACAGTAAATCACCATAACTAGCACAAGATTATATAATTGAAAGTTTTTTGCCAAGTCAGCAATTTTAGTTTTTACCCATAATGCATTGCGCATCATACAACTGGTACAGTTTACACGCTTTCTGTTTTTTTCGTAGTGAGCTCTTTTGATAGCTTTCTTCTTCTTTTGTTCTTCTCTCCACCTGCTCATTAATTCTGCTTTATTCTCACGCTCCATTGAAAACCGTCTCGCGTAAACTCGCCTTGCGTAGTGAACGTGACCCGGGTGTTTTTCTGCACGTGTCACAGCTATTTTCGGAGTTATTACATAACAAAAGCTTCTAGAACCTTCTTGGGAGGTTACCAAGGCCAGATGTTGTTGTTTCCACGAAGAAATCGTTCGAAATCATGGCGACGTTTTATGCTTTTTCGCTGCCCTTCGCGCAAGAAAATCATACATGTAATATGAAACTTATGAAGAAGCGTTTCGCAAGGCTTGGGATTTCGAAAAATTCTTCTAGCGAGCCTCCTACTTCATATTTTTTCGTGGAAATGCTCAGGAACATTTGTTTTGAGATGAGAATCAAATGTGGCGGCAATCTGAAGGTTTTGGTTCCATTCCGGGCATTTGGGAAGACTTTGACTTTGTCTGATGTTTTGAATGGCGCATCAAATCATGGAGCGTTTCATAAGGCTTGGGATTGGGACTTTTTCTTACTGCGTTGGAGCAAATGGCCCTAGGTTGTTCATATTTTCAGGAGCGAGTCCTTAAAAAGTGAGAATGCCGTCTGGGTTAGTATTTTCATTGATCACCTCATTTCATAACTTGTCTGGGAACATGAATTTCAACTGCAGACACTGAGAGCAGTACCGTGACGCCATAACCATGATGTACTTTTTTTGAATTTTAACCATACCGATTCAGGTTTTAGAAGAATTTAGTTATTAGGTTGAAAGTATGTTTGGTCTTTGTAATTTTAACATTTTTTTCAAATTAATAAGGCGCGCTTTGGTCAAGATATTTATTATCAAACAACATTCCATCTGTGTAAATGTTACGCGTGACGGCCATATTTTTAATCAATTTTTTAAAACAAAAATCTCGCAAAAAATAAGAATGCAGTGAATATTCACGAAACGTCGCGTATTTATTGACAAACATGTTACCTTTATTGGTATGAAGTCTTACAATTGTACCGCTTAAAATAAAGGAGATATTTGAGAAGAAGTTTGTGTCACTCTGATTGTGCACACGTATTGTGCTACTGATCATATACAAAATCATTTCTCTTCTCGAGTTGAAAAATATTTCCAAGGCTGTGCTCTATACAAAATTTAAAAAAAGGGAGCCTGGTGCTCTGAACCTGGGAAATTAAGGCTGTCCAGGATAGCATAAGAAACTTATATTTGCCAGTCACCCAAGAGCAAAAGAAATGTGACAAGAGCTACCACTGACCAGGCACTGTTTGGGGACAGCCCTTATTTCATTTGTTTGCTGCCCATAAATGGAAATATTTTTCAACACTTGAAGAAAAAAATTTGCAACATCCTCTAAATGTTAATCCTTTGTATCAGCAGGTTGCAACTGGAAAGTCTGTTTAACTGTCAATACCAAGGAGAACCTTGTAGAAGTGATTTTTTTAAATATTTTATATTCAAAGGTTTTAATACTGCATTATCTTACCAGCCTTCAGTCTGCCATCTTTCCAAGCTGCCCCTCCTTCAGTAACAGACTTGACATAAATTCCCAGATCTAGTCGCTTGGAATTTTCCCCTCCAAGAACAGTTATACCTACAGTAATATAACAATTTTTAGTTTACACAATTTAAAGTCATGCAGGGTTCTTCATGACATTTCTTATAATCAAACAGCTTGGTCCAAGGGGCTAATAACTTCAAACCTCTGTTTACTTGTCTTCACAAAAACAGATCCAGTGATGTAACATTATCTACCATAAATCCTCTGTTAAGCACCCCCCCCTCTCAAATAAGCCCCCTCCCTTTAATAACCCCCTCCTTTTCAGGGGAAGAAAGTTAATAAGCCCCCCACTCCCTTCCCCTAATAATTTTATTATTCTTCACTAATAAATGATAGACTGTATTCATCAATCACGACTGTAAAACTTCATGTGGACTACTGATCCAGGATGGTTTATTTACCAGTTGGAAGTTCGGATTTGATTCTGACCCTCAGCTGCATGAACTCCAACTGAACCTTCTTGTAAGTGAGTTTTTCCACTTTGTATTCTCGTTCTTTTTGGAGAACTGACACCATCGTCTTTTCTAAATTAAATAAGCCCCCCTCCCTAACAGGGGGCCGGGGCGGGGGGGGCTTCATAGAGGATTTTTGCTATATGATCTATATAATCCTCTTTTAATTGGTGCTATGGAGACACGTCTTCGTCAATTTGTAACTAACACTATTGGCATAATCATGGTTATCAAGTGAAGTTGGTTCCTAAACTTTTAAATGTCATGATATGAGGCCAGCTGTGTTGTGGTACATCTCCCTTTGTGTTAAAATGCTATTCACTTTAATTTCTTGAAGACTGTTTTTTTCATTACTGTTCTCTTTCCTGCTGTGTTTTAAATTAACAACTTTAATATATGCAGGTTGAATCTCATGGTGTTATCCAGACATAACAAACACAATTAATGTGTTTTTAGGTTTCATGAAGGGTGGAAATTATTTTTATGGACCTTGAACTGTTTTTCTCACCTAACCGCTTCCCCGGCTCTTTTGTAAACTTGATTACGCAAATTACTCGGTCTGGAGAAGCAAAGACATCTGAGCGCTTACTTTCATCTGAAGAGAGAGGTAAGGTAATATGATTATTTAGTTCAAAAAAAGCAGTATTACACTGTCAAAATAAAAAATTCTCTCTGGCATAGCTGCCAAGAACTTTCACACCATAGGTACAAAATATCCTTTTAGCAAGAATGATAAATTAGTTTACATGTCATCAGAAATAACACAGTTCAAAGCTTGTGTTTTGAGAATAAGTATTTCAGCAAATATTCATATCTTTTAAATCTACAGTGCTCAAATTGTTATTACAATCAACAAGTAAATGGGATAATACCTCCACCAAACATCCCGCAACTCTACAGACAACGTGTTTTAAACAGGAATAGTGAAAGACCAAGCAAAAAACCAGGATGCTTTGAGATGCCAAGCATCAATTATTAATTTATTCACAAAAATAATGGAAGAAAAGGACTTCTGGAATATTGTTTGATCCCCAATATCTAAACTAAACAAGGTGTTTATGTGCCATACAATAAAAAACTTCCTGATGCATCTTCTAAAAAGATGAAAAAAGGCACTTCATGATACGTAATTAGCTACAAAGTTACAACTAAGTTTCTAGGGCAATGTCTGAATACTAAATAATATAAATAAAACCGATGTCAATACTCTTGCTTGTTTGAATATATTATTATTTAAAAACATAAGTAACACCTGCTTTCCAAAATCCTTCATTATCTCTTACTCAGAAATGCAAGAATAATACCTTTAAGGGACTCAGTATTGCATCACTTTTTGCAAATTTTACTTGCAAAAACGGCTACACCATAACAAATGTCTTTGTGAGAAAGAGCCCTTAACCCTTTAAGTCCCAATAGTGACCAACAGCAATTTTCTCCCAACAATGTCCATACATTGTCAAGAGATAAGGTTGTGAGAATATAAAAAATATGATCAGGAAAGAGAAAATCCGTTGATGTTCTATTAAATTCTCTCAGCTAATTCTTAAAGGAAAAGTATGGAGATCAGCTTGGAGAATTTGTATGTGGATATTGAGGCTTAAAGGGTTAAAAGTTATCTATAGTTCCACTTTGGGTAATTACAAAGACAGCTATTTTATCAAGGTTGGTTCTGTTGTTTAGGGATACTACAGTCAAGTAAACTTTAATGAATTTACAATAGTCTTTGAATTCATACAACAGACTTTTGAAAGATTATACTCATATTAACATTAACTATAAAAAATTTCCTTGAAAATTCAACTAAAATTCACTATAAGGCCTTGATGTTAAGCTGAAAATGACTGACATAATCATGATAGACCAGCTACCCGTTGTGCTACGTAAACATATTCACCAAATTAGACCATATACCATAAAATCTTATATTCATCCAAAACCTTTTTTCTTTAAATTAACAGTGAAACTCCAAAATTCCTTGGTTCCTTGCTTAAAAATTTAAGACTTTGTGCTAAAATTTCAAAAACAGAGGCTCACAGATCAAGGCCACTTACAAAAATGAGACTTGGGGAAATTGTCATGGCTCAGAAAAACAACATTAACCCATTCATGACTACAATGTAAATAGCTGTTTAACATTGTGAGTACATTCTCCAAAAAACGATTTCTAATTAACCCTTTCTCAAAATGTGAAACGATCTTAGAGTGAAATAAAAGTGAATTTTTATAGAGAATAATTATCAATAACAAAAATTATATCTCAAGAAATAGGCTAGAAGGGAACTGAAAATGAATCCAACCTGATTTGAGTGACAGTTCAAAATTAATGCTTCACAAAAATCACATTCCAGGTGAGTATGACAGACAGAAGAGTATGATAAACACATGCAAATGACAGAATATTTACAAGCTAGCCCTAAATTTTACCTTCATCTTGCAAATCTCTGCTTCTCACTTGTTCCACCTTTTGAGAGTTTAAAGTGGAGTCTAAACATTCAAAAAATAAATTAAATTTCATCAGAAGTGTTAGTCTTCAATGACAGGAGTTATAACGAAAGGCTACAAGAAAAATTGACAAGAAGATGTGAAAACACTAGAACAAATGAAAGGATTTTAGAGACAGGAAATGGACTTCATACAGCTTGGAAGAGCAGCAGGTGCTATCATCTTGAATTTTTAATTAAAGAACATCTGATCAAAACACAAAATATTCTGACCGAATTTTAATAAAAATGCTAAAATAGGATATGAGAGTTTGAGCGATCATTACTGCAATAAAAATAAACTCAATTTAACACAACTCCTTTCACTGCCAGCTGACAAAAAAACAAGACAAAGTAAAAGAAATCCTCAGAGATGTGTTCTGATTTTCTCCTAGAAATCTTATGCACAAATATTGAGGTACACATACATCATGTTATATATATATATGTATTATCATTACAGTTTGACATCCTAATTATTTATACTTATAGACTTGGAAACCAAATAGAAAATATGAATGGCTTCTAAAATTATTCAATTTAAGTTTATTATGAAGTTACACAGCATGACATCATACGGGCCAAAATTGAAACCTTTTATAAGTCTTTCAATATACTCTTCCAAAGAAAGCCTTTCTTGAAACATTAAAATCTAAATTTCAGTTATTGAGAAGCTTGGTGTCACAATGTATTATACTTGTTTGTATGAAAAAGGACATTCATTTCAATTTCAATGTGAAGTGAACATGACCTGACAGAAAAAGAAATGAATTTCTTTGTCACTGCCAAGAAAAGCAACAAATAATCTTTGGCACTGTGATAAGAATCAAATTTGTACTGCACTGAAATTCCTTTTAAGTGATAAATAGTTACCTCTCCATTTAAAACGCTTTTCTCGGTCCTGAACAGGTTTAAAACGCACCACTTTTCTGCGGTGGGTAATCATTGTTGACTAAATTGAATTTAGCAAGTCTTTCCCTCTTAAAGAACGTGTCAATAAGATTTTAACAGACATGATTACAATGCTTCCTTCACGTCAGCAAGTGATAAAAGTTAATTGCATTTATGTCAATGAGATTTTAAATGAGTTTGATTTCATGAAAAGAAATTCTACTTGAGAAGAAGAAAAAAACAAACAATTACAGCTTTGGCTATAAAAAGATGAAAGTAATGAAATTGGGAAAAAAACATTAATGAATGAATATGCAATCTCTAAGAAAACAAGAAATATAGAGCTACTTGGAGTAAGATTTGTAGTTTTATAGTCTGTAATTAAATGCCATTGGATACAAATCATTAGTAGTCGTGCATTTGCTACAGAGACAATGCTTCTTTGATGGTGTGTGTGTTTTAGACTTGCGAAACATTAACATCACAGTATTTCTGGCTTTTAGGTAGCTTCAATAATTTAGCTTGTCTGGTAAACATAAGGTTTTCAATACAATTTAAAGGAATATAAAAACCAAAGGTCATAATATTAAAATTTTGCTTTAAAAATGTCAAGTTTGATCAATTACAAAAAAGTAATAAAACATAAAAATTCACAACTCAGTCAACTTCAATTAGCTTTTCAACCAAAGATGTGCAGAAAGAGTATTGATTCTCTTTAATTTTCATGCACAAGAAAGGAGAAACATGTTGGTAATTTGCCTTGCACAAGGCTGGTAGCGTGGGGAAAGGAAGGGAGAGGGTGGGGGGAGGGGTGATGGTAATGTGACAAATAAGCTATGTAATAAAAATTTCCACTCTGAAATGTTGGATCTGTAACTGGTTTACTTTAAGGCAGAAATGTAGTAATAAAGGAAAAGAATGAAGTGATGTCATTTGCCTGAGTATAGTCTACAACTTAATTAATTAGGGCTTGCAGCAAAAAGAAAAAAAAACGCTCAAGAATTGCATGAATGTTTTTTGTTGTTGTTTAAAGGCAAACTTTAATCTGAGACAATCAAAAAGAGGGATACCCCGATATTTAGGAAGAAAATGTCTCAAATGTCTTCTTTGGAGGAAACAATAAAATATAAAACAGACCTGAGAAAACTAAAGAAAAGCCATTTGTAAATGTGTGAGAAGTTGCAGACTGCATTCACATTCAATCCAGCCCCGGGGTAACTGCGGAACAGCAGATCATGGCTCTTGGGCGACCTGGGAGGGAGGAAGAAAGGCCAAAAAGGAAGGAAGGAAGGAAGGAAGGAAGGAAGGAAAGACTAGGTTCAGGCTGCATTTTGAGTGAAAGAAAACTGAGGTATGTGCAGCCAGTGTCTATAATGTAGTTGCACGAAGAACGATGGTGAAGATCAGGCCATAAAGGAAAAGAAAAACAGACAAAAGACACCAAAGCCATTAGAGATGCTAAAGTTTTGTTTAATAAGTAGCAAGAAAGAGTGATATGAAGATCTAGCCTCCTAGGCAGACATTCCTGGGGGGTTGTGAAGCATGCCTGCCGCATGAACATTCATGGCCCAGGAATACATTACGAACCCCTTAAGAATGTCTGCATAAGAAGCTAAGGAAGGACATAAAGTATTCAATTGGGAATGGATGCCTTGCTTAGATAGAAAACAAACAACACTTCCATGCATGTGCATGTACCGTCTCAACATACTGATAGCACACAGAAGAATTTGAGAATAATTTGCATGGAAAAAAGACAAACAGGAGTTACATCCTGAGCATAACTGCCACACACACAAAAATATTAAAAAATATGATCATACAGATGTGACATGAGTAATGCAGAAGTGATTTAGTCTGTAGAACTAACAGTATTTAGTTACAAGATCAACACAGCTGTCAGTGTAAAGGTTGCATTTTCGCATTGCTGGCCTAAATATTGAGATCAAAACCTTTCATGGGCACATAAAATTCTCATAATATCAACATGATATTAATGACAAGTATGAAAACCACTCATGAAAAAGTTAGTAGAAGGCAGGTCTACATACTAGTAGTGTACATCCCAATATGAAAAAGAGAAAGTTGTTTTAAGGTATCCATGAGGTCTAACCACAGATAAATCAATAGGCACTGAAGAGAGAATAACCTTATCAGTGACACTAAGAGAAAGGAAAAAAAGTGATTACACTGCAAGAACATGCAGGATTTAATGAGGTTAACTATTAGAAGCCTTTTTTCTCGAGAAAAAAAGAAAGAAAAGTCATTGAGGAGACATTGGAAATGGTATAGTATACTTAAAGATGCATAAAGGGCCAGTTATAATACAAACTGAAAACTACGAAGTACATTAATAGAACAGAGAAGGAGTGAACTACTAGACACAGAAAATGGAATTTTAGGAAATAAAGAAATCAGTTCTATAAAAACCAATTTGATTTGTTTTAACTGACATGACTGTCTCATTATAAAGGTATTTCCTCATAAATGACAGAATGAGAAGAATGACTTTTCAAACTATGTCTTGAAGTTGAAACAGCCCTTTTAAGATTTGATTTCTTTGGTAACCTTCCCTTGCTATTTACACTAAAAGTTGATGCCCTGTCAAGAAAGAAAGGTTTACGGTAAAGCTTGTTTTCCAACTTAAACTGACCGATCACATAAGGCACGTCAACATCCCGCTCTTCATCCACGTCCTGTGACAGTTGCCGTGGTGATGTATCAGAGAGTTTCCGTGGTGATGGACCATTGGATGTTTGGTACATTGAGCTGCTGTCAGACTCACTACTGGCAGAGTATCGTCTCCTTGCATTACTTTGGTAATCTGTCGAAAGACTCTGGAGTACATCACTGGGTACCCGCTTGTTTTCGAAGCTTGACTGTCTCCTAGACTGGCTCGCTTGAGGATGAGAAATCATTGGCTGGACAGAAGGTTCACTGCCGGACCTCCTGTATGGTGACCGCTGATAGGCTGCTGGTTCTACAAAGCCATTCTCTACTCTGGGCTCTGGTTCATCTAAGAAAGTAGGATCATAGTTCATTTTATATACTCTGCATATTTACACATAAAACAAACCTAAAAGCAGCAAGGCAATTCAACTCGTAAAGCATTTAAACCAAAAATCCTCAAGCCAACTTTTCACCTCTTTATCAAAAATGCCATTTGCTATTGAAAGCATTTTTTAAAAAAAAGCAACAAAAGACAACAACTAATAACAATTAAAAAAACAATCATTAATATCGCAAGGTGAAACCAAAGCTTAAAATTAATGTAGTAGTCCCGTTATTGCACATTTAACCACAAAGCCAATTTTAAGGAATGGAAATGAAAAGCATCAATCAATCTGTCAAGAAGTTTGATAATTTGCTAAACATATTAACACAGTACTGTATGTGTCACGGGGTACTTGGCAAGTAAATACTAAATTACCAAGAGACATTTCTTGGTCGAGAATGGCCATCTTTGTTTTCATCTTCATCTGAAATCTGTGAAATGCTTGACTCATCTGGAGAAGATATCTGGCCCTAAAAACAAACAAACAAGCAAACAAAACCAAAAAGTTGAGAAAAAATAGCAAGTTCTTTATTTTGCAACAATAATTATATAAATTATCATCACAAATGCATCAACTCACTTTTAAGTTAGTGGATGATCACATTGATTGAAAAAGAGCAATCATTTTGGGCACTTACTTTTTATAATGATTTGTATAAAATGTCATCTTTGGTAATTCAGGATTCCCTCTTGGCTCTATAAAAAACTTCTTTTTCTGAAACAAATGAGTTGCAAAATTCTTGTTCAAGTTAAATAACAAGCCTGACAATGAAGTTGAAAAACAAAACAGCAACTGTCCACACATGTACCTTGAATGACAGCTTCTTTGTCATAGGCCAAGAATGTCTGTGGGTTGGAAATTTTAAATGCCCCCGTGTCTAAAATAAGAAATAACAGAACAGAAAAGATCAGTTTGATTTCAAAATAATTAATTTCGATTCATAACATTCTAGACATTTCATTCACACAAATTTGGGCTTTTAAAATGTGAAAAAAATTGGAAAGATAATGTTCCAAGCAAAATCCAGCAAGTAACACAACTTAAAAGGCCTAGTTGTTGGTTATTTTTTTTGGTCCTCCAAATCATTAAAAATGATTATCATTACCTCATAAACAGTGACTCCACGGATACAAATTCCAATCCACACTGCTTCTAAGCCTTTTTTCCTGGACTGTTGAAAGAAAACAGATGAAATAAAACGTTATTACACAAATTTAATAAAAAGCTTTAACAAACGTCTAAAGCACCAATTTTAACCAAAGAACCTTTCTCCCTTAACACAACTAAATGGGCTAAACACATGAATGACTGAAAAACATTTCTAAATCTCTACACGTACATTTATAGATTTTTGGAACAGATCAGAAACACTCTTGCTACTGATGGGCAGGGAGCCATCATATGTGAAGCAGCGGGGCTACAGGGCTGGGCCAGAGACCCCTGGAGAGCTTACTTGCAGGCCAATGAGCACTGATCACAGTGTCGCCATGGAACTATGGGACTTGTGTGGCTGTTCCTCGGTTAGCCTGTGTCTCAGGCCTAATCTACCCCAGGACAGTAATGACTGTGAGAGCAGCACCAAGGTTCTTGTACGTTCGGACTACCCAAAGTAAATTTCAAATTTCCCTTCAACCTGATCAACCTGAAATCCTGGTACACAGGTGAAGGCCTAGAACAAGGATTTTGGCTTTGGCCTGCCGACAGACTTATCCCTGAGGTTTAGTTTCATCTGTAGTGAAGGCTATCCCTTGCCCAGGCTAATTAGTTACTGTGGTTTTACTTCACACCAATCCCCCAGTTCACATTTGGTGAAACACACAATGACATACAGGGTAGATGAACAAGCACAACAAAACTAATTAACAATATCTCACCTTTCCTAATGCTTCTAACTTTTTCTGCACTTTGTAGAAATGCACTCCATATTCTTGAAGTTTTTGAGCTTCCTTTATAAATTCAAGCTCTGCCTGTTCATCTGTAAGACCATGAAAATCTTTGTGGAAATGTGGCAGCTGCTTTAAGGCATGATCAACTGAAACTTTATCAACGATCTGTAACAAAATAAAACACTTTGTTGGCAGTCACTATAAATGTCAATAATAATGATTTTATTATTATATTAATATACCTGTAGTAATTTTATATTTCAACAATGTGATTATTAAAAGGATTACTGACAGTAACTAAAATAATTAACTGAAACATGCTTATCGCAACAAATTGAGAACTATGGAACATTACAAATTGGGTATAGGTTTGTACTCTTTTGAGCTGTTCAAATTCCATGAGTTTCCGTGACTTTTTCCATGGCCTTTTCAAGTTTTCCATGACCCTAGGTTTAGTTGTCACTTTCAAAAACTTTCACAATTTTCCTAGTTTGGGGGTATTTTTTGACCTTAAGCAACTCAACAGACACAGACTCTGGTGTCTACCAAAATGGGTGCCATTTGCGCTCTTTAATTACTCCTCTCTATCTTACATTGTCCTTGCTTTGCCATCTGCAGTCACTACCGGTAAACTATTAAACAAAACTTTGATTTTCCATGACTTTCAAGGACCGACAATTAAATTCCACGACTTTCCAGGCCCTGAAAATGAAATTCTTAAATTCCATCACTTTCCAGGTTTTCCATGACCTGTACAAACCCTGAAGATTAAAAACTCAAAATTTGTTTGTTCCTAAAACTCTATCCTCTATTGCATGTGGAAATGCCAGCTTGATGAAGTCATCACAACCACCTCTCCTGCTTCATTTCAGAGTAGCCCTTGTCATAGCCTCCCGTGCAGATGTTCTTTGGGCTTTGTCACCTGTTCCTTCCCCAAGAAAGTTATGGAGGATTGCCTGATGAGCCAAAAGAACATCTGTGTGCAGCGTATAAAGAAAGTAGTGTCCGATAGCCCGGGGCTGGTGGACTTTGCTATCAGGCTGGTGAATTCTGTTATTAGCTTGCCCGATGGGCATGTGAAGTTTCTTTGCGGAATTCAAATTACAGAAGAACTGTGAAATCCATCTGCTCATCAGGGCTTCTGATATTTCGTGCGGTCACGGACCTGCAAAATTCAGGTACTTCCGCGAAATTCCGCGAAATTCCCAAAAAAACGCGAAATACCGCAAAATCCGCCAGAAATATTTCCAAATAAATGTTGGCAAAACATATTTAATACTTATCTTGGCTACTAGACCTGTTTTATTCACCCCAAACGTCCAAATTTATCTTGAAACTTCATCACTACAATGAATAAACAACGTCCCAAAACTACCAGGCGTTCTTAGATTAATGTTGCAAAAAACTGGGCACTAACCATAATGTTAATACCTTTAGCATTCGCTCATTTCTCAAGCGAACTGTTGTTGAAAGAGCAAATAAATGATTATCCCTGTTAAAAAAAACGTTAAACAACGCTGGTCATATCGACGCAAAATTGATCGATTTTAGGGAAATTTGCCAACAAAAATCCAGCGAAACTGGCTGCTTTTTACTGATTGTTTCTTGACAAAGTTTCCCCCGAAATTTCCCATGAAATCGGCCGATTTTTCTAAGAATTTACCTCTGAAAATCCTTCGAAATTTGACTTTTCTCTGCAAAAATCCCGTGGAATTTTGCTTTTTTTTCCGCGAAATATCAGAAGCCCTGGCTCATCAAAACGTGTTTGGGGCTAGTTGAAATGATGTTTGGCTAGTAACATTTAATGTTAGCTTCAGCTTGCCCGAATGGCAAGCTGTAAAAATGACTTTCTTTGCACCCTGTGCATGGGAGGCTAGACTTGTCAGCTTTCACACAACAACTAAATGCCCATTGGAAATGAACATAAAAGCATCACACAGAGAGCACATTATTTTGATACTTGGTAGATTACTTTACATGTAGATTTGCTGTAGCTGCAAGACGTTATGACAAAAATGAGCGCCAACAAAGAGAAGAGCTTTACCTTGCTTGGAATGTAATGTTCTGGAAGAAAATATTCATAACCAAGGGCTTCATTGTAGTCTCCAGTCTCAGCTTGTAGTGCGAGTCCACCAAGAACAAAGGATGCTTCTTCATGGCAATAAAGCTGGCCATTTAAGATGTCCTGTCTTAGCTGCAGGTAAAACTGATGAACTGTCTTCCGATAGCTATAAAAAGAATTGCACACATAAGAAAGGATTTCAAAAACTTTAGCATTTAACATCATTTCATGGGGTATCCAAACAAGTTAAAGTTTACGGCCATTCAGAGAAGAAAATATTCAAGAGGATCTGTCTCAATTGGACAAGTGGAGCTCTGGTGCTATACAACAACAGGATGGGTGAACTGTATCTGAATTGAATTGCAATGAGGTTATAATAACTTTACATCTAATAATAAAATTTAAAAAAGTAAACATTTTGCATCAATAATAAATACACAGGGTTGTCAAAAATAGCCGGCTGCCGGTGAAAATCGCTGCGTACTTGGTTAGTATTGGCCGACTACTCAGCTTAGCATTTCGTTACAGATGGCATTTTTTAAAATTAATATAGTATCCCTGGACTGACCGCTTACTTTGACAACTCAGCCGTCTACTACAAAACTTTCTGACAACCATGAATACAGCTGGCATAGTTTATTAATGACACATTCAAAATAGAAAAACACCCAAAAGTATCTAGAACAAGTACATTCACTTTATTACTTTGCATGTTGGACAAAACTATTTGGACAAACAACAACCAAATTCTTTGATGAAAGTCCAAAAACAGATTGACAATTTTTGTCTCCTTTATATACATGCGCTCCACATTCCACATTTCTCTCTGGTTCCAAACATTCTTTGGGACCGCAGCAAGATTTTCATGATTATTAAAGTGCACAATGTAAACGATATCTGTTTCCCATTAGCATACCGGTAAGCAGTTTACAAAGACTTGACCCAATTCTTCTTTATGATGCATGTATACCTGCCAACTCTCACGCCTTAGGCGTGAGTCTCACGCCTACGAGTTGAAAACTTCGATCTCACGCCAGCTCACGCTTGCGGGCCAATTTCTCACGCCTGATTGAAAAATGTGAGTTGCTGCCGTCTTGCTTGACACAATTTCCAAAAATATGTTAACACAGACCCATGTAAGGAAAGAAAACCATGTGTAAAATGAATAAATGACAATACCTTCCTCGCGATCTCTGATTTTTGAAGTGAAAAGCAAGTGAAAACTTCGCCTTCGGCAGACTTCGGACGTCTTCGGAAGACTTCGGAAAACTCCGGACTTCTTCGGGAATCTTCGGAAATGATCGTGTCGTCTTCAAAAATCCCAGTACTCCCAGGATAAAAATCTCACGCTTATATCTCAGAAAAAGTTGGCAGGTATATGCATGTTGCTCAGACAATCTGGGATTGGAAGAAAGTACTAACCTTAAAAGAGCAATGTTTTCCACATAAAATTTAACTTTGAAGTACAAAACAAACTGCTCTGTGGGTGCTGTAGGAAGTTTTACCTTTGACAGAAAAAAAAAAATCAAAGAATGAAAAGGATGAGAGCTTTTGAACAATAATATTATCTGAAATACAAGAAAAAAATTCAAAAGTTAACATTTTAACCTAATACAAAAAGCGATACCTCTTCTTTCCATTTTGGTGGGGCGTACTTTGCTAGTTTTACATCCAAGTCTAAAAATATGTGTTCCTCATCTGAGAAATAAATTGAAATCAGATGATCAAACTCAGGGATACAGAATTACCAATGGTCAAAAAGAGACTCTAATAAGACTATCTTCACACCTTGTAGCTGAGTCAAGCCAAAGAAAAACTTCTCTGTTAATCCTAGGTACTTGATTACTTGATCAAACAACACTTGGGTGGTAGCGTTGGCCTGGAAAATTGAATGAAATTATTCAAAAGTTGAACAAAGAATGAATCATTTAACCAGAAATTTATAAACAAGGTGAATAAATTTCAATTTTCAGTCATTTGTTGGATTAATGCCTCAGTTCTTACAGTTTGAGATAGCATACATCACTACAGACATTTTATTCAACTTAAAAAACAAACTGAAACCATGAGCGATATGGCAAGAACCAATTAACATTCAGTTAGCTTAACAGCCTCCAGCATAAAAACAAGCAATGCTTATATCTGAAAAATAATCCAAAGAACCCAGATATTTTTACCACTTTTAAACTCAAACAGAACTATCCCAAAAACTCTTTGACTGCGTCAATCACAGGTGTCAAGTTTATAACAGGCAATGTTGATTTTAAACTTCTAAACAAAGGCCTAAAAAGGTAAAGGCGCTCACGAGCCAAATGCCCAAACGGCCGAAGCTTATCCTGGTTTCATTACCATGAAGCACCTAGGAGTATTGCTACTCCCCCCGGACAGGATGCTAGTCCATTGCAGGGTTACCCCGCAGCACTATGTTGCCGGTACCCATTTATACACCTGGTCGAAGGGAGACAAAATGGAGTAAAGTTCCTTGTCTAAGGAAACAACGCGACGGGCGAGGCTTGAACCCCCGGACCTCCAGATCTGGAGTTCGAGGTGTTAACCACTCAGTCACACACGCCTCCACAAAAAGAGGCCTACGGTTGCACTAATGAAGCTCCAAGGGGCTGGAATTTTCTTAATTAGACATAGTGAACTGGTCAAATATCCTACTACTTTTTCCATATTCCCACCTTCTTCCAAAATTTTTGGCAACACTGCTGATAAGAAGTAAAACAATCTCAAGTAAAAGAATCATTTTAATTGAAATTAATGGTTGGTGCAAGGTGACCAATTGGCAGTCAGTACGATACAATTTTTTCATATTATTTGCATAAAAATAGTTTAGTACAAGGGGAGATACAGTCAGTTGTTCTAGACCACCAAGACAGCCACAGTAACAACAAATTAATGAAAACTATATAGATATATACCTCAATCATTATCTGGAGGTTCTGTCCATTAAGCACAATTACAGAGACCAGTCGTCTGCCATGTGGAATGGAACCGGCTTTCCTCTGGTAAGCATCACAAACATGTTAAAGCAAATAAAACATTTTAACTGCATGAGCAAACAGATTGATGAGTCTCGCTGGGAAAATCCCAGGCAATTGGAGAACCAACCATCACAAAAATCTGTGTTGCTTAAGAACATTTGAAATGCCCAAAAAATCTGTCCCAACCATTCCAAAACATCTGGGAAATCCATGATTTCAAGTTTTCATTAGTCAGCAAAATCTGGGACAGTCAAGAAAAAGTAAAATTTCCAGTTGTTTGGGATTTCCCAACATATGAAAACCAGGCCTTTTTTCCCTTAAACAATTCAACATGAAGCTGAATACAACACAAATTTGGTATTCACTATCGTTCTCCTTTCATCGATTCTAAATGTTTTTTATTTCATTTCTCGCAAACCTGGTTAGACAGATCTAGACTGCCAAGTTGATTTATAATTTGGACACATTTAAGTCATGATTCTTTTCTCTGTTTGGCATGAACTTTGCATGGTTGAAAAATGCCTACCCATATGGGTTTAGTATATATTATGTTACAAAGAAATACTGCCTTTGAAGCACAATTACTTTTAATATACTTGTAGTTCTGTTGTACTGTAACAATAATAATTACCGGTGAAATGTTGACAACTGATAGATTTGGATCTTCTGCTACTTTAACAAACTCTGGTCCAAAGAAAGCCTGGAAAAAGGATGAGAAAACAAAGTTATGTTACATAATCTTAGCATAAGAGAAGAAGTAAGCCTGCAAATACAGTTATCTCTCCCCATTCCTCACCACTAGGGACTTTTCGCAGGAGAGATGTCTGCAATTCATCCCCAAAAACTTCCATACTGCTGACATGGATTTGTCAAGAATCTGGTTAACGAGCGCTGATTGGTGAAAGTACATGTATAACTATTTACATGTAGTAACGATTGTTTACAAATGACTGACAAAAGACAAAAGATCACAAAGATCAACATTAATGTAAACATTATAAATCTCTTTTTAACAATCGTTATTGGTAAAATATATTCTTCTTTATTTTCCAAGAAGCATTTGAGCTTTGCTGCTACACATTTACAGAAGAAATCAAAACTTTACATTAATACTCTACAACGAGAAACAAAAAATCAACCAATTGTACATCTGGAACCCCATGACTACCAGACTGATTATGTAAACATTGATTTATGTAATAAGTATGGGAGTTTCAGGGCCAAATACATGTAAGCTTTCTGTTTTAATAATTATTATAAAAACAATATCATTTTCAGCATTTCTATTGTTCAGTTGTCTGAACAAAAAACAACTTTGCAGAAGTATCCAAAAGAAGTCATCTTTCACACTTACCCCCAGTTTAGTTTTTGACCCGGAAATGGGTTTTGCACTTTTTGAAGCAGCACTACCGACACGTATATCAGGAACAGAGAGGAAGCGCTGCGGTGGGTGATGGCCATAGTCCACAGTATCAATTTCAGGGAAGCTTTTCTGGGTTAGTACTTGTTTTCTTAAGTCCATTGTTGAAGAATATGGACGATCACTTCATTACAGAAAAGACAAAAAATTGAAAGGTGAGTCACACAGTCCGGTGCTGGAGCAGGATGGAGCCAATCCCAGTTTTAAGAGGGAGATTTCCTTAACAGGCCACCTTCAACAGGGCTAAAGAAACTGTTTTATTTATCAATTTATTATTACAAAGCAAAACATTTTCCCCTGATTCTGGATAGTGTTAAGGGTTAGAGAAACTTTGAGCTGTTTTTTTCTTTTTTCTTTTTTTTTTTTTCATCCGGCCCCAGTTGTTCAAAAGGTGAATAGCGCTACCCACTAGATGAATTTGTAACCCTAGAGAGCATAATCATTGGTTTCCTGGTTTCCCAAATACTTACCCACTGGATGGTGATTTATCCAGCGGATAGTGCTATCCAACATTTGAACAACCCGGGCCCATGCTCTAACCTGTGGAATGTGACTGTAAACAATCCAAACATACTGAGGCTAAAGGTACAATATTTGGAGTTACAAAGCAAAAGTACGCCATTTTGCTAATAATTCCTGGTATATATATATGGATAACTGGGAACAGTAACAATTTGTTCCCTTGTTACATAAACCCTTTCAGAGAAATGCATAACTTTGAGGCAAAAGCTGGACTAGGTTCTGACACAGGAAGCAAGCCAGGCAGTTTGTGTCTTAAGGGAAAGTGCTTTTCTCTCACCTGGATTTTGGAGAATCTTTTCCCAATCTGAAGGCTGCTCTAGATGCTGAACTTCCTATACTTGTTAGATATGGTTCACTCTCATAACCATCTGTCAAGTATGAATCAGGAACATAGCTACCTTGTGTGATTGACACCATGGAAGAACGCCCATCGGACAGCACGGATGACCGAGGGCCAGATACCATTGAGGAAGAGTCTGTTATCGAAGCATCACTGTCATAACGACGCAGGGTGGAAACCCCTGAAATTTGAGAGACAGTATATTGAATGACAACACAGTGGTAAGCTAAGGGTACCCCCTATTTTGACCTCAGCCTCAAAGCTTCATATCCTGCATTCAAGCATAGTCACATACAGTGGAACCCCGTTAATGTGACCACCGTCGGGCCATAAAATCCTGGTCGTAATAACGAGGTGGTCGTATTAATGGGGTCCTCAAAATAATAAAATGACTCAATGGTTTTTACGTTTGGTTTGAAAGAATATGGCCGTAATAACGAGGTGGTCTTATAAAATAAAAATAGGGTGGTCGTAAGGCAGGGTTCCACTGTATTAAAGAAAAAAGTGCTTTTCACATTCTACTTCAAAAAAGCTTCTGCAAGGTACAGTAAACTGTTTTTTTGTTTTGTTTTGCGTTTCTTTTCAACTTACTTGAGGAGGAAACCAAGTCAGGTCTTGGATGTCTCTCAGAAGCAAGTCCTTCAGCTGGACCTTCAAAGTACCCGGCCTCAGGTGTGTGATCCTGAAGAGAGCTTTGTCTATATCTACCCATGCTGCTTGTACCTGAGAGTGGCAAAGGATCCTTTGATGTTCCATTCTGGAATGCAGCTGAACTCCTTGGTCTTCTGTGCTCACCTGTACCATTTCTAATTGGCTCGCTAGACTCTGATTGGTTATGAGGGCTTGTCTTTGACTGATGAATAGATATCAATCCATCTGATGAGTTTGATGGCAAACTTGACTGATTTCTGTCTCTCCTTGAACGATCCAGACGGTCCTTGTACTTATCTGGTAATAAATACAAACAAAACTGGGTTTTAGATACATGTAAGAAGCAACAAGGCTTTTAAAATCCTTTTTTTACAATGAGTCATTTCCCAAACATTGATTGGTTAAGAACTAGGGTCTATTAACTGATCTATTTTCACTGTGAAAAACCAATAAACAACAAATCTCCAAATGGTATTTAGAGTTGCCTACCAATGATCTAGCTACTAAGCTCCAATTAATGTCATTCAATTTGACATTGCATCTAGCTGCACTGTGTTATGAGTTTAGGGGGCTTATATTTGGAGGGGCTTATTTTCAGAATTTTACGGTATTTTACGTTTTGTCTTGTTTCAATTTATTCATTTTGCATCCCCTCATCACAGCTTTGCGAGGTGTTGCAATTAACATATGTTGCATAATTATAGCATCCCTTTACAATAATAATGAGCTTATTACCTAGGATGTGAGGGATTTGTTTGCTTTGGCGAGGTGACAGGTCCAACTCATTTGCTGATCCTGAGCGACGATCATTGGAGCCGACTAATTCTTGTGATGTTGGTTGAGCCTTGGTGCTGATTCTTGATGGTGGAGGGGATGGTAAACTGCGAGGACTGGCCAAATCAGGACTTGGTATTAGGGAAACCTGAACAGAGAACATTAACACAATTAATCATTAATCAATCGTGGCTGGATTAGCTCAACTGCAGAGAATGGTGTCGCGAACTAGATACCCGGGGCCAGACTAACACTCAAGGTCTTAAAATAACTGAGAGATGTCAAGGTATTGCCTTTGCCATGCAATCGGTTACACCTTTGCATGGCTCAGATGACCCAGAAAATGGTTGTCTCATCTCCAGTACGAGACATAAAAATTGCAGCGTGCAAAGAAAGTCGTGTCCGATAGCCCGGGGCTGGTGGATTTTGCTATCGGGCTAGTGATTTTTGTCCTTAACTTGCCCGATGGGCAAGTGCTGTGTTTTTGGGAAATTCAAATTACAGAAGGATGGTAATCAATCCTGCTAATCAAAAAGGGTTTTGGGGCTAGTTGAAATGACTTGTTGGCTAGTACATGCGAATGGCAGGCTGTGAAACTGACTTTCTTTGCACCCTGAATTGACAGCAGTTTCCCCTATTAGTACATGTGCACTAAACAAATTTTGATACCCAAATAAAAGTGCATTTTTCTTTTTCTTTTCAATCTGACTGTGTAAAATAGGCAAGTTTCATATTCCTGGACAGCCCTGGGACATGACAGACTTCTTAGCATGACTGCGAGGCTAATGCAGGTCAACTTCTTGGTCAAAACAAAAACAAACATAGGTAAATTGCGGCTGAGTCAATGAAAAAATATATAAAGCATTAAAACAGTAAGATTTCAAACCTTAAACTTTACCAGTAAGCTAAAAGGATATGTTTTCAATGAACAAAACTGGTGGTAGAGCTGGTCATAATAACAGAGAAATGAAAAAAAAAACGACAAAGCGAAACCAAGAAGTAAACTTTTGAAGTTTGAAAATGGTAAAGTTTGTTAAAATAACAATATTCTACCCATTCCCTTGAATTTTCAAACTTCTTGTTTTTCTGTTTTACTCTTGTGTATATCTCTTAAATGGAGTTTAAACTGCTCAGTGTATTGTCGGTATAAAATTCTGCGTTTAATTTCTTGTTAAATGAAATGAGCGTATGTTGTTTTTCTACATGTGACTGAATATTTTTGATAAATAAAGTAAGCTAAATGTATTAATAAACTTATTCATTTTAAGTCATCTCTGTTCAAACCGACTGAACTTCCTTACAGAGAAAGGAATGTACGCAGGCTGTCTGCCCTGTCCTACAAGAATAGACATTTATCCACCAATCGTACTTGTGCAGTTTTTTATTGTTTCAAATGTACAAATTCAAGATTCTGAATTTGTATCGTTAGAAAAATGTCAACCGAAAAAAGGTTTCCGTTTAACTTGCAGGATTTCGACAAGTATGTCCACTAAAATAGAAGGTACAGGGCTGTCAATAAGGGCCGGTAGCCGGCCAAAACTGCCGACTAGTTAGCCACCCTCAGCTAGCTACTTTCATCTCCTTCTACCATAACTGCTAACTAAAAATAAGCACCATCAAATGAATTTGTAAAGCATCCATTTGCCAGTTTTGAATGAGATTGAACGCAAATTTAAACAGGTTTAGATCTGTGATTTTTTCAAGCTTGTAAGTTAGATTTAAACCCTCTTCAACATTTCAATGTTTAAGATTTCCCTTGTTTTCCGTCAACTCAGCTGCAGTTTTCACCTGTTTGTTTATCTTCTTGGTACTTCTTGGTAAGAAGTGACCTGCATTAGCCTTGCTTTTGCACGAAAACAAATACTCGCCCAGGCCGCCCAGGAATACGAAACTTGCATATTTTCACAACCAAAATTAAAATATTAATAATTATTGTAACTGTAATTCTTTAGTAATTGTGCTTTGTTTACCCATGGAGCACTTGGGAGTTCTTATGAACTCACTGAAACTTGTCCATGCATTCAATATCGAATTGGAATTTGAAAGTGTTGGCTTTTAAGGACAAGGGAAAACAGGAGTAGCAGGAGAAAAATCTCTCGGAGCAAAGGCAATGGCTTTGACGACAGGATTTGAACCCGGGCCACACTGGTGAGAGGCGAGTGCTCTCACCACTGTGCCACCCTTGCTGCCCCAATTGAACATTACTGAGTGAACATAAATCATACCTCAGCTCCATTCATGAACTCAGAGTGACTGATTTGTACTGTTTCTTCATCTAAACTGTGATCATCTGAATCATTCTGAGTAAAATAAAAAAGTAGCGTCATTGGGACATGTTACAGCAAAAAATTCTAACAAATATTATGTCTTAAGTAACAGTGATATTGACTTACATCTGGAACATCATCCCCTAATACAGCAGTCACCATGGAAGCAATAAGATCACCAAAGCGCCGTCTTTTGCGGTGTGCATGACAAACCTACAGAGTACACACACAACAGCTGAATTTAATTAAACGATGCACACACCATAAATATAACAAATCAAAAACAATTTTCCACAGTATATTCTCTTGTTGACTACAGAAAAGACGTCATAATGTTCAAATCTCAAGTGGAACCATGCACTGCAGGTGAGTAGTGTTAATGCAAAATTTTTTTTTAACATTTTTACATCATTAATTCTAGGGTTGATAAGAGCATACAGTTTAGACCACTGGAAAATTAATTGTTGTTGATTTGTTTTTACAATAACATTGACAGTTTTTGAAGCCCATTTTTGAAAAAGTTTTTTTACAAAATTAGACCCAAAACTGAACCATCATCACGACATTTTCACGTGTTTCCATGACATTTCCAGGGTGTAGCTCTTAACCAACCAGCATGCACGAAAACACTCTTTTACTGTGAAAACTTGAATGATTAGTGCCTGGGGCACCACAGTACTACAAGGTATATGTACTCTGTTAAACCACTATAACAATGGAAATACAGCATGTCCCTAAAAAATATCTAACTATTCATATATCAAACATACCTCAAGAACCTTTAAAAGGGGAGCCCTCAGCTGTGAGCTTTCCTCACACATTGACAGCAAGACACCCTCCAAACTTTCACTCAAATTTACTGGCTGTGGAGACAAAAAAATGCCGGAAGTTAAAGCTGAAGGCAAGTATGTGATATTTGATAGTAGAAATCTGGCAGGGAATAAAATCTTTAAAGCCAGGCCGTCAAAAAAACCGCTAAAACAAAATATGAAAGAAACTAAGCATTTGAAAAGAAAAAACTGGATGGAGTCTCATGCCAACCTTTCCATTCTTACCTACATATGGTAAATGAATGTATTTCAATATTGATTTAACATGAACAGCACTAATTTAAAAGCAAATAAAGGAACTCTTTTGTCATCAACCTAAGGAAGTTTTAGTCTGTTGTCATGGATGTGATGGACCTTGGCAGGTAGTTTATGACAGTGCAATTAGTTTTAATTATTAAAACCTAACAAAGATTGCAGCAGAATCTATGCTGTCCAATTTAAGTTACTTTTAGAATGCCACAATATTTTTTTTTTTGTTTTTTTTGTACATGTAACTTTGGGTAAAATTCTGTTTGCATTAAATCATTAATAATAATATATATGTTACAAGTCAAAATTATTTTCAGGTTACATTTTTGAACCTAGGCTGATTCTCAATTTCATTTGTCTCCTAGACCTAATTCATGAATAATTAGGGCTAGGAGACAAAGAAAATTGAGAATCAACCTAGGTTAAAAAATTTTAACTTGAATTTAATTTTGACCTGTAACATTTTATTTTTCACTCTGACCGAACAATAGTGACAGGGCTTCTGGAGGAAAAGTTCCTCAAGGCTTTCAAATTAAACATTTTCTCAATGCTCACAAGGAGCTAATCTGAGGCCTAAAGCAAAAAATTTCATGCCAAAAGCCCACCAAAAGTACAATTACTTGTACAAATACAAGCCCTAGGTTTTCAAACCCCATGGAAGACGATTTTTCAGTTCCATGCCCAGAGATCCTGAGAGACCATCTGTAACAATTTTTTGGTTCCCTGAAAATTCATGGGAGCCCACCTCCTAAATGTTTTCTTGGCACTGGAAGCCATAAACCGGCCAGTAACATTCAATGCACTTTGGAAATGATTCAAGACGGTGAACAATGGAAAACTGATAGATGCTAAACAACCTTATAGTTTCATAAGCCAAGCCATAACTAAAGAATTGCTCTACTAGTAAGTAGTTACATTTGTAAGAATAAGAGTGGAAAAACAGTACATTTTGGTAAATTGATCCCTGAGGCTGAAAATGTCACTGGGAAACTATTTTTCGGTTCTGTTATTTTAAGACCACAGTAATGACATGGTACTGGAAATGCTCATTACCATGAAATCCTAGAGTTGCTATATAATAGTAACACGGTCTCTAAAATAAAGGGTTCTTCTCTTGGTATAAATTCTTTGAAGCAAATTAAAGAAGGGGTATTCAAATAATATTATTGTAAATTACCTTTCCAACAGGAATTTCATACTCTGCTGCGTGATATAATGTCATACCAAGTGAGTAAATGCATATCTGGAGATACAAAGTACAAAAAGTATAAGCTGTGAGATATTGTTCACTTGACAATCATGCAAAGACATAGCATAACAAACAAAACTTTGCCTTGACTTTTGGTAACCTTCAATAGTGACCTTAAGATACACCATTTCAACCTACGAGTATGGGTAAGCAAACATGTTTAGGTCGTAGTTTTGTAAAAAGCAACCATTTTTTCCCAGATGTGATAATGGCGAAACCATTTTATAGAGTAGCCTACCCGTTTCTCCCAGGTAATTAAGAAGCAATCTTCCCGTATTAATGGCTACATGAACGGCTAATTTACCCGTACCCGTACACGGAAACGGTGTATCTTAAGGTCTCTAATATTTGGGGCAGGAACAGTTACAAAAATTGCAAAACAACAACACATTCTTGACTCCAATAGTTTAACTACTACAGCTGTACATACTCCTTACAGGACCAAGCTCTCAAATTTATTGAAAAAGCTAAAATTTCATTTTAGTTCAATGATTGCTCAGTATGTAAAAAAAATAATCACACTTCCAATACCTCTAACTCTTCAATACGCCATAATTTTTCCAGTCAGAGCACTGCAGTTGAAATGTCCCTAAAGTATCTAGTGCGACCACTTTTGTGGTGAAAATTTAAAAATATTTTTCTGTTACTTACTTACAGTGTCATCTTCCAGCAAAATATTAGTGAGCAAATGACACATGATGTAATCTCCTACAGTCAAACTGACTAATGAATGCAATGCTCGCATAAAATCGCATTTTTTCATTATGACATTCTTTCGGTTACCTACTGTTTTCTTTATATGCATACAGCTATTTCGAGAAAGGTTGTCGGAAAAAATGTGCACGCGACAATCCCCAAAGAAAATATGGGATATGATCAATAAATGGTTCCTGACGACTGCAGCTGTCAAACATACTTTTGTTGCTTTCCTTGAGCACTCGCAAACATATGTCCGTGGCCTCCAATGCCATTTTTTCAAATTTCTTTGAAGAACAAGGCACCCAAAACCACCCACAATACCTTTCGGGACTGTCACGTGCACTTTTTCCGACAACCTTTCTCGAAATAGCTGTATACCACTTTTTTTCAGGACATTTTCACTAGTGACAAAAGCACAAGCCTGAGAAAAGCACACAATAAATCTGTTTGTCCACATACAGCTGTAAGAAAAAGCCCCAAATTAATTTTTTCTGTTTCTCGTGCATTTTTTGTTGTCGTTGTTGTGCTTGTTGTCACGCAACACTTACATTATGCTTGTGTCACTAGTGAAAACCACGCTTAAGGGTTATTAAATACCTTTTCAAGGGTTGCCTCACTTCCAAGAGGTTTACTGTGTTTGGAGTACATTTCTGGAGCAGTGAAGGAGCGATTTCTTGATGAAACTTGAATACAAATTTTAGGGCATGAAAAGTAAATTAGCAAATGCTGCATAATTTTCCACATGTTCTAAACTGGTTCCGTGATTGATAAGGGTATGACACCATATATAGTTGGGTTCTAAAATCATGCTAATAAAAAATTGATTGATTTAAGAATAGCACCAAACGCGGTATAAATTCTTTTAGCTATTATGCTGCAAAACACTGGATCGCTTTACCAGACAATTTGCGAGCTTTAGCTGGAACTAAGGAATTTGCAAGCAGGGTTCACGGTGTAAAGCTTTAGATTTTTACAATTTTTATGACTTTTGTCTTGAAGTCATAATTTCAGGTTGAAGCATTTGAAATTATATCACAGCTAATTCATAATCTAAGCAGTTAGTAATTCAAATTTTCAATATTTGCATGCCGTTGCCCAATGCATTTGCTGTTAGCAAAACTCAGCATTAATAAAATTGAATTAACATTTCTAGCCCACACTGCATTTATTAACTTCTGTCATTGGCAGTTTAACATGCATACAGACACCATTCAATAACTTGCAATACACTGTTGCATGCACATATATATGACAATGCAGTTATAACATAAAACCTTCATGAACTTGAAAAAGAGAATTTCGGATCATTATACATGTACTGTTTCTGGGAAACTGCTCACCTACCCGTCCCCTAAGCCAACATTTTGCCCTAAGTGAGAAGTACAATGTCAGTGTTAATGTTGGCTTATATATTAGGGGAGAAGTAGGTGGGTAGTTTCCCCGAAACATGTAATGATCCAGAATTTCTTGAAAAGAACCCTGGACAGTACATGTACAGTCAACTCTCTCTAAGACGGACACCTTTGGGACCGGCACTAGCCGTCCGTCTTAGAGAGATGTCCGTCTTATAGAAAGTCAAATAGAGGGAGCAAAGAAAGGCAGGGACCAACTCTAGGTGTCGGTTTTATAGAGGTGTCCCTCTTATAGAGGTGTCCGTTAAGAGAGAGTTGACTGTACTGTACTAGCCCAGTATCATACAGCACATATGGAGTAAAATTTCTGGTGATGGGCATTGAACTCAGACATGAGAGGTGAATAAAATATTACATCATATAACTCTCATCAGCATAAGTGGGAGAACAAGTCATCACTGTTCAACACCCATGCAGGACAGAAGGATCAGCTGTATCAATATAATAATCATTAAACTGCTGAATTACCTGTATGCAGTGAGAATTTGACCTTCCCATTATGGCAGAGGAGTAGACTTTCTGGTGTAATTGTGTAGGTGAGCAGGCCTTTTTTTCTTGCTTTACCTAATATAAATTTTCAAAGGGTAAAACTCAATCTACATCTGCAAAACACTGCAGTTTTGACAATAATATTGTACATTTTATGGTGTGGTTCATTAATTTTTGTAAGCCCTTAAAGTTTGTTTGAAAGTCCTCATCATATATTATCATACCCAAAACAAAGGAAAAAATTGAAGCATGCACAAAACTGAACCATGAGAGCACATACACGCTTCTAATTCAATGATGATTACACAGGAAAAATGGGAAACTGCAAGTTTCCAGGCATACAGGAACACAGAGATGGCTATAATTTTCTGCAATCTTATACAGTTTCTGTTTCACGTACATAAATTGAGTAACCGAGTAAGACTGCCTTCAAGTTCAACAAAGGCTACATTTTTCATGAAAATAAAGCCATCCCACACATCCTAATGGCTTTCACTGTACTTAGTCAATTTTATCAATCACCTTCCTCCAAATAATTGGCTGTTTTATGCAGCCTAGAGGACATGTCACACATCTGGCATTTAGGGTGAGTCAGACATCCTACCAGGTGTAATGGGGGATAGGCAGGACACATTAAAAATAAGAGGAAGCAATGTACTTTTGAACAGTTTCAGTTGTCTCAAACATTAAGCTGTCTAATGTAAAGATGAGAAACCCCCTTCCTACAGTTGATGTATAAGCCCTCAGAAAACGCTTCATTTAACTGCTATACCTTTAATAAGCACATCTTGCAGAGCTTCACTTGAATGACTGAGTATTGCCCAAAGCTCCTCTTCTTTTAAAGGACCTGCACGCACCTCAAGAATCTCATCAAGCGTGACTGAATTGGTCGTCAGGGCAGGCATAGCTTTATATGTCTAGCCTGGTACACTATAAAAATGAAAAAAGACAACACATGGCCCTTTAATCCTACATCATGGACAAAGTACAATAACTTTGTTTTCACTCGAGTTTTGGTGTAAGAAGTGGGTGTTGCCTCCTGTGGTAAAGTATGGTCCATATGGTATCGTTCATATTGAGGAACAATAAAAGTGTTTTCGTCTTAATTCGTTGGTACTGCTTCAAGTAGCAGCTCACAGAGATCATCATCTACTGCAATTGCCTGTGACCTCACATTTTATATTTGTCAATATTTAACATTTCAAATTTCCTCCATAATGATTACAGTGCTCGGCAGTAAATAAAGGCAACTTAAAACAGTTTCCAGCAGTTTTAGTACTGCTTAAATCTTCATTTTGTTAGTTGATCAGTGAAAGCGGGGGCATAAAATTCTGACAATAAACAGACAATTTGATGACTACAATAATTTTTTTCACGAAAACTTATAAATTTGAAATCGTGCAAAAAATCAATCTGTGGGCATCTTTGCTTGTTACAGAAAATCAGCATGTTTCCAGTTATTTTGTGAGGAAAATCTGCTACTGGCCGCCATCTTGGATTTCAAGTATATCCATTGTATATGGTCTCTCGTGGTGTCAACATAGTTTACTTTATAAAAGAAATTCCTGGCAACTCACTCTTTGGAATTGGCAACCATTTTAAGATAATTATTTAGGAGACAAGTGGATCCTGGAAATAAGTTTATTGATGCTCATGTTAGCTTAAGAAAGACTACTTTTAGTATTCACTTATTTAGCTGGAGATTGGACAACCAATAAATTATAATGATTTATTATTATGCTATGCAGAACTTCTTGCCCTGTGGATTAACTAAAACTTTAAAAAATTACCAAAAATTACTTTACCTAAGTATCATTAAAATAAAATCAAAACTGGGCTTCCTCCCCTTCATCTTCTCTGGGCATCACATGTCCATATTTCTGAAAAAAAAAAAATAGAGAATGACTTTAAGTGCAGAGTCCAGCATTAAAGAGGTTTAGCTGGCCAATGCACAAATGGTTTAAATAAAACTTTTATGTACAAAAAATTATTGCAATGTGACAGTATATACCATTAACTTAGTAACTTAAAAATGTAAGACATCCTACTATACTTAATTACTCTATGTTGCATCTAAAAGTCCCCAGTAATATATTGCATATTAAGTCAAATCAACAAAAAGCAATACAAGAACTACTCATGGTATTAGAGCATCCGATCTAGAACACGGAGGGTTGTGGGTTCGAATCCCATCTGGGGCTCAGATTTTTCTGTGTCCTCTTATGGTTGATTCTTTACATCTCCCTTTATTTCCTTGACTCATGGTATTGTAGAAATATATAATCGGTTGTTTACGAGTAATGTTGCCTACGTGTCTTTGACTACTTTTTACATAGAGAGAAAGAATATGTCTACCTATTGAAAGAAAAGTATTCTTAACAATAAAGGGGCATGTGGAATAAGGCCTTAACTGACTCCTGATCAAGGTAATTGAAATGAGAATACAGCATTTTATCAGAAGTCACTTAGACTTTACTCTGGGTAATAATCACTTAGGACGTTGTTTTATGACCCCGATCCTTACATGTACATGGTCACCTGATCCATGTAAGGTCTAGTGAGTGCAAATAAGGAACAGACTGCTTTAGTTGTCTCATTGAGATGATCAAACCACTGTAGTACACTATAGTATGAGCAAAACCAACTATGTTTCAGTATAAATGTCACAGAATTTTGTCTGACGGATGGGGTTTTCTACCTTTTGAACAATCATCAATAGATTATTCTTTATAAAGATGTAAACTCCACCATCGTTTTTACCCCTGACACATGGGTTTTTCAATTATTGTTTCAAATTACCATATAGCAAAGGAATAACAATGACAAAAGTCAGTTATTCAGTGACTTGAGTAATCCAAGTTTTCAAAGAAAAATAAAAAAGTGTTACACTTACATAGAGAGTTTAGTGCATAGTGCAAAGGCTAGTTTCCTATAAAGTACTTGACTGACTCACTTTTGACTGACTTTTGCAAAGGCAATGGTTTAAGGTCAGTTGCCAGGATTTAAATAAGAACTTTGGCAAGGTACCAGGGCTGTGGTTAAGCAGTACTCAGAGGGCCACACTGAATTACTTTAGCTTATGGGTGAGTAGGAAACTAGCCTTTGCACTAAACCCTCTGTATAAGTGTAACACTTTTTTATTTTTCTTTGAAAACTTGAATTACTCTAAGTCACTGAATAACCTTTCTTCATGTAGAAGTTGTTTTTCACTGACACCTGCTTTAAATTTTTCTTTTCTTTGTCTTTGGGTATGAGTTTGAAATAAAAGAAATTACACTTTAAAAACATGTAAAACCAGTTACATAAAACCACAATATGGAAACCTGTCGTGGTCTAAGGTAACAGTTGAATGTCAACAACTTCCCAGGTGATATTGGTTTTCATACCTTTTAACAGGGCAATGCTCTTTTCAAGTGCCACTTGACTGATTAAAAGTTTCCTTAAAGTTTGTTAAATGTAAAAAGGTGCCCATATTAGCAAAACAAAAAAGGACTGAAGAAGGGCTTTGGTGTCTGTTGACAGCTGACGTTACAATACATCCTTTCTTGGTATCAGAACTAAATCAACTAATAACTGTAGAACCTGCCAAAGGCTACCTTGTTAAATAAGCAGTCTAAAAACTGAGATTGCTGAGTAAAAATTATTGCTGGCATGAGTATGACTGAATGTATGGCAGGAATTTTCCACTGTGTACTTTATATTGAATAATAACATTGCAGCTCCCAAATTAGTACTCCACGGATATATACCTCTTGTCTACAATATCGCATGATCAGTAGCAACATAAATTCTCCTTTGAAGTTAACAATGTTTCTCAGGTAGTAGTGAGGCCCTTACATGGCCAAATGATGACACAACAAATGACATAAAGATTGCTTGAAAGTGAAAGGGACATGACCTACTCCTCAAAACATGAAATGACTGTATTTGAAATTCAGACTAGGGACATACATATGGCCCACCCCACTAAGTTAAGGGGAACTCAGCAGTAAGGTATACCTTAAAGGCGAAACCAGCATTAAAACATGACTAAAATACAGAGAGCATCATACAGTCAGAAAAGTTAAGACTGTAAAAGGGCCACAGACTTGATATGTATAATATTAATCAGATAGGTATACTGTACATGTATATTTTTATCAGGATGTAGCTATGGAAAAGCTATGCAGGCTTTTTTATCAGTCAAGCTGGTTTTTTCTCTCAATTGCACCTTCAAAATTACCAGTTGAACTGGTGGTAAGGTTTTTTGCAGCAGGCAAAATTAGCTGGTAGCTGGCTCTTAAGGACATCCCTGGATATATATTTTTATGTATAAATAGAAACTTGAAGAAACACATGAAAATTAACACTGCTCATGAATTAAGTTTGTATTTAATGCATTTATCTTATCCATAGAAAAGCAAAAGTATGGCCAGTGTACTTGTCCAATTTAATGCTACATGTGAACTGATGAAATCAAGAATTTAAAAAAGTATATCGAAGCCCAGCTGCAGAAAAAAAAATAAACTCAAGCAATTTTTGGAAAATCCCCTACTTTTTTAAAAGGCATAAAAAATCGTCCAGCCACGTATGTTTTATATTGGACTTTTCCAATTTAAGTGATATTATTATAATTAAAAAACATTTTGAAATTCAAATGAACCTACTATAAATACGTCTCTTGTAAATAGAGCACTAGAAAAGCTATTAACAACACTTAGGATCACCCGAAAACTCAAACTGAATCAAATATTGTTTACCCCGTTGCCAGTGATTTTGCAGATTAAAATGATTTTAATGAAAACTGTTTTGAGCCTCTCTCATGATCAAGTTCATGATAGATTCACTTTATTGACAAGGCTGTTCACCATATTATCGCTAAAAAATTAAAGCAATATTCTGTTTCACATACTGAAAGAAGCGCAAATAATTGCTTACTTCTCTGGCGTCTAGAGTGTAGCGGGCACCTTATCCTCGATCGAGCAAAGTTTTTACATGCATGTAAGCTTACTTTGTCGACATATGGACTCTCCTTTCTTCTAATTGTACGGAAAGACCAAAAAATTTACGTTAAGGAACACATATGGATAACCCAGAATGTGGGCATCATTAGAGAGGTTCCCATTTTAAACATGGTTGAACCTTGAGTAAAAGAGTCTTAAATTATGACAGTAACCACACTGTAACCAGCCGTATATAAGCTTAAACACTGCCGAACTTACCCAAGGTGCTGCAAACAGCTGAGTACGTGTGAGATTATCTTCGTTGCGAAGAATAAGGCAACGACACGTCCTACATCGTGTAACAAATCTCAAACCTTCCTAAAGTTATCGAGTTTGATTTATATATGGGCAAACTAGATAGACCTAGAACCGCCAGATAAAAACAATAAAATCATACTCACCGCACAAGCAATGCTTCACGATGACTCAAGTTGACAGATCCCCTAAGATCCCGCCAAGATATACAGCTGCAAGTTACCAGAGCGATCTGAAGAAACCTCTAACAACGTTAAACGTGAAGTAAATCTGCAATCTACAAATCTAAAAAGGAAATACTAGCACCTGGTGCCACGAAGCTGGTAAAATTGGATTGTGTTGTGATAAATTTCCTGTGAAAACAACTGCTTCACAACGACTCGGTCATGAGCCGCAGATGCACAGCAATCACTGAACATGCTGAACGGCGATTGGTCACGAGTCACCACGTGATATGTTGATTCCACACCAATGAGTCACCAATGTCGTTATGGCTCGCTTTTCGAACTCCACATTTTGAAGTGGCCATGATTTGCGGCGGCCCACGCGCGGATAATTTTTTACAACAATTTGGGAGAGAACTTTTCATGGATATATGACTCTTATTGGAAGGCGTAAAATTTTACAATATGGTGGCCCACAACTGTCACGGCAAAACCAAAAACCTCACGGCAAAAACAAAATACCTCACGGCAAAACCAAAAACCTCGCGGATAAAACTAAATACCTCACGGCAAAACCAAATACTTCTCAGCATGCAAAAACAAAAAAGCTTTGGTTTTGTTGTGGGTATTTGCTTTTGCCTTTAGGTAGTTGGTGGTATTTGGTTTTTGCTGTGAAGTATTTGGTTTTGCCGTGAGGTCTTTGGTTTTGGTTTTGTCTTGAGGTATTTTGTTTTTGCCGTGAGGTTTTCGGTTTTGCCGTGAGGTATTTTGTTTTTGCCGTGAGGTTTTTGGTTTTGCCGTGACAGTTGTGGGCCACCTTATTACAAGGAATAATACAACAATCAACGTTCAAAATGAACGACTTTTAGACCGTCCGACGGTCAGTTCAAGATTAGGCCTAGATATTTTTTAAGCTATTTAGAAGATTTTGAGATATTTAGAAAATCTCATGATATTTAGGAAAAATTGTGATATTTAGAATTTTGTTACGAAAAAAGTACCGAAGAAAGCTACTTCAAGGCTAATTTATAGGGCATGGGCATTTCAAAACAAATCTCCACATATGGGCCTGTTGTAATCAGATTCAGCAGGGGCATAGTCTACTAGACTTCTGCTACACAGCCGCTTTTAGTGTCGTCACGCAACGCTCCTCCCCACTAACTTCAGTCTGCAAACAACCTTTCCGTTGCTTGCAGACACAGACCCCATCAAAATTCGATTGATTGATTTGTCGAAAACTGAGAAGCGTGTTCTCTCCTAGCGCCCTGAGGCTCACGTATTGTCAAGTTTCTTATGGTTTGTTCGTTAGACCACAAACACAAATAATAATAATAATTTATTACATTTAATATAGCGCTTTAACTATTACAATATTCTAAAGAGCTTCACAATATGTACAAGAAAATAAATATATATATATATACAACAAATGGACAGAAATAATAATAGTAATAAGAATATAAAATTACAAATTAAAAGCTTTCTTCAAAAGATAAGTGTTCAACTGTACTTTAAAAGAGTCAATGTTCCTACAGTTTCTAAGGCTAGATGGCAAAGCATTCCATACTGTTGGTCCAGCATGGGAAAAGGCTCGATCGCCAAAAGTCTTCCGTGTCACCTTAGGGATTACAAGCAATGTTTCAGAATCAGACCGCAGGCTGTATCTAGGTCTAGGCTTTGCAACAAGTAGTTCAGATAAATATTGCAGCGCCAGGCCGTTCAACGTTTTAAAAACTAATAGTGCAATCTTAAATTCTACTCTAAATTTCACTGTAACCAATGAAGTTCCCTAAGTACCGGAGTAATATGGGCAAACTTGGGAATTAAGCATGTAACCCGAGCCGCCGCATTAAGAACTTTTTGAAGTCGGTCATATTGATATTGCGGAAGCTTATACAAAAGAGCGTTGCAATAATCTAAATGTGATGTAACAAACGCATGAATTAAACACTTTGTTGATTCTGCAGACAGACATTTCCTAATTTGCCTAATATTATAAAGCCCCCTAAATGCCTTACTACACACCTTTCCTATATGAGTATTCATTGACATATGGTTATCAGACCATGTGCCAAGATTTCTAACATGCTTAAGGGGTTGAATGTCAAAGTCACCAACTTTAATTGAAACCATGGTAACCTTAGATAACTGCTGCGACGAACCGATGATTAGAAATTCTGTCTTTGAATCATTAAACATCAACCTGTGTGAGACTAACCAAGCCCTAACATCAAAAACAACAAAGGGAAAGGAATGTGGTTCGGTTTTCAGCAGCCGTTAGTGGGGAGGAGCGTTGCGTGACGACACTAAAAATGGCTGTGTAGCAGACTAGCAGGGGCACCCCACGGAAAATTTTAAAGAAAATTTTGAGAAAAAGACCTAAAAACAACAAAAAAAAGCATGAATAAACATGTCTGTGGCTATTTTAAACATTTCTGGGAGATTGCTGGGAAAAATTCATCTGTTCCTCACTCCCAGCAAGACTTACTGAAGGATGAAGAGGTTCCCAGCCAGCACCCGTCACCGCCAAAAATACATCACCCATTGACGTAGTACTCTTCGCGTGATCGACCGGACGAGGGGAGACTGGTTCAGCCACAATTGTTCTTCGACTTGCCCGTCCACTTTCCTCACAGACTTCTTCAAAAATTTCACCTGAAATAATATTGTCTTTCTCGTCTGCAATCAATTTACAATGCCTAAGGAACGGACAGAAGTGAGCTGTTGTGTCAAATACTTGCTCTTCTTCTTCAATGTGTTCTTCTGGGTAAGTTTGTTTGAAAAATGACAGAAATAGACATGGTGATAAGCAGATGTCATAGACTCAGTGAAGAGTGAAACTGCTAAACAATTCGAAACGCTACGGCAGTGCACTTGATTTTGTTGTTCCTTATTACACCTCGTCCATTAAAATAAACTGCTGTAAAGTACAATGAGCTTTAACGCTATGAAGATTCATTTTGTAAGCAGCTATGGAGCTGGTAAGTTTATATAAGTACACAAGAGGCGATCGCGTACTCACATATACATGTCTCGTCAAGTTACTTTCACTGTCCTATTGTCAAGTTTTATACTGCTGATGAGTTTGAGATTCGCTTGATTTTAGAATTCAACTATGTTTACTTGCCTTCTTTTTTATGGTAACTCATATTTCTCAGTATTGCTCGCCGTACGTGTGTCGTCATGTCGTTTCCTTGTCGCCACTTAGTTGTTCATGTTACAATATACACGACGTAAATAGGCTCTTGACGAGTCTACCAAAAAGTACTTATCCAGCCTTCGGTCGTCATTGTGTAGATCGTAATCAACAGAAAATATATTAATGTAGTATTGTAAGCACCGCTGTTTTTTACTGAATTTTTTAACCTAATTTTCTGATACGTCCCAAGCTTTTCCAAAGATGTACATGTGTTTTCCATGGTTTGTTTGCGAGTTTGAAAGCTTTTCGAATTTCCGAACACTGGTACTAGCTCAGCTGTGATGATTATTACAGTAATATAAGAACAACATGTTTATAAACATTTCCCAAACTACTTATTTATATTATGGTAAACTAACCAACTCGAGAGCATTTTCCGATTGGACAAGAACATAGGCCTTAGTTCAAACAAAACTTATTGTTATACAGCTGAAAATTATTTTCCCAAAGGCTCACGCTCTCATTGGTTACTTCGAACTCACATGACATCTAACAATGAAACTGTTTCCTGCCAAAATCTATGAGCAGGCAACATTGCAAAATCTATGACGTCAAAGGGTAACAGTGCGCTGTTGCCCGCGAATGTCGAACAATGACCGCTGTTACAGCGAGGGTTAATGAATTTCCACAACCTGATCATGTGCAAGTGAGTTTGTTCACACTTGCTAGATATTAGACACTTACAGACTGGTCCCTCGGGAAACAGTTAATTTTGTTTTCGGAGAATCTCCACCTAGGGAAACATTGAGGTTCTCGGGAAACAATATTAACTGTTTCCCAAGGGACCAGTCATTAAGAGCAACGGTCAGGAAATATTGGCCATCGAGTGGCAAGAGTTGAAAAATCAATTTCCTTCATTTTTTGCCCATAAATAGCGTTTAGGTAGATAAGTTTAATCTAATGTCAGTTGTTCTCGCCAAAAGCCTTTTATTTTCGAGGAAAGTAAGAATATTATTTTTCGCGGTTGGAGTCTCAAAATGGCCATATTTTCAACCCGAAATTTGCTAACATCAACTCTCCTCGCATTCGCAAATAAAGCTGCAAGGAGAAATTTGGACACTTTCCATCAATAGAACAACTCTTCTTCTTTCACTAGAACATACTTTCGAAGCAATATCAAGACTCGTTGAACTGACATAAATTATTAAAAAACCAAGAACAGGTTAACCTTGCCAGGATTTATGATTTTTCCATTATACTTTACATCTCCTTTTCCCCCTGATAAGGGGTATCGAATGGTAAATTCAATACTTTGCAAGACTTTGAGACCCCAGTTTTATAATTTGAGACATTTGATGAGTTTAACGAGACGTAAAATAAATTTGAGGCCCTGAGACATAAAATCACATGAAAACAAGACTTTGAGACCAGTCACAAATGCTGTCGAGATTTCAAGATCAGGCCAACATTTTCCGAGACCCACATTTTTTGAGGAACCATTCTACACCCCTCTGATACTGTTCATCTGATTTCTGAAAGCTTTAAACATTTATAAATTTTGGTAAAATTTTGTTTGGAAATGACATGGTTCATCTCTCTTCTAACAGCTGATTGGTTGCTTGATAGTTGGTATTGGACTCTATGCTCGCTTTGAAAAGACGGCATATCAAGACTTTTTCAGTGATATTGTTTTGGATCCAGCCTTTGCATTGATCATTGTCGGCAGCATCATGTTCATCCTGGGATTCACTGGATGTATTGGCGCTTTGAGGGAAAATATCTGCCTACTGAAATTTGTATGTTGAGTTGCTTAATGATATTAGTACAGGTCTGCTTAAACTTTCTCATTGTTTCCTCTTTCTCTTCATTACAAAAAGATTGTGGATGTTCCAGAAAGTGCCGAGATTATTGACACTTCCACCCCTTGGAAGGTCTCTAACAACTGGGCATGAAGGGCCTAGCTGCCATCCACATCAAAACTCAGTTGAGATGTTTTGACAAATATGCCATTTACACCATTGTTCTGATACCTTAAAAAAACTGGTGAACAAAGGGCAAATTCATGCTTTCCCTGTCCCCTCTGCAATTTGCACTGCCGGTCATGTTTCCCGTGGCCACAACAAAGAAGACAGTTAGGAAGGGAGGGCTAATTAATTATGTTATTTTTCCAGAACATAACCCATTGGTCATACCACCCATTTTGTTGGTGGCTGTCAATTTCTTTGAGTTTTGTGTCTACTCTTATTAGACTGAGTGGCTGTTAATTATTGCTGGTGTTAACTCAGGTATAAAAATATAAGGAAAACTGAAGGATTTTAGCTAGAGATGAGAGTGAATTGCAATATTTACAATATTATTACAAAAACTTGTTAGTAAATTACCATTCACTCCTATATGTTTATTTTTGTTTCTCTATTGCATACTGAAGTTTATTTTGTGTACATGTACAAGCTAACAAATGTTTTTTCAATAACTGATCGCTTCTACTTGCACAAGGCTGATGCCTAAATCTTTACTAAGTATTATAGTACAGTAACTATTATTTGACCCTGATTGCACATAAACTCATAATTGTATTTTTTAGTTCTCCGTTATCCTAGCCATCATCTTCTTCCTTCAGTTATCCCTTGGAGTGTTTGTATTTGTGTTTCAAGAAAAGGTGAGAAGTAAGCCTTATTTGTGTTTATTACAGCAGCTCTTTTGAAATGCTAAAATTTTAAAGAGATGTTAAACCCATCAACAATAGATGGGTGTGGGGAAGGTGCCTGGTGAAACTGAAGGGAGCCACAAGTAAACTGGAAGGTAACCATGACAACCCTGTGAGAGGCATCCACCAGGCACCATCACATTGAGAACCTCAGTGGAGAAATGTCCAGATACTTATCGAAAAATATCCAGAGAGAAGGGAAGGCTGGGAGCCAGATTGGCTAAAGCTACTCTATGCAAAAACATGAGCAAAATGATTGACCTCAGTGAAAGCACTGCAAAAATTTCTTAAGCCCAAGACCGCACCAGATATGATTAGTGATGGAGAGCAATGGCCAGTATTGTCTCTTGTTTAACCTCACCTAAATTACAGTTAGCCACATTTAAACTACACCATATATATTTAAACTAAATGAACTAGACAGCCATGGCACAGAGGTACAAAACCAGTGTATTATAGTTTTTGCATAGTTTATGTTACTAAATAGTTGTAATTTCATATTTCTCTTTGGCACAAGGGGGGTTGTTCTTCTTTTAGGGCAATATTAATGTTTATTTCTTGGTCTGGATTCATAATTTGAAAGGATTAGGCTGGAAAGTGATAATTTTTGATGAAATATTTCAGCTGAATCACTCAACTTTCATCAGCCTGATCTCTTATTGATTTACTTTTCAGCTATTTTTAAACATGTATATTGATAGTGAGATTAAGAATCATGTTTACTTGCAAATGGCAAATGTCATCTTGAGGTTGACAATTTCTCAAAGTACTTAGTAGGAAGGGAGCAGAGATGATAATGATTGTGCAAAATCTTTAAAAGGGCTGGTTTTCAGTGCAACGAAGTTGGAGTCGGAGTCGTAAGTGGAGTGGTGAGAGTGCTTATGACCTAGTGAAAATCAAAAATCGGAGTCGTAAGCGGAGTCATTAGCGCGATGGAATCAGAGTCAGAAGAATCAGAACATTTTCATTTCTTCCGACTCCACTTACGACTCCCTTGCTTATGTTCCGCTTATCATCTAGTGAAAACCAGATTGTCGGAGTCGGAAGCAGAAGCAGAAGGATAAACCAATTAAAATGCACGTTCCCACGCTTTGTGATTGGTTTGGTTCTTCTGCTTCTGTTTCCTACTCTAACAATCTGGTTTTCACAACAGAATCGTAAGCGGAATCGGAATGCTGTTTTCACTAGATCATAAGTTCTGAGCTTCTGATTACGACTCAAACTCAGACTCCGTCGCTAGTGAAAACCAGCCTTTATGGATGAACCTATTTCTGACACACTATATATTATTGTGCAGATACAATGATAACAGTAAATGTCTCTGACAGGACAACTTGGTTATGCATGTACATTAATTACTAAAGTTGGTCATTTCCTACCAATGTGATACTAAATCTCACCAACATTACTGAGTGGTTGGCTGGTACAAATAAAGCAATCAGTTGGTAATTTCCCAGCACGTAGGACGACCATTTATACAGGTTTCAATTGACTGTGCAGTAAAATTCTGTACTTGCACATCTCCTTCATTAACTCCTTCACTCCTAGTCCAAAGAAAAATTCGCCAAAAACTCAAAATTCTTTTTGTAAAATCCTAACTATTAAATGAATAGTACTCTGGAAATGTTCTACCAAAGAGGTTTTGTTTAAATGGTAACACCACTGGATTTTGTTGGCAGTTTCAAAAGTTAGTTGCCATAACTTGTACTAATCCAGGAGTGAAACAACTAAAGCTGTAGTAGCATTTCTGCCAAGTGTGGTGAAGCCAATAAATTTAAAAATGATAATAATAATAAAAAAAACATTGAATATATTGTTTAAATTTCAGGTTGAAGGTATTGTTTCAGAGAAAATAAAAACTACGATAGAGAAGTACAGAGATAATGTTGATTTGCAAGTGCTGATTGATGGAGTCCAACAGGAAGTAAGACTGTTAAATGTCATCTTGTTAATCGGCCATCTCCCTTTTTTCTCCATTTAGCATCGTCTGACCAACCCAAATTTTTGGCATTTTTCCAAAAAACGTAAACATGGCATATTAGTTGATGTGAAGAACTAGTTAATTACTCTTTTAAAAATGAGTATTGTAACAGCATTTCGTAGTACTAAGTACTATTTTTAACCTGAATGACAAAGAAAATGCCAAGCCTTCTGCTACAGTTCACATCCCTCAGGTCACATCAATGCCTCCCACAGTAGAATCTTCATGTCCGCATGAGAGGAATAGAGAGAAACAGGAACATTTTCGCTACAGTATTGTGCATTTTGTTGACCAAAATATGTAAACATTAACTTTTAATGTGGCCCTCATCTCCAACAAGAAATGTTTTTTTAAATATCTCTATTTGAAAAAATCAACTCTTTATGAAGCTGTGATGCTTGATATATCCAGGGCTTCCTGTTCTAGTGTTTCCCTAAAGTGACGGTTGCTTGTTGGAAGTTTCAGCAGTGTATCCTTTTTCCCCTGTTGATTAATACAATACAATGCAAGACTTTATTCAAGATAGAAAACAAAACGAAAAATGTCTCAAAAGGGGAGATCTTGAGGTTTATCCCTGTAGAAAAGATTCCCCAAAATAAAAGACAAAAAAACTAAAATCTAAAACAATTTGCATATCATAATTGAAAATGTTTGCAATAATGTTAATTAATATTCACATAAATCCTCAATCTGTTGTGAAATAAAGTCAACAATGCTGCATTTAGGAAGAAGAGTATTTGTAGCAATTCAAAGTGACAACTTTTACACAGAGTTTCTAATTGTGATTGGCTCTAGTTCGATTACACTTTGTAAGCTTGAAAAAGTCCAAAAAAGGAAGACCATCATTTAAAACTATAATAATCTTGTAGCACTGAACAAGAGATAAGAAGTCTCTACGTTTCTCCAGGGTTTGCCAGTTCAGTGAGTGACAGCAGCCTTCACAGCTCATTTCTCTGCACTTTTGTTTAAGGTCAACTGTGATGCTCTCCTTTTTCTTACTTTTTCCAGTGATTCATTGTCTTTCATTTGGCATAGACTCCAGACAAGGGCAGCGTATTCGTGTATAGGTCTAACCAACGAGTTTTAGAGGCAAGAAAATGCATGCCAATATTATCGTTTCCAGTGGATCACTTAATTACACCTAACACTTTGTTCACCTTGTTTACTATGTAGGAGACTTGTTTACCCTAAGATAGATCATAGTTTATTGTGACTCCCAGGTCTTTGATATGTCGATGTCCATGTCCATGTCTTGTTGTTTCCATCCTCGATAGAAATGATGCCTTCAGATGGCCATTTAAACTTGGAACCAGTTCATAATTTACATTTTTCTTCTCTTGCCTCCAACAGTTCGAGTGTTGTGGTGGAAGCAGTTACAATGACTGGGACAGGAATGTCTACTTCAACTGTTCATCCCCTGGAGCAGAGGCCTGTGGTGTTCCCTTTTCTTGTTGCCGATCCGTACGTAAAATTTCATTTTTCATTTATGTTGCTATTACCCTGGGTGTAAATGTAAATGTAAATATCATATTATCCACTCCACTCAGGGCTTTTCGGGGATGATTTACACTGTTTGGGGGACTTTGCCAGACTGCTTAAGGTGTAGTTTACAAGTAATTAAGGACTGAGTAATGATGCCTCCATACGTGAATGTGAAAGTGAGATAGACCACGACACCAGGCACTACGTGCCCTACTCTTTATGAAGAGTGTGAGGGTTCTTTAACGTCCCACAGATTTATTACACGTGCAAGGGCTTGTGAGATGGGGCCTACGGTTTATCGTCCTTATCCGAGAAGACTAGAAAGTCTAACCATTTACAGATGTTATTACAAGGGTAGCACTTTCTCCTGAGTTATTTAAAGACCCTGAGTGTTGGTGTGGCTGGGGTTTCAACCTACGGCCTCCCACTCAGCAGACCAGTGCTTATCCCATTGAGCTAACCGGGCGGCGGCTAGCTCAGGGTACCAGAGGTTTTTTCTCACATTTTTTCTCTCACAGGTTTTTTTTCTCTCAGAGGTTTTTCCTCACATGCAACGGGAAGCTTCGTTCCGTCAGCTGCATGTAATAGTAAAATGGTGTATCAAAGGTTGTCCTTTTCACGGGGGTCACATTTTAGACTTGACTGAAACCGAAAACTGCACATGAAAAGCCTCTGGCACCCAGGGTATGTTGATATAGGATGACCTTTAATACACCATTTTACTATTACATGTGTATGTCTGACAGCCACCTGTTATGTGACAATGTTGAAATATAAAATAAAAATTAAACTCCATGAAAAGACATCCTCTAATCATTTATAATCACCCTTTTAGGTGTGTTGTGGGTGCCAAATGAAATTCAGACTAAAGCTATAGTTTCAACCTAGGTTGAAAGTCAATTTCCTTTGTTTCCTTACCCTAATTGTCAGTCAAAAGATATTATCATGGTTGATACAGGGTTCATTATTTGCCAAAAAATGCATTGGTGTTCTTTTCATTGTTTTGTTAAAAGAAACTGATTAAGTTCATTTCATGATGCTCCCTTAAATAATGTAATCTTAAATTTTTCCATCATAAACACCTATAAGATTATTCTACATGTTTGTTAGCAGCTATTTGTCAAAATTATGTTTTTTATTTTTGATTTATGCAGTCCTTTGTTAGTGAGAATATGAACTCTTACAAGGCTGACCATCATTAAAGTACACCATTTTCTTTCCTTTTCTTTTCAGGATACTATTAACACACAGTGTGGGTATAACATAAGAATAATCACACGTACTGTAAGTCCATATTGAGTTATTATCTAAAATTATAAGGGTTATTGTTTTTGTCTCTTATAAGGGCTCTATGATATGATGAGCTTCTTTGGCAGAATTATATTACTATTATTGGTTGTTGAATAAAAAAATTAGCAATGGTAACAGGACTGAGTGGAGTCCAATTCGGTCTGTAATCATACGAGTGATTAACAAAATCGGACGACCGCGTAGCGGGAGTCCGATTTGTTTAATCACGAGTATGATTACAGACCGAATTGGATGACACGAAGTTCTGTTACCAATATTAATCATAACTTTAACAAAATTTGTTATATTAGGCTCTTTTTTTGCAATAAAAACACAAACAAACAATTCCGAGATTTTTTTGCTAGCAGTGAAAAAAAAAGCCATTTAAGCTTGCGCGTGATGGCACGTACTGTCCAATTACTTAGGCATGACGCGTACTGTCCTATTTAACTGTCCTATTAAGGCTGAAATCAGGGCAGTTGATAGCCAATCAGATAAATTAAGAATTTTGTTATAGTTATGATTAGTAATGGTAACAGGACTGAGTGGAGTCCAATTCGGTCTGTAATCATACGAGTGATTAACAAAATCGGACGACTGCCCGCCCTAGCAGTGAAAAAAAAAGCCATTTAAGCTTGCGCGTGATGGCGCGTACTGTCCAATTACTTAGGCATGACGCGTACTGTCCTATTTAACTGTCCAATTAAGGCTGAAATCGGGGCAGTTGATAGCCAATCAGATTTGACAATTTTGTTATAGTTATGATTAATATGATAACAATCATAGTACAGTGGTTGAGTGATCAGTCTTTCATTTTAGTTTTGTTGTAGTGTACTTGTCAGGTGACATTTGATCTGAATCTAACAAGAAATAATATGTATACATTTTGTCATCCTGTGTATTCAAACAGTTCAAAGGTTTCTTTCATCTCACGCTCATCAGCAACTGTGTTCTTGCTTCAGGACACTGATAGAGCAGAAGTTATTTACACCCGTGGCTGTCTTGATGCTGTCAAGGAGTGGTTCAAGGAAAACATGATAATTATTGGTGGGGTAGCAGTTGGATTGGCTTTATTGCAGGTAATTTATTTATTAGAAATTACCTTTCTAACAATGTTAGCTTCTCAGTGACATCCTATAATGCTAAGATATGCTAATGGCTTAAAACATTTGAGCCACAGGGAGTTGCTACTAGGATCAGGCCTGACCTGGAAGATGGGAAGTGAGAGAATATGGAAAAAAAGCTGATGCATGCCAATGACTAGCCTGAATTTCAGACATTCACTCAATTCGCATACTCCTGACGGGAGTATGTGACTCAAAGGAATGTCTGAAATTCAGGTTAGCCAATGACTAGCACTGAAGAGGAATTCTCAAACTCATTAATAATTCATAAAGAAAATACAAAGAAAATTAATGTTTAATGAGTGTTTGGAAATCGGATGAAAAACTGCTCAGTATTTGCATCCTTAATTTCTCCTTCAAAAATGATTTTGTTTGAGAAGAAATATCAAACATTCGACACAGTGTTTCATCACCAGATGAAACACCTCGAAGTTCGTCAAAAATACACCGCTGCGCGTCGTATTTTCAACTCTCTTCTCGGTGTTTCATCTGGTGATGAAACACTGCGTCTCATGTTTGATATATTACATGAAACATGACTTCTTGGATCAAGAAAATGATTTTTTTTTATCCAACAAGTCACACTACAGGTTCATGCTATGTAGCATGCCTATGTAGCACCACAATTACGCCTTTTTTGCAAAATTTCTTTTGACTAGAAAACAAAATAAATTGATATATGACAAACAATGACTAGAGCATAAATAGACTCTCCTTGTTGGCGAACTGAATCATACAGTATTTTGTATCTGGCCTTCAGAATTATCGCTTTTCTTACTTGGTAAACACTTGTTTCCATATCTCAAACCGCCCTTGGATACCTTGTGATGCGTACACAAAGTAATTTCATATATGTGAGTGAGCCCTGACAATAGTGATTAGGGTTAAGCACTAACAATACTGATTAAGTTTAAGCACTAACAATACTGATTTAGGGTTAAGCACTAACAATACTGATTAGGGTTAAGCACTGACCATACTGATTAGGGTTTAGCACTTAGAATACTGATTAGGGTCAATGGTTAGCTTCTATTTAGGGTTAGGGTTTTTGCTATACTACTTCAATCAAACCAAACTCCTGCAGCGAATCCTCGGTGGTGTAGTGGTTAGGGCAGGAGACTGCGGACCTAGCGCTCCGGGATTGAATCCTGTTTGTATTTATGAAATTTCTTCTTCCTTTAAAATTGAAGAGACTTGCACTTTGACAACATTTGTTGAGCCAAGAAACTTAGAAATTTCATGTAAGTGTAAGTGAAAAGGGAGAGGGCGGTTTGAGATATGGAAGCAAGCGCTTACCTTCTTACTTAGAGACATTGTGGGCGTTACGGACACGACATGACTGCATAGTGTTACAGTTGTAGTTTCTATGGAAACTGCAAACACAAAAAGGGTAGAGGAGATTGAAAACTGGGTACTAACCAGTAGAGAAGTGACTAGATACTGAAAGAGAATGAAAGGTAGCCTCCCACGCAGACGTTCTTAGGAGTTCGTCACACGTTCTTGCCTTGCGAAAGAACGTCTGCATGGGAGACTAAAATGAAAGGGGAATGTTTCGAATTTTTTCTTTTCTAGATCATGGGAATTTGTTTTGCAAACAGTCTCATATCAGATATCAAGTTGCAGCTGGCAAGATGGGACAGAGACATCTACTGATTTATATGTCTTCAAAAATGTAAAAAATTTATACATTTTATACATACTGGTAAGGGACGGACCATTAGAAAAGTTATGGGGGGGGGTGGGGAATTTTTGAGCTGCAGCAATTTTTTTCATTATCAAATTCCTTGTATGAATTTTTTTTAGGCTTTAGCATGAATATTTTTTAGGGTGAATTGGTGTGCGTGAATTTTTTTTCATTTAATTTTCCCTTGCGCGAATATTTTTTTTGTACTTCGCCTGCCCCCCCATAAGTTTTCTAATGGTCCTTCCCTAAATAGGAACATGAGTTATTTGCATCATTTTTACTCCATTTGTCTAGCTAAACAGCTCTAAATCAAATTCTAAGTTTTGTAAGAGAACAAACAGTAATGTTTGGAACTTAGTTTGCTTGATTTCCTGATACAAAGCTTTTCAGTTTTCATTTTGCTTAGTTTGGCGGAAAGAGGGAGCTTAACTGTATATACCTTGTAAAGAAAGTCAGAGTTCCTACAAAGAAAAAAACAAAAAATCTTATTTTTATCAAAAGTTATATCAAGTTTACATGTATGCAATTTAGAAAAGGTTAATTAATCTTGGTTGCATCTTTTGGTGATTGCATGCTAGTTGTTTTAAGTACCTGATCAGAGCCATTCTATATTCTAACTAATACAGTCAACTCTCGCCTTGCGGACGACACTCCGCTATAATGGACACCACGATAATACGGACAACAGCTAAATCCCAGGCAAAAATAAATTATAGTTCTTTGACTGAAATAAACTCCCGCTATCACGGACTCCCTCTAATGAGGACACTAACTCAAGGTGCCTACGGTGTCTGCTATAAAGAGATCTAGAGTGGACTGTATATGACCAGGAGAGTATCCTCTCTTGATACGACTAGAAGACTTGAATACATGGATTACCAGGACGATCCTAACAGGACTTTTTACGATTCTAACCTGTGTCTCTTTTCAAAAAATATGATTTTCTGGTGGGTAGGTTCTGTATCTAAGGGCTTGTTTGTTTCACTCTGAATGGCGTAGCTGTGGGACAATATAAGGTAGTTTAAGATGAAAAACGAGGAAGGCGGCGAAAACATAGCTTAAAACGTGATTTTGCTTACCTTACTTAAAAACTTTAACGTCTATATTCCATTTCAATTAATTTGTCAATTGCAAACGTCCCGGTTCGCTTCTCGCTTCTAAAAAAATGACTTGGAAAAAATATTGCAATTATCCGTTGAACGGCACGATAGGTGACCGCAAGTTGTGAAACATCGTTGCTTAGTCCCAGACCTCGTCTCCCCCCCCCCCCGGCCTGGTCCCCAGCGGGGAGAAGCGAGAAGTCGAGACGGCTTAAGAGGCTCTGGGATGGCTGTATTCGCAGGTTACACTTAACGTAGCATCAGGAAATCTCACCTCGTAGTCGTACAGTGACCCACGGCAAGGGAGAGAACCAAAAAAAATGTGATTGATGCACGTGAAAAACTATTGTTAGGCTTATCATTATCAAAACCTTTTTTTTTTTTTATGTTTGCGTTGCTAACCCCGTTTTTCATTGTAAACTCCTTACTGTTTTATTGTAAGATGGCAATATATTTATAATCGGTTAAGAGTGGATTCCTTTGCAGTCACCTTCTTGCGTATAGACGTCGCATTTACCCATTGGAGTTTTTTTAAATTGTTTTTAAGTTTAAAAACAATAGAAACTTCCAAAGGGTAAATTCGATGACTATGAACAAGTATGCTGCAAATGAGTCCACTCTGTAAGTTTGGTGTGGCGTTTTAAATCACATGTTGCTTCTGTAGCATTGAGAAACAGAGATGCCGGGTTACACGGCAGTAGCAGTGAGTTCATTTCCTTCAAAATAACAGATTCCATGTGAATTTTTAACTTAAGTATATATTTTGTATTTGGCTGTAGTAAAATATTTTAATGAAGTGGACTTTGTGAGTTCTGCACGTAAAAACTCGCAAAGGCTTGCTGGGAACTTCAGCAACAACCGGAATGCTTCATCCTGGCGTTGTCCGCCGATGTCCCTTCTACAAAATCCACATGCCGACACTAATAGTTTTTTAAATGTGAAAAAACGTGAGCCACTCTCAAGAGTTTTGGCCTTTTTTCGCTTTGTTTTGACCACGGTGCGCTGATCATCTCCAAATCTGGCGCTCGGAATTCGAATGTCTCGTCATTCTGGGCGATGGTTTCTGTTTTTTTTGTTGTTGTTGCCTTAAAATGTCTTTCTGAGGTAAACCACTACTGAAGCTACAAGTGCATGTTAATGTCACACCAATTTGCGCCCATATTTGCTGCGATGGTCATTTTTAGAGAAACAGGAAATATTCCGCTATTTGATGATTTAGACAATCATATAGGATCAGTCCGATGTTTTGAATGATTTATTGTACATTTTTAATTGAATGGAGTTTTTCTCTTGATTTGTAAATACCAAGCTAAAACGTAAACGCACTGCTAATATTAAGTTTCAAGTTAAATGCAAGTGGACGTTACCACCTGTAGACAGTTAGTCTTTACCAAGACCTCCCCTAGCCATCTTGCGGAAACATTTTTACCATACAGATTGAGAACCGCAAATAACAGAATTGCTTCTGGCATTGAATAGCTGTGAAGAAGTTGCCAATTCGGAAGAAATCCTACCTAGCGGTAGATGGTAGGACATGTTGATCGGTCAAAGAAAACTCAGTGGAGATTTGAATATCATCAGTGTAATGTATGTCCGACATTTTTTCTGCTTCTTTCCACTTTTTATTGACCTGGCGTCGGACATTTTTCCTTTCTAGAAAAAAAAGTTATTTGCAATTCTGCCATGACATCACGATTAACGAACTGATTTTCTTTTCTTTGACAAAAAAAACTTATTGCGCCCAGGGTTGTTGACCTGTAGTTAGGTACCCTTGGTGTATTATGTAGAGTACTGGCGTTAGAAGAGAAGATATTTTATATAATTGTAGTAAGAATTAGTATTTTGATCAGGAGGCAGGTCTTCCTTTGCTTTACGGCTGAGCTGACTTAAAAATAAGCTATGATCAAGTGCAGTTGTTTGTTTAATTTAACTCTCACTCCCATCAAAACCTTTGATCTTGTGATGTTGTTCTTTATTAGCTTTTTACATTGTAATCAGATTCAAAGTGTAACCATCAGCTCACATGTAGATTTTTCAATAGAACCTTGCTGATTTGCTCTTCTTGTTTGTGTTTTGCTTGTTACTGCTTGTTAAAGAGCGTCGGTATCGAAATCCCAATCGTAAGAGCGCTTGCAACCTAGTGAGGATGTAAAGAATTCCCTAGTCGTAGGCGGGGCATCGAGAATCAGATTCGTGGCGTCGAGGAATGATAAACCAATCACAAAGCTTCATATGGTCGAAAATGGAACTGGTGCAAAACGGGGCTCCTGCGCAAAATAATTCGTAGGATTAAACCGGACATGTAATTGCTTTTATTGCCGTAGATATAAAAAAAAAACAGATAGCAAGTAAATTAAGGGAAATAATGGTCTGTGGCTTCTAATTGCCGTTTTCCGTAAACACTCTTTCCTTTCCGAGTAGCCTGAGTAGCTGGTGGTTTGTTTTTGGGTGTGATTTTTTCCTTCTGTGGTTCGTTAAGTGAGAGATACAGCCGCGCGAAAGCGGACCCGAAGTTGAACCAAAAAGCGATGGGCGAGGGGAAAGTTGAATGCAGGCAAGATGCAGGTGGTTTTCTCCGGCTGCCCCTCGCCTCCCTCCCCCACCGTTTTCTCGTTTGTTCTCACGCGCGACCGTAAATACGAACCGAAACGAAAATCACACCAAAAAACTGCTAGCTACTACGTAGCGTACACTGACGGTCGCTGACAGTCAGTGAGGGACTGGGAAAAACGGGCGCGAAATCGATTGTCTCCGCCGCTAGCGTGAAGCCGAACAACCTTGTTTTGCACGGTAAAATATTCCCGTAAAAATGCCTAATTCTTGCAAAGTTTGCGGCAAAGAAGACAGTAAAAAGTGCGGTCAATGCCACAGAGTGTATTATTGCTCGGTTCAGTGCCAGAAAAAGGACTGGAAAAGCCACAAGGCAACCTGCAGCCCGAGGCAACCAGCAGAAACACAGAACCCTCTCCTTCGTGTCAGGGACAAACCCATGCACGACAAAACCCAAGCCAAACCTGTCTTTGGCGAGCCGTTCACACTCGAAAAGTTTATTCCTCACGTAGAGAAAATCAAGGAGAACACTAAAAAATGTGCACTCTCGTGGGTTGGCTTACGAAAAGCTGGGAAAATGGACGTGGATACCTCACTTGCAACCTGTTTTTGCTTCTTCACGAGCAAAGGATGGGTCCGGGAGCACATGATGTGCATGGAGGGGCCTCCACCGTTGCATATTTTGCAGCAAATTATCGATCAGTTTAAAGCTCACGCCTTCAGCATTTTTGTGGAGATGCGGTACAGAAATCCTTACACGCTGGCTGTCATGAAAGAAGGAGTATTATTACAGGTCAACGCCAGAGGTTTCGACAAGAAGTTCTTCTTGGACCAGACCCGCAAGGGAAGAAGCGCGACCGGCGTGCTGTTGTCAGTGGACGACCCTGAAGAATGCCACATCTCGTTGTTTGATAGTTCTGGCCTTACATTTCACTGACCCTTTTTAAAAGAAGTGTATGCCTTTAGGACTTGCGTTCCTCCATGAAAGGTTAATACGACTCATTAATGCAACGTAATACAGTTAATACACTTAGGTCCGGGGGGGAGGGGTTACTCCTTTAAATACCGTAAAATTCGGAAATTAAGCTCTGGGGCTTATATTTTTCAAAGGCCCTTTTTGAGGGGCTTATTTTTGGAGGGGCTTATATTCGGAGGGGCTTTTGTACGGAGGCAAATTTGCGTTTCAAAATCGATTGGGCTAGCCTTATAGTTGGAAGTAAATTTACCGTTTTGGCTTTGTTTTACTTTGCATTTGAGGGCAATTTTCCAAGTACAAGCCCCCAGGGGGCTTATATTTGGAGGGGTGATTTTTAAGGAGGGTTTTTTGCCTTACTGGTTTGAGGGGCTTATACATGTGGGGGCTTATTTTCAGAATTTTACGGTATCTCTGCACGGCCATGTTATAGGTGTGGTTACACACACCATGGTAAAAGTCATTTCCCATGGTGAAAAAAGCCATGGTAAATTTACCATGGTAACATGGTTACACATGAATCAATCACCGAGGTAAATTAGCTGCTCTCACAGCTTCATGTCTTCATTTGTGCTATTGCGCCCCTATTTTGGTAATAATTGCAGTCGATCATGGCAGGATTTCATGTTGTGTTGAAAATTTTTGTATAATTTAAGCACAATTTCAACTGGTATGTTAGTCCTGAAAACTTTTCAACGGTATATACATTATTTAAATCTAGGCCTTAGTTTCCATTTTACTGTTCAGCCCATTTTGAATGTCTGAGAGGAATACAGGCATGGATCCACACCAGTTTAGACTGTTTTATGGAAATCGGTCTGATTTTTTGTAATAAATGTATTTTTAATGGTAAAAAAACTTTCCAAGTTGAAATCTTTCTCCATAACCAATATACAACATGGAAATTGAAATAATCTGCTGATTTGCAAGGCATCACGTGAGGAGAATGGAACTGGCCAATATCCTGTGTGAATTACTCAGAAACCCAGGAAAGGGGACTTTAGGGTGTTGAAATCCAAAAAGTTTGCCGGTGGTGCATACCCCGGACCCCCCAAGAAGCTTTCACCTTTGGCTCTTGTTTAGGAAATTGGTCAGTAGTTATCCTAGATCCACGCCTGGAATAGAATATATTTTTGGTAAATACATCTGACTCAACAAACCAGCTGAAATCTTGCCTCGAAATTTCCCTGTTACTTTCATCTTAATGTGAAATCTGCCATGTCAACATCGATCTTTCCTGAAACAGCGCAAAACAAACCTGTTAAAGTAAATAATTTTCTTGGCATTTTCATGTTGGTGTCTAAGGCTTGAATTCCAATGTCGCTAAATTTCTCCTTGCCAGTGCACGCAAAATTTAACTGCATAAATGAAATCAAGGCAATGTATGAGAGGCAGTTAGGCCACACGTAAACATAAAAGTTCGACTTTTACGTATAAAAGCTTGACCTTCCATACAATGTCTCTAGTTTATTTACACGCTGAAGATTTATGCGTGTACTCACTTTAAAATTATGCATCAGTGGAAAACCACCTTAATAAAGAATCTAGATCAGCTCTTTTGCCTGGGGTATCAAATCACCCTTCTTATTTACCTCGTTAAATGTCATGGGTGGTGTCTTTCTTCTTTTGACGTATCCATGGATATTTCACAGGGTAAATTTATCTCGGGAAAGTCCAGTCACACGCATCACACCAATTTCCCATTGTAAAAGTCTCATTCACCATGGTAGAAGTGTTCCATGTAGCCGCACATAATATCCTCTATATATAATTATGCAACTATCCATCACTGTTGTTTCTGTTAGCCCATGGTGCTGTTGCCTTATTGGTAATCTAAAACCTCAAAACTTGTAGTCCATTCTTCTAAGACACGGTCTATAACTTTTTTTAACACTGCTGTTATTAATGAGAGCTTTATTTGGAGAATTATCATTTTTAATTTTTGCTATTTGAAAATAATAATTATTTTCAAATTAAAACATGCCCTTTGGCCATTTTCTTGTGTATACCTCAGTATTTTTCCTGACGAATGAATAACATTACAAATTTTAACAACTTTCTGAACCCTGTTTTTGCTCTTTAGGGTTAAGCCACTGCTCTTAAACTCTTGAGATACGTGTTCCTTTTCAATGACATCAATTTATTGATTTCAATAACCCACGATCGATGTATTGAAATCCTAAAGACTCCAACGCTTTCTGGTCATTTTTCTATTTTTGGTTTGGTTTTCTTTGTGCTCAAGTCTCTTCTGGGAATTGCGAGACAATTGAGTTGTGAGAAAGTTTGACCCTAAAGTCTCGGAGACAGGTTAGAATTTAAGGGCCTGTGTACATGAAGGTGGGGGACCCCAGGTAGGTGAGGTAACATGTGGCGGGTTACCTCACCTAACATGTAAACGTGATCACATTAAAATGAGAGATTATATGGACAGGCGGGCTACCCCACCTAAGCGGGTTACCTCACCTATCTGGGGTACCCCACCTCCATGTAAATGGGCCCTTAATATAGCGAACGCGGGCTGTTTGACAATGCTTTTTAGCATGAAGAAACGCAGTGGACCGCGGTAACGAGAAAGAAGAGTAGCGTCAGACCCGTTTTCTCTTTCCCGCCTTTCCTTGCAAGCAAATTATTGAAAGAGAGACGTCTTGGTACGAGGCAGAGCCACACCAATGTGGGCAGTGTGTTTAACTGTAAACTGTGCCTTGGGCCCTTTGTACCTGGTCAGTTGTGGTACAAAACCATCATGCTAGGTAGCAGGTAAGGCCTTGGGTGCTTACCATTTACACAAACCATCCGTTTGGAAATCTTGTGCATAAACATAAAACTATACTAGAAATACGTGTATCGCAGAAATTCGCGAAGCTCGGGGTGGGGGGGCGCGCGACAGGATTATAAACTCGCTTCGCGAGAAAAATTAGACCAGGTGAGAGAACGACCCGCTACAAACGAAATCAAAATCAGCTGAACAGGTTGAAAAATTGCATCGCCTCAAATCAGAGCCCATATTTTCTGAAGCTTCCCAAACGCAATGGCGCGAACCATGTGATTTTCCATCCGGAAATTCCGGTTTTCCAATGTAAACAGTAAGAGCGCAAGCTTGTTTTTCTTACCCAGTGGAAAAAGAAATACAAAGACGAAAAGGCTTATTTATTATCTTGTCAATGTCACAATGCAATATTGAGATGAAACTGCCTAGCTGCAAAGGTATGCAGGTGTTCTAAAGGATATCATTGAAGACTCAGGGACAGGTAAAAAGACGACGAAAGGTTTGTTTTCAAGAAATTTTGTAGAAACAGTGCTGCGCAAATAATCGAATGAATGAGACAGTTGATCAAAATATGCGCTGAAAAAGGAGGAAAACCAGACTTTTCGAGGGTGCTCCCTGCACTTCAGTGGTTAAAAAGCCACTGAAAAATGCTCGCGCAAAGTAAGGTTCAAATAAATCTTGCAAAGACGTAATTTGACATGCGCGCGCTGACTTTGAGAGGTTCAAATAAAATAAAAGTCCATACTCAGGCCAGCTGGGTCTAGTGTCTGAATATCCTGGCCTCAAAACTGCGCCTTTCTGTTGTACTGCTGTTTTCAAGAATTGGGCGCGCGGGAACCCGAAGAGTAGGTACTCTTCCCTCACACACCTTTCACGGCCGGCGTCGAGTTTCCTTCTTCCCGTCCCTCCTTTTCAAACACCAGTGCGAGGCTAGCTAAGTCCATTGGCGTGTAAGTATTCTGCCTCGTACCCAGCCTTTTTCCAGCGGATTCGTAATCGAGAGCGAGTGGGGCGATTTTGGTTCCGAGCAAGGGATCATCCCACCCTTCCCAGCGTCCTTTGCACCAACGCTTAACGTTCCCATGGTCCATTGCTCGATTCTCCTTGTTCTCTACTAAAAAAAAACCAACGAGGCAGGTAATTATGTATCACGGGTCATATGGGTTCACCGACTACAGACAAACGACGAGAAAAATCACTGACTCACCGAACAAAACAGGAAAAAATAGTCGATGAACCGACACCCAACATGGTCCAATATTTTACGAATGTTTATCGACATGACAATAATATTTTGTAAGACTTGTAGCTATGCCAAGCCCCTTTGGCGGGCTTTATTTTACCAGACGTAAAAGCAAATTAAATTCAAAATTTACCTTCCGAGTCGTGTTAAACTGAATGCCTTATTTTTGTCTCTCTTATGACAACCGACATGTGGACCCTCATCAAGTGCAAAGTTTCAAAAGGTCAGCAACGTTTACAGAGAGATTTTGCAAAGTATTCAAGGATACTCACAACAACACTAGCAAAGTTATTTTTGGATGTGTTTGGTTCTTCCTTCTATATATCATATTCTATATTTCTTTCCTTTTGTCAGAGCTATAGATTTAAGGTCCCTGGTAATCATCTTACAATAACGCAATTTACTCACCCGCAACACTTCTTAAACGTTAACTGAAAAAGTAATGAATTTTAAAAAACGTTCTTGGAAATCATTGCCCTAAAGGTTTGAAATCGGAACACTTTTGCCGCGAATTTCTTCGATCATTTTGAACACTTGAAAGTCCTGGAACACTTGACAGAGTGTTAAACTGATCTCGTCTGTGCCCTATACTCTCGACTCACTGTCCTCTTTTACTTTAGGTGAGTCGAGATCACTGAGGCAAAACCCTATACCAGTCTCAAGATTTCAGGGTGTTTCAGATTTTTAGGTGAAAAACGAAAAAGTGCAGGGGGGCTTATTCGTTGTTAGTGTGGAAGTAAGTATATATTGCATTGTAAAGGACGGAACGTTTTAAGGTTTCCATAATTAGTATCACCCACTTTCTCCTCAACTCTGATCTACTATCTTGAACATCAGTGCCCCTTTTTATCGACGGTAAAACGTGGTGGCGCTCAAAAGCAATATTCTTTTCAATATTACTGTAGTAAGGCTTTTGGATACAGCTATTTTGAGAAAGGTTGTCGGAAGAAATGTGCACGCGCGACAATCCCGGAAGGATGGGATATGATCAATACGCTGTTCCTGACAATGCAGCTGTCGAATCTTCTATTGATGCTTTCAATTAGCATTCGCAAACATGCGTCTATGGCCTCTCCTGACCGTGCCATTCTTTCAAATTTTTTGAAGAACAGTAAACTCAAAACCACCCACAATACCTTTCGGGATTGTCGTGTGCACTTTTTCCCACAACCTTTCTCGAAATAGCTGTATATCAGCCATGTATCCGTAAATAAAGTAAAGTAAATTCTTCAGTTCTAAATTAGCCAGGTTGTACTTAAAGGCACTAAATAAAAGTGAAATTATCGGGTGCATGAGACTGAATTTTCCACAAAACAATGACAGCACGCACTCAAGTGTGACCATGTCAACCTTGGCGATTTTCAATTTTCATTCAGTTTCATTTTTCAGTGTTCACGTCATCCGCGTTGGCCCTTGGTGCTTTTTGAATGTTCAGTGTCTTTGGGACCTTCCAAAGCCGGTATAGTCTAGGTATTATTTAGTATTTTAGATGGTTCTTTTTCAGTGAACGGTAATTACTTATTTATAAAAGCTAAAATCCCATGACCTTCGTTTAACCTTGGAAAGCATAACAATAAGCGCCACGGGCATAATAGTTTGCGCATGCTGTTCGATAACGTCAGATCAATAATTAATTAATAATCAGCAATAAGTAGAGACAAAATAAATAAGACTTTTATCGCTCGAACTTTGAATTTGTTTTTCTCTTCCCCAAGACCAGCTTTTCTGAAAGTCTTACCGATATGAATACTGTCAGACTGTCCAAAAATATTCCTTGGCTGAATTTACAATACAAACAATGAGAGGCCTCCCACGCACGCGTACGTTGGTGATCTTTTATAGGCTTCGTCAAGTGTTCCTTTCCCAATGTTCTTTGAACAAGAAACTGGTTACAAAGCTCTAAAAACGTCTTTGTGGGAGGCTTTTCAAATGTTTTCTTAAAAAATAAACTATTTCTCCTGGTAACCAACTCTGGATATGACGCTGCAATATCTTAAACACCATTTAAGTTCCCGGTACTAACAAACGGGTGCGTAGTGACTGCAACTGTTAATTGTAGGCCAAAAAAACAAAACACAGACGTCACTGTTTTCAATTCAACTTGCTGTAGGCATATGCATAATGTGACCTTAGAACTAAAACTCACCGATCGAAAGCCAGGCTAGTGGCACGCTAGCTAATAATTACAAGCTACCAGTATTAAAATATCATTAATAAGCACGTCTTGCGGGTGAGTAGATCGCCAGAATCCTTTCGCTTCCTGCTTCTTTGAATTAGTGATTAATGAGTCAGTATTGGTTACAGCTCATGCATGAATGGCAAACAAAAACACTGCAATCACTACAAGAACATTTACGGTCACGACAGAATTAAGTTAACACCGTAACGATGCCGATCCGTTTTTGTGATTCACGCGAGGTTTTAGTGGTCTATTAAAACCATCTCCGATCCTCATAACCACGACCAAACACTGTCCAAGGTTAGAGACATGTGGTACTGGATTTTAGCCTGGCTGCTCACCATCGTCACCGTTTTTGGAAATGGATTTGTGATTTGTTTGATTATCAGAATTCAACGCCTTCGTACGACAGCAAACTGGTCCGTTCTTTCCCTGGCAGTTGCAGACCTCCTCGTTGGACTTACGTTTTACCCTCTTCTCTTCGCCTTAAACATTGACAGCTTAAATGAGCCACCAGAGCAAGCTAAGACATTTTTCCTGGTTTCTCGAACGTTTCTTTATTTATCAGCCACAAATCTGTTTGTCATGATAATGGATCGCTACATCGCCATAGTTCACCCCCTAAAATATCTCTCGTTTGTAACAACGAAACTACTAGTTGCTGCGTTGGCCACAGCATGGATTTTACCAGTTCTGCTCTTCACTCTTCCCTATCGTTTAGTGTGGGGAGGAAAATTCCTGTTGCTTTTAAGAGTATCGATTTTACAGGTTCTTCCAGTGGTCTTTTTTATCTATGTCACTGTTCATATATTCTTTATAATGCGAAGGATTTCAAAAAGGCAATCAAGGATTTTTGCTCAGCTTGCGTTCAACCATGCCCCGAAATCCGACGACCAGACGATGAACTACTGCTCTAACACCGAAAGCAGGGCTGCGTCTAAGATGACGGTAGCAATCATGTTCTTCTTTATTATTTGCTATGTATTAGAGAATTGCAAGTGTTTCTGTACTGTGTTCACTATGTGCCACATATCCACAGCATTCGAGCAAGCAATTGATTTTCTGTTTGTGATTAATTCAGCAGTTAACCCCGTTGCCTACGCTTTTTTGAAGAGAGACGTAAAATCGGTTTTGCGAGGAATGCTTGTGCCACTAAAGCAAGAAATCCACAGCATTGCTGGGACACAAACGTCTAGTTCAGAGCAGCGAAGAGAGGATTCTAGAATTTAAAGCATCATTCTAACAAACAGTATGCTACATTTCCTTTTAAATTATTGAAAGAAGTCGACTTTCCAACAGGAGTGTCTTTCCCATCAAAGAATGTTCTGCGCTTCAAGCGATTTATTTTCCGACAACAGTGGCAATTGTTTTAATCCCAATTCTAAACTATTTTCAGGAAAACATTATTTCATGCGTTAGACGGTAGTCTGAGTGGGTGTTTTTCTTTCAATTTGAACAATACGTATAAACTATTATAAGTTAAGCCCCTGAGGGTACTCAGTTTAACTTGTGTTTAAAGCATATTTTTCTTAATATCCCTGGCAATGCCTTTCATTGGCAGAAGCTTCAAGTTTTAACTTTCAATTTTAACAGAAGTAAAAGACCTCATTCGAACTTAGACAGTTACTTCGGTTTTAAAATGTTACTGCGGAAGGACAACATGCGACAAAAATTATCTCATGTCTTGAAATTGTTTCGAGTGAACAGCGTGAAGTAGGTATATAGATCTAGAGCAGACTAGGGAAAAATTTATCTTCTTCAAATAACCCACCGGCTAAATAGATATGGCGCCCTATGGTTGTTACGGTATTACTCCCCCAGTATGCATCATACTCAGTGGTCATTAAAGCGTTTAATACACGAGTGGTCATTAAAGCGTTTAATATACGAGTGATAATCACGAAATTATAGAGAAAGTTCTAATTTATTTAGGGAAAAGAATTTGTTGGGCTGACGTAAGCAATTATCTTATTTTGAAGAACTAAAGGCTTGTCGGTATTAAGTGATTAACAATATCGGCTTAGATACGAGGTTGTTCGATTGATCGTACTTTCGGAGTATATTTTCAGAATTCAAGGAAAACAGATTGTTACCGCGGATGTTGGAGGCTCCACCGGAATACCCGTGGGGGAATACCACGTACATCTAAATATAGCTCATCAGCCAGGGCTGTAGATATTGCAATAAACGACAAACTCTTCGATTTCTGACGTTCATTCTATTCACTCTATAGTCACGATACCGCGGTCAAGGAATCAATCGAACGCATCCAGAGGCTGTCCACGGACACATTAACGATTATGGTAAAATAATTGATCATGACTTTCGTAAACCACATGTAAATCGTCAGTCGTTAAGCACTTAAAGGGATATAAAAATTGTGCTCGTGTGGCTGTTAACGCATAAGTTTGTCTCGATGCGCTCACAAACGCACCTTCAGAGTCTCATATAGTGGACTCACTAATGGTCCGTACACACTAGGCGACAAGATGTAGCAACATGTCGCAACGACAGATCACTCCGTGTGAACAGGTCCGGCGACTAGTTGCAGCAACATGTAGCAACTACACGTCGCCGCGACAAATCGCTTCGAGTGTAAATGGAGAATTTTTTGTGAAAATCTTTGTTTCTGCAACATAATTTTGTCGCAGCAACATGTTGCAAAAAATCAAATCAGACAGAACTTATGCGAGTTGTCGCGGCGACAAAATTCCATTGCAGAGACAAAGATTTTCACAAAATCTCTCCAGTACATACAAAGCGATTTGTCGCTGCGATGTGTCGCCACGACATGTTGTTGCAACTTGTCAGTCGCCGGACCTGTTCACACAGAGTCATCTGTTGTCTCGACTTGTTGCTGCAACTTGTCGCCTAGTGTGTACAGAAGTTTTAGTGTGTAGTTAGATCGCTCAGGGTGTCCAGCAGCATGGCAGCTCAAAAAAAATCGGAAAATAGCAAACTCAGTATTGAAAAAATAGGAAAATTTGGAAAGTTTGTATTAAAAAGAATAGGAAAATCAATAGTACTTTCGTCGACATAGATATATAGCCTCCCTGCACCCCATCTGGGTTATAATAAAGGCTACGAGTCCTCGGTTTCTACGTTCGGAGGATTTAGATCAACTTTCACGGTTTAGAAGAAGTGAAAATGATCAGTAACGTTTAGTTTATTGGCTCAGTTACGCTGTAATCAGAATGATACAGTAAAACCCCGCGTATAAGAACCTGGATTCTTTAATTTATCCTTAATAGGTTCTTATCTAAATGACACTTAAAGCAAATTTAGACTACCAAGGTTCTTAAAATAGGTTCTTATATTTTTATATGAATTTCAATTAAGTGTATTATAAATATCATCTCATAATACAATATATTGTTCAATAGTCGCGAGAACTATAACACTACATACAATACATGTAGGTGCACTAGAAAATTATACAAAAAGTAACAATATAACAAAGTTGTTAACAGAACTCTAATGGGCAATAGAGGTCATGGAAAGATCCTATGTAGCTATTATTTTTGCGACTATCAGAACATCAAAGTCAACATACCACTTGCTTTATGATAAATCTCACTCTAAAACAAGTAGTAGTTGACACTACAGCTGTCCCCGCTCTGTATATTGTCGGTCAATAGTATTCTTGGTAAATGTCAGTGAAGCTCTTTGAAATATACTGATTCATAATCAAGATTTTCACGCATATTCCGTACAATAGGTAATTGGGGAGTAAAAAAACAGTTAACGCTAGGTTCCTGATGCACTGTTTCAGTTCAACTTACACAGCCTTGATCCGAAAACATTCTCAGTTTCGAGAATAGTTTATTCTAAAGCATAAGAAAAGATTTAATTAGAAGTTAGAATTTTTCGCTATTTCTCTTTCACTTAGTTTTTTAGTTTACATACAGTTCATTTTATTTGCCGAAAAGTAAGCCTATAAAAAATTAACAGGTGTGATCAATTCACGCTTGCGCGTTCTAGCCTATTTTAAAAATTTATCCCTGGAAGGACATCTATATGAGCAGGCAATAAGTCATCACAAGATTGGATTGTCGGCGAATTCTTGTAACCGTCCATCGTTCTGCTGGAGATAAGCTAGCCGTTGATTCACTCATCTTGCTTGTTTGGGACTGAGTCCTATTCCTCCAAAGAGAGAGAAAGTGTCTGGCAAATTGTTTCCAATCAAAGATTTGTGGACTCGTGTCTGGCAAACTCCCGGGGGCAAACTCTCCAAGTGTTTATATATACACAGTTATATGCACCTTACAACTTCATCTGCGCTTAACGAGTGTCTTTTTATTGTCATCACTTTCGAAACAGCTGCTCCACAGAATGTCACTGATAACACGTAACGCTAAAGAGTATCGAAGTATACAACAACAAAATACAATAAAATGAATAAATGTCACAAAATATACCTAAGCGGTCGCTTCGAGAAATTCTGTTTTACGTCACCCTAAGCATCTCTCAAGCGGGCGCGAACAATAGAAACGTCTTCATTACCTACCGATTCCTCGCGGCCCTTGTTCAAGCAAATCGAGATTTGGATCACTCACCGTTTCTGGGAAACCAGTCTAGATAGCCTCAGAAAAAATCGTCCCGATAAAATGGCTACTCGATCTGCCAAGAAGACGTGACTCGTTTAAAAAACAATCCTCCTTATTGAAACGAGGCTCGTTCAAAAAACGAGTCCTTCTGAAAACGAGACTCGTTTAAACGAGACTCGTTCTGCACATGAGTCTCGTGAAAAAACGAGACTCCTTTGGAAAGACTAGTTTAACGAGACTCGTTTGGAAAGACTCGTTTAACGAGACTCGTTTGGAAAGACTCGTTTAACAGAACTACTCGTTCGGAAAGCGAGACTCGTTAGGAAAACGTGACTCGTTCGTGAAACCAGACTCGTTTCACCAGACTCGTTCGTGAAAGATTCGTTCGCGAAGGGAGGCTAGTTAATCAATTAATTAATTTACCCTTTTTATTTCACTGTAAATGGTAAAGTAATGTAATTATCAAGAAAATTATTTTACTCGCAGTCCTGCGTTGACCAGAAACTCCGGCTTTGAATAGTCTTAACCTTGAAAAACTCAGATTAAGGACCATCAACTTCATATATTGTTATTGCTGTATTTGTTGATGTCAATGTAGGCAGGGGGCAATGAATTCTTCTTTCATTTAGTGTGGAATGATTTATTTCAAATGCTTTCTTTTTTTCAGCATCTAACTAATAAATTGATAGGCCAAATATTACTAACGTACATAATAAAGAGTATTGATGTCATTATTCTCGAGTTGTACCTTTTGTGTACTTAACAATCTGTTTAATTTCTACCACCACTATCTGTTTCATCCACAGGAATATTTTTTTACGAACAATAACCAACAAATATGTTTTTTTTTTTTTCAGTATCTAACTTACAAATTGATTGGCCCAATATTACTATCGTAAATAATAAAGAGTATTGATGTAATTATTCTCGAGTTGTACCTTTTGTGTACTTAAAAATCAGTTTAATTTCTATTACCACTATCTGTTTCATGCTCGGAAATTTTTTTTTTTTATCAACAATAACCAACAAATAGGTTGCCCATAAGGTATAATAAAGCGCTTCTACCATTCTATCATTCTATCTAGAATACACAACACGATCTATAATTGATGAAGAACACGATGTCAATGATTAGAATAAATGCAAAAATTGCCAATCGAAATATTGAGTCTGAAAATAACACAAACGTCTAAAAGGTAGATAGCGCCACTGAAAACAACATTATTCACGGCTAGAAATGATACTATCTATTAACAATGATTTGTTCCACCATTTGCGCTCGACGGTATATATTTTGTCTATTCAAAAAATGCAGGGTTAAGTTTTTTTTAAAATTATTCACAATACACTACAATCTGCGACAAAATTCGTTGAGCCGCTTTTTTCTGCCGCACTTAAAAATGAACTTAAAAATCTACCACACCTCGAAACACAATACCACTATAACCCTATACCCTTTCCCGCATTCAGACTCATTTATCAGGGGGGGATTGGTCAAAGTAAGGGAATCGAGGCTAAAACTATTCAGAAATGTTGTACTCTTAATGACAATGCTTTGGCTACTGTGTCGCAGAGTGTAGGCCGATCTTTAGTTCAGACAATATTCCGTTCTACGTTATCCTCAGGAAAATTCACTCGTTATTCTATTTTAAAACATATATTATAAATGATTAAAAACTTTAT